CCTCAGGGAAACCAAGGAAGACACAAGGAACGGCGCGAGGCGAGAGCTTGTCCGCGGAGGTGTCGCGGACAAGAGCCAAGCACCCCCAGACACGAAACCTCGACGCGACACCAGGGGACCCTGTCCAAAGACTGGTCGGTGAAGCCTCCGGCCGAGAGACGCGTGGCAAGAGATTCAGCTGGTGCGCGGCGTACCTGACCGCGTATGGCCACAGGAAATGGGGGGCACGGGCGTGAGTCAAGGAGGTGCGGGCAATCTCCATGACCAGGCCTATGCGACGCTCAGCAACCCCATTCTGCTGTGGGGACTCCGGAAGCGTCCAGGACTGACGAATGCCCTGTTCGCGACAGAATCCAGCGAGAATGCCGGAGCGAAACTCGCCCCCGCGGTCGGAGTGGAGACAGCTGACACGACGACCACGAGTGTCCTGGGTGGTAAGCAACCACCTGATCAGCGTAGAAGTCACCTCAGACTTCCTCGCCAGGGGGAACACTGTGGTGTAGCGGGAGTAGTCGTCAACGACCACCAAAAAGAAACGCTCACGCTCAGGGCCAGGGCGAGGAGAGGGGCCCCAGACGTCCAAGTGCAGCGTCTCAAAAGGCTCGGTGGCCGGACGAAGGGAGGAGGAGTGAGGGGTGGCGCGCAGCCTACCCTCGACGCAAGGACCGCACGGTGGCGCAAGGGACGGCGGCAGCGACGGCAAGACACGCGGGAGACCTAAGACAAGACGCTGACGAGACATAGCGCGAAGACGAGGAGGAGAAGGGTGCCCCAGCCGGTGGTGCCACAAAACGGTGGGGTGGGCAAGCGACCGACAGGAGCACGACGCAGCGACCGGACTAGACGGAGGAACCTGACAAGACACAGCTACCTGGGGGGACGGAGCAACCTGGTGAGACGCGAGGACTCGAACGGGGGGCAAAACAGGGGCCGGGGGCAGGAGGGGCGGCTGTGGCTGCGGCTGCGGCTGCTGCTGCTGCTGCTGCTGCGGCTGCTGCTGCTGCTGCAGTCGCTGCTGAGCGCGCGGGCCAGTGTGAAGAGTGTAGAGACCGGAGCCCGGCTCAGCAGCAAAAGTGGCGAGGGGCTGGTAAGAGTCCCCGTCAACACACACCGCAGTCTCTCCAGAAGGCTCAAACCACACACCCACGTGCTGACTCACGAGGGGTCGCACGCCCACCAAGTTCCGGGAGAACGAGGGGACGTGAAACCCAGTGAGAGACCCAGAAGGAGCAGCCGGACACGGCAAGGTGGTAGTGTGACGCGCGGTGACTGGTCCCGAAGTGGGATCAGCCAGCGCCACAGAAACAGGCGCAGGAAGAGGCGTAAGTGTCGTGCTGTCACGAAAGAAGCAGTGAGAGGCTCCAGAGTCCAGCGTGAACGACAGCGAACCGTCCTCTGAGGTAGCCGCTGGACTAGAGTCTACACATGAACCTACACTAGCAACAGGCAACTGAGCAAGGCTAGCACCTAAGCTAACAACACCAGAGTAAACAGAGTCAGAAACACTAGAGTCAACAACAGCATACATAGCATGGGGACGACCAATCAGATCAACTAACTGCTCAGCAGACATGCCCCACAGAGCGGAGCCGTAACGCTGAACAAGAGGCAGCCAGTCAGGGGCAGGAGCACCAACCCCGTAGACCAAACGAACCGTGTCAGTGAGCTGAGCAAAGCACTGACCAGGGGGGTGAAACCGGCCACAAGGGTGGCCACGACGAGTGCCTGTCAGAACCTGGTAGGTGCAGGGAGTGTAAGCAGCACCGCGCTGGGTCTGACGCAGCCCCGACCCTGGAGCCAGCTGCTGCCGCTGCTGCTGCTGAGGCTGCTGGGAGGAGAGGGGCTGCTGCTGCTGCAGAAGCTGCTGCTGACGCTGAGCCTGGTACCACGCCGCTGCTCCACCAACCGGGGCAGGAAGTACAGGAGGCGACTGACGAACTCGGGCGTCGCCACCACCAGCAGGCGCAGTGGAGTCACCAGTCACTGCACGAGGCGCCTCTCCAGGCCCTGAACCTCCACCGCCGCCAGGCGCAACGCCACCTCCACTACCTCCGCCTCCACCTCCACTACCACCACCAGAACCGCCTTTCTTGCCACTCCTACCGCGGGACCGCGACGCAGTCGTAACAGCAGCTGCAGTCGCGTCAGTAGCGGCAGTGGCAAGTGAGGCAGTAAAGGTGGGTAACTGCGGGACTGTGCACCCGTGGAAGAGTGGGGGGGGCACAGCACCAGAGGCAGCGGCTACCGAGCGAAGGTTGCTCTCGACGTCCTTGAGTGCAGACTCAAGGACCTCGACGGTGAGCTCACTAGGGTGCTTCAGCAGAAGCGCGTCGCGAACGGAGGCAAGGCGGTCAGGGAGGCTAGTGGCGATGAAATAGATAGTGATCGCCATAGGGGGAGGAAGCAGTGCAAGCTGTGCCTCAGTGCAAGCAGCGCGGTAACTAGCGTCGAGCGAGCGGAGGTGAGCGATCAAGTCAGCAGAGCGCTCAAAAGACGCTAGGTCAGGAAACAGGAATGGGAGGAACAGGCGGCCAAGAGAGACAGCAGCGGGAGTAGAGTAGCGGGCCTTAATCGCAGTGAGGTACTCAGCAGCGGTGCGAACCTGAGTGAAGTGAACCTCCTCAGACTCAGGGAGGAGGCTGCTGAGCGCGATGCAGGCCGCAGCGTCACGTGACTTCCAAGCCGTCTGGTCAGCTCGCTGAGTGGCAAAGCGGGCTCTAGCGGCGTCATCAGGGGCAGGTCCTAAAGGCGTAGGGTCGGAGGGCGCAGGTAGGGCACCAGTAGCGTGCGCCCAGAGGGTCTCGCCTGCCTGGACCTGACTCTCTAACAGACGGCGAGCACGAAGAAGCCAGACGGAAAAATCAAGAGGTCTACCGTCAGCGTCGAAACGAAGGACGCGAGGGGTCGCCATAGTGTGCAAACGGAATTGGCAGGGAAAGCAGGGTGCAGCGGCAAGGGGGAACGGGCAGGAAGAGCGGGCAAGAGCGGGCGGGTAGGTAAGGTGTGGCGGGCGTCTAGGGTAGGAGCGCGCGGGCTAGGGCAGGAGCGCGCGGGCGGGTAGGGCAAAGGCGCCGGGCCAGGGCGACGGGCTGGGGCGCGGGCCTGGGCGACGGGCTAGGGCGCGAGCAGGGGGAACCGCGGGTCGACAGGCAGCGGGGGGAAGCGCGGGTCGACGGGCAGCGGGGGGTAGCGTGGGTCGACGGGCAGCGGGGGGAAGCGCGGGTCGACGGGCAGCGGGGGGAAGCGCGGGTCGACGGGCAGCGGGGGGAAGCGCGGGTCGACGGGCAGCGGGGGGAAGCGCGGGTCGACGGGCAGCGGGGGGAAGCGCGGGTCGACGGGCAGCGGGGGGAAGCGCGGGTCGACGGGCAGCGGGGGGAAGCGCGGGTCGACGGGCAGCGGGGGGAAGCGCGGGTCGACGGGCAGCGGGGGGAAGCGCGGGTCGACGGGCAGCGGGGGGAAGCGCGGGTCGACGGGCAGCGGGGGGAAGCTCGGTTCGACGGGCAGCGGGGGGGGGGGGAGGGGGGAAGCGCGGTTCGACGGCAGCGGGGGGGGAAAGCGCAGCGCGACCTGCAGCGGTACGCTAGATCGGGCTACGCTAGATCGGGCTACGCTAGATCGGGAGGAAGAACGAGCGGTAACGAACGAACGGGACTAGATCGGGCCGGCACTAGGCTCGGGCAAGACGGGCGAAACGAGAGCTAGGATCAGGCTCGGGTGGTACGATCGGAGAACGGAGAAACGGGATCCCACAGGATCCTAACCTAACTGATACCATGTCAAAATGAGGAATGGATGATGCATTGTTGTTGGTTGGGGTACATATAGCTAACCCTAAGTTTTGTACCCCCTAAGACAAACCTCACTATAGGCTACAACATTTGACAATAAATATATATAAATTATATATTATAACATAAAAGAGGGGGCGAAGGCCATTTGGCCTTCACCCACGTTTTTCATTTCAAACTTTCAGTTTTCAAGTTCCCCACCCTCCCACCCTAGTATAGTAGAGAATTCATTGTCGTTACTATGTAATATGCTTGGACGATAAAAAATCTTGTACTTGCCAGTTGAAATGAGACGTTGCATTTGCAAAGACAAATAGCAAGCTTTCACAATGCTAGCTTGTGCAACATATACATCACTTACCTTCCTCTTATTCCTACCGTATCAGCTGAAGGACTCGCCCTCACCTCAGATCAGCACTGCTGATTACTCAAGCCCGCCCAGCCCAGCCCACCGCCTTACAGCGGCAAATGATGCCATGTACCTTCCCATTCATCATGCATGTACCGATTCTCACACCTTTCTTATGAGATAATGAAGGACTATGAATGTTATGCGGGTGGAACCCGTACATGGACATGCCCTACCTCAGTAAGTTACAGTGGCAGCTGAAGGACTCGCCCTCACCTCAGATCAGCACTGCTGATTACTCAAGCCCGCCCAGCCCAGCCCACCGCCTTACAGCGGCAAATGATGCCATGTACCTTCCCATTCATCATGCATGTACCGATTCTCACACCTTTCTTATGAGATAATGAAGGACTATGAATGTTATGCGGGTGGAACCCGTACATGGACATGCCCTACCTCAGTAAGTTACAGTGGCACAAGGACATGCCCTACCTCAGCAGTGCAGCAAGCACTGGCCCACTGAATGGTGCTCGCAGTCACAAGTTGTTAGCTTCTTGCTTACCTTATTTCCCCACCCTCCCTAACAGGCATGCTGTTGCTATGAATGGGATCACTGCCTGCTGTATTGTTCAAGGTGCCTTGAAATCCCACACAGACAGGCATGGCCTGGCTGGACCCTCCACCTACTGCAAGGCTTTAAGCGCCATGTAAGCCCTCCCTGGGAAGCAGAACACCTCTTTCCCCTGCTGCGGCTGTTGCTGCATAATCAACCAAGTCAAACTGAGTCAACCGGCGAGTCAACCAGGGCCAACTCTCTTAGGTCAACCGGAGTCAACCCTCAAGTCAACCAGAGTTCAAGAGCGTCAGACAGAGCCCTCAAGCTTCACGTGCGCATCTGCTGTGTCAGGGCCATAGGGCATGAGGGCATGTGGGCATGAGGAAATGGGACAGGGCCACGGAAGCAAGGAGGCACAGGAACATGGGGAAGTTGGTGAAGGGACAAGGGTAGGCATGACAAAGGATGGGGAAAGTGGGAGGGTGGGGTAGAGACTCTCCATTGTTTGTTTGTGTGTGTGTGTGTGTGTGTGTGTGTGTGTGTGTGTGTGTGTGTGTGTGTGTGTGTGTGTGTGTGACGGAGCACACGAGTTCATACACTGTGATGTGCCACACAGTTTCGTTCAGCCGTGCCAGGCCCCCAAACAAACACACGGTCCAGTCATGCCAGTCCACTCGCACCGCCCTCACCAGACCAGACGCCCTCCCAGTTGCACCTAAACCAGAACCTTCACGAGGCAATCATAACACCACCAGCCCTGCCTGCACGCACCTTTGTCGGGTGGTCTGAGGAAATCTGCATCATCGGCATTCATGAAAGGAGGTGAGCCCGGCAGTAGCCCTAGCATGTGGCCGCCTGGGGGAAGTTGGGCCGGGGGGCAAACGGGAACGAGGGGAAGCATGAAAACCACAAGTGGGAAGAATGAGTTGGTGAGGCAAGAACGTGTTTGGCCCAAAACGTGTGAAGTTTGATGCAAGCCATGAATACTAGCGCTCTTGGAGTCTCTCTTCTCTCCCTCACCCTTCCTTTGTGCTCGTCTTCCCCAACTCACACTCGAGTTTCTACCTCTTCTTTCCCTCACCATCCCCCCATGCTCCCCTTCCCCCACGCCCCATGCTCCCCTTCCCCCACGCCCCATGCTCCCCTTCCCCCACGCCCCATGCTCCCCTTCCCCCACGCCCCATGCTCCCCTTCCCCCACGCCCCATGCTCCCCTTCTCCCACGCCCCATGCTCCCCTTCCCCCACGCCCCATGCTCCCCTTCCCCCACGCCCCATGCTCCCCTTCCCCCACGCCCCATGCTCCCCTTCCCCCACGCCCCATGCTCCCCTTCCCCCACGCCCAATGCTCCCCTTCCCCCACGCCCCATGCTCCCCTTTCCCCACGCCCCATGCTCCCCTTCCCCCACGCCCCATGCTCCCCTTCCCCCACGCCCCATGCTCCCCTTCCCCCACGCCCCATGCTCCCCTTCCCCCACGCCCCATGCTCCCCTTCCCCCACGCCCAATGCTCCCCTTCCCCCACGCCCCATGCTCCCCTTCCCCCACGCCCCATGCTCCCCTTCCCCCACGCCCCATGCTCCCCTTCCCCCACGCCCCATGCTCCCCTTCCCCCACGCCCCATGCTCCCCTTCCCCCACGCCCCATGCTCCCCTTCCCCCACGCCCCATGCTCCCCTTCCCCCACGCCCCATGCTCCCCTTCCCCCACGCCCCATGCTCCCCTTCCCCCACGCCCCATGCTCCCCTTCCCCCACGCCCCATGCTCCCCTTCCCCCACGCCCCATGCTCCCCTTCCCCCACGCCCCATGCTCCCCTTCCCCCACGCCCCATGCTCCCCTTCCCCCACGCCCCATGCTCCCCTTCCCCCACGCCCCATGCTCCCCTTCCCCCACGCCCCATGCTCCCCTTCCCCCACGCCCAATGCTCCCCTTCCCCCACGCCCCATGCTCCCCTTCCCCCACGCCCCATGCTCCCCTTCCCCCACGCCCCATGCTCCCCTTCCCCCACGCCCCATGCTCCCCTTCCCCCACGCCCCATGCTCCCCTTCCCCCACGCCCCATGCTCCCCTTCCCCCACGCCCCATGCTCCCCTTCCCCCACGCCCCATGCTCCCCTTCCCCCACGCCCCATGCTCCCCTTCCCCCACGCCCAATGCTCCCCTTCCCCCACGCCCCATGCTCCCCTTCCCCCACGCCCCATGCTCCCCTTCCCCCACGCCCCATGCTCCCCTTCCCCCACGCCCCATGCTCCCCTTCCCCCACGCCCCATGCTCCCCTTCCCCCACGCCCCATGCTCCCCTTCCCCCACGCCCAATGCTCCCCTTCCCCCACGCCCAATGCTCCCCTTCCCCCACTCCCAATGCCCCCCTTCCCCCCACCCCTGCCACCATGTCCTTTTTTCCCCCACCCCTCACACCCAGGCACGGGGAAGTCTCCAGTCAAGCCAGAGAGGCTGAAGTTATTCTTGAGGCGTCTCAAAGATCATACTCCCCTCCGCTCCCCATTACTCCTCTGCACCCCTCACCTTCGCTTTGGGGCCCGGGGAAATCGGCAGTCAAGTCAGAGAGGCTGAAGTTTCTTGGAAGGTGCCCCAGCGACCCCAGGGCGATTTCCCTGGGAACAGCAGCAGAGGGTTGTTGTTGTGCGGTTGTGCTATCATGCACGCCTGTGCTGTCCTGTGCCCCTGTGCCATGCATCCCTGCCCCTCTGCTTGATAGCCCATGGTCGTTGTGGTTGGTGGGGTCATGGCGATCAGTGGCAGTGATCAAATCACCATGCCCATGCCCATGCCCATGCCCATGCCCATCTATTGAGTGCTGCTGCTGCTGCTGCTGCTGGTGTTCGTGGTTACTACGAGTATGATGGTGATGGTGATGGCTGTGTGAACGTTCTGTGTCCATGCTTGCATGATGCTCATGGGGGTGCTGATGCTCCTGCTGATGATGGGGATGATGTGGATGGGGATGGTGATGGGGGTGGTGATGGGGATGGTGATGGGAATGATGATGTGACCCTTGATGGTGCCCTGTCTCCCCTCCACCATCCCCATCCCCCTCTCCCCTAGAGCCTCTCGGGGGAGTTGACGACCCAAACGCCGCCTCGTGATTGGCTGACGTCAGAGCGAGAGAGGACGAGAACGGACCTACATCTAGAGCCGTCAGCCCCATGCTCATGCCCATGCCCATGCCCATGCCCATGCCCATGCCCATGCCCATGCCTATCCCCGACAGATCAACCGAACCAAACGGAAATGCCATGTCACTCCCGTCGCTGTCCAGCTCAGCAGAGCCGCCCACCCCTGCCATGTCATCATTCTCACTTGCCCCCGCCCTTCCTGTCCCCCCTTCGCCTCCGCCCCCTCCCTCTCCCCCTCCCCCTCTTTCTCCTCCTCCTCCTCCTGCCCCTCCTCCCAACGCCTCCTCTCCACCCCCCTCCTCCATTCCCACATCTAATTCCAAATTCTCCCCATCCTCCCCGTCCATCCCCTCCCCTGGTTCCAGCTTCAACATTCCCCCGGCCCCCATGCCCCCCATTCCATCCTCTCCTCCCATCCCGACCCCTCCTTCCGCGAATCCCCCCATCTCCACCGCCCCTCCCCCCGCTGCTCCTGCACCATCTGCGCCTAGAGCCCCCATCCCCCCTTCGTCTGCCCTTTCCAGCCCCGCACCCCCTGCCCCCTCCGCGCCCCCTGCTTCCCCCATCCCCCCTCCTGAACCGAATTTCCCTGCTGGAGCGCCAGCAGCACCAGCAGCAGCGGAAGCATTAGAAGCATGGGCCATGTGGGTCATGGCATGTGCATGGGCATGGGGATGGGCATGCGCATGGGCATGGGCCATCCCATGTGCATGGGCCTGCATGGCTGCAGCATGAGCATTAGCAGAGGACGGAACCCCTATCACTGCCATATCACTTCCCCCCCCACCACCATTCCCACCACCACCGCCACCACCAGCAGCAGAAGCAGGGTGGGAGTGGGGGTGGGTGTGCGGGTGGGGGTGAGCGTGGGGGTGGGGATGCGGGCCAAAGGGGAGCATGTGGGGGGGAAGCATGCCAGGCATCATGGGCGGAGGCATGGGCGCACCAGGGGGGACGTGGGGGGGCATGTGGGGGGGATGCTGGCCGGGGGGAAGCATGGAGTAGGGGTGGTGGAGCATGTGTGGGGGGTGGTGCGGGTGGTGGGGATGGTGCCCTGCTGCTGCTGCCGCTGCGGCGGCTGCGTGAGGGTGCATGAATGGGGGAGCTGCGCCGTGCACTGATTGGGGGGAGGGGCGGATGGGAGAAGGGGAAAAGGGGGGGATGTGACAATCAAGCGGGTGGGCAAGGGCGGGATCAGTAGAGATTGCGGGGTAAAAATGTGCAGGAAAAAAAGTGAAGTGAAGAGAATAAAAGAGGAGGAAAAAAAGGGGGCAATGGGTGAAGATAAGGGTTTAGAGGAAGAAAGGGGGAGCCAGATGACGAGGGGAGATAGGGGAGTGGGAGTACCAGTTTTGAGGATTCTCAACAATAACTCCCAAACGGGAGTACCAGGCCAAGAGAGCATTGGGTTAACAAGCAAGAGTCTTTTGTTGACCCAATCGCCTTCACCTTCCGACACCCCGCGCTCCGTCTTCATCTTTCACCCATCAGCCACCTCTCCATTCCATTCGACGTCTCTCTCCCTCACACCCCTCCACACACACTCCCCTCCACCATAAACCCCTCCCAGCCGCACTCCTCTCGACCCCACACTCCTCTCCACCTCACGTTCCTCTCCTCGCGGACTCACTAGGGGGGCCTCGCATGGACGCAGGGACACCCGGCACGGGCGCTCCAGCAGAAGCAGCAGCCGCGTCCGATGCAGCATGGGCTGGGGAGGGAGCAGGGGCCGCCGACGCAGCAGCAGCAGACCCAGCAGCAGCAGCAGCACCGGCAGTCGCACCACCAGCAGCGGCACCGGTGGCACCAGTGCCAGCAGCACCGCCTGCAGCAGCAGCAGCAGCAGCAGCGGAAGCAGAAGCACCAGAGGCTGCCGCCCCAGCTGTAGCAGCCGCAGAAGCTGCCGCTCCAGGGGTGGAGTGCGATGCAGAGCGGTTGAGGCGTTGGGTGCGCACGGCGTGTGCGTGCTGTTCAAGCAAGGCGTTGAACTGATTAATCTGGTCCTTGAGGCGCAGGCGCATGTGGTAGGACCGGAAGAAGTCCGGATTCTGCTCCTCCAGCTTCTGCCACACTGCGGTGGAGAGGGGTGGAGAGGGATGGAGAGGGGTGGAGAGGGGTGGAGAGGGGTGGAGAGGGGTGGAGAGGGATGGATCACGGGTTGGTAACAGGGTGGAGTGTGCTGTTCAAGCAAGGCGTTGAACTGGTGAATCTGGTCCTTGAGGCGCATACGCATGTGGTAGGAGCGGAAGAAGTCCGGATTCTGTTCTTCCAGCTTCTGACACACTGCGGTGGAGAGGGGTCGAGAGGGATGGAGAGGGATGGAGAGGGATGGAGAACACGGGTTGGTAACAGGGTGGAGTGTGCTGTTCAAGCAAGGCGTTGAACTGATTGATCTGGTCCTTTAGGCGCAGGCGCATGTGGTACAAGCGGAAGAAATCCGGGTTCTGTTCTTCTAGATTCTGCCACACTGGTGTGGAGAGGGGTGGAGAGGTGTGGAGAGTGGTCGGGAGGGGTGGAGAAGGAGAGAGAGGGGTGGACAGGGATGAAGAGCAAGGGGGGATTGGGCCGGGGGGAAGGGGACGAGAGGAGAGGAGACCATGCAGAAAGGTGGTGAGGTAGAAGTGGTGTATCTGGTCCTTCAAACGCAGCCGCATGTGGTAGTACTAACGGAAACAGGCTGGAATCGGGGAGGCTGCACGATACATGTAGAAAACAAGTAGAGACTAACAAGTATGGCATGCTCGACACATCTTCCACACTCCAATCAACAAACGGGCGCGATAAACAGTCGGACAGAAAGTCAGACAGTCCGTCAGTCAGTCAGTTAGTTAGTCAGGATCAGCCAGTCAATCAGTGAGTGAGTGAGTGAATGAGTGAGTGAGTGAGCAGCACGGACCGAGTTTGGTGAAGCCGGGTTCGATCTTGGCCTGGTATTGCAGGGTGGACACAACCTCCCTCTGACTCATGTACAGCTGTAAGCACCGCTCGATCAGGTTCTGCACCTGCCAGTGGCGCCAGCAGCAACATGGGATAGGGATAGGGATAGCAAGGGCACGGAAGGGGTTCCTATACTCATGTATAGCTGCAGGCAGCGCTCAATTAGGTTCTGCACCTGCCAACCGTGCCAACAGTGCCAACAGCGACATGGAATAGGAATAATGAAGGGAATGAGGCGAAATGTGGCTAAAAGAGGGGTGACTCATCTACAGCTGTAAGCAGCAATCAGATTCTGCACCTGCCAACAGCAGCACTTCAAAGGGGTGCTTCATTCATCACAGGTTCCTTCTGCACCTCCCAACCAGCTCACGTCTTACCTCGTTATAATCACCCGCTTAAAGACCTACCAGCTGAATGTCCTCGCAGGATATCTTCCTCCCTTCCGACGGCGCCTGCTGCGCTGATGACAGCGACGATGACGTGGCAGGCTTCGTGCACGCTGACGTGGATGGAGAGAGCACGGCCGTGGCACCAGTGGGAGCACTGGCCGTGGCACCAGTGGGAGCACTGGCCGCAGCACCGACACCAGCAGCAGCGCCAGCAGCAACACTAGCGCCAGCACCACCAGCAGCCGCAGCAGCACCAGCACCGGCAGTGGGCGCAGCGGTTACCGCAGGGGAAGGATTCGTAATGGCCATGGGATCGGCGGCTGCGGCAGCAGGAGACGTGGCAGCAGGGGCGGCGGAAGATGGAGGGGAGCCACCACCGCCAGTTCCTGCTACTGCTGCCACCCCACCGCCAGATTTATCCCCTGCTGCTGCTGGCGCTGCTGCTGGTGCCGCTGCAAGTGTTGTTTTTGTTGCTGCTGCTGGAGCTGGTGGTGGTGGTGGTGGCGGTGTTTTGGTCTTTGCAGCGTGAGACGTGGTCGGAGCACACGGGGGGGATCCGGCGGGGGACGCGGGGAGGCCTTCCACTGACGCGCCCGCGCCAAGAGCTGCAGCAGCGGCGGCGGCGGCGGCTGCAGCAGCGGCACTTGGCGGCTTCGCAGACATGGATTGGCGCTTGGTCTTTGATGCTTCGATGCTTAAATTTTGTTGTTGTCGTTCGGTGTTTGGATAAGGGCTGCTTATGACACGCACCGGCTCATGCCATCATTCTCTAGTGCGATACGGCTCGCCAAAGAAACGCCGTAACTCTCTCCTCGTAACGTAGAGCTATGGGGCGAAAAGGCACCTCCTCGTGTTTAGCGATTGCTAAAGCTGAAAGGGAATGTGCATCTATTCTAAGGTGTACTGTAATCCGCAATGACTAGACGACACTGGGTCTGGAACATAACGAGAAGCCCAGGCAGATGCTGAGCAAGGCTCAATGCCATAATGTCACATGTCATGATGACATTGTAATGTCTCGATGCTCTAATGTCGTAGAATCAAAATCTCGAACTGGCAGGAGAGCGGGTCCTTTCACGCATTTCTATCTCACGTGTCACGACCGTCGAATTATCATTGTCCCTTCTGGGAGGTCGTGGATGGAGAACTGAAACTAGGCCTCGAACTCAGATCACGCAAGAATAAAATCCTTTTACGAAAGAGTTAACGGAAGGAGGAAGAACAGAGCCTGGCGAGACATTTAAACATGGTAAGAAACAGGCTTCTGTTGGCCCAGGCTAATGTAACCAGGCTAAAGCTTAGGGGAGAAAAGGATAAGGCCGAAGGTGCACCGCAGCGCACCGAATGGCAGCAGTGCGAGGGCTAGCGCCTAGAGGTATGAGTAACGCGATGGTTACTGGGAGCGACACGTGGGCCGGCCTAATAAGTCTTCTATTGGAACACGTATATTCACCTGAGGGTACAGTTGCGAAGTTTGAAGTCCGTGATCTCGCAACACTAGGGCGTGCCAGCCTCGCCGAAACTATTATCGTCGCCGCGCCCTGCTATGTATTTAGGAGGCTCCATGGTTTTGTGCAGAAACCTAATCACCTGCCATCCCAATTTCACGATCCAATCCCAACGTTACAGCACCAGGCTGGTTCGTCAGTTGTCCCTCCTTTTTCCCTCGGGGCCGCCCAGCTAGCCTTGGAAACATCCAGCCTAGAGAAACAGACAGCCTTGGGAACATCGTGCCAGCAGAAATGTCGGCCTTAGGAACATCACGCCTTGGGATTACAGCCTTGCCAAAGACAGCCTGCTCTTCTGGATGGAAGGGAGGATAGGTTGCTGCCAAAATTTGTGAGCGCGGACAATTTCGTCGTGCAAAAACCCCTCGAATTTATCCGAAAACCCCCGCTCTGTTGCCTTCGTCCTCGAAGCCGATTCGCGAAGCTACTTTTCAAACCTGCCCACCCTTTCAAATTGCCTTTTCGAATCCCAATCGACATGTATTTCGTCGTTGAACCAATCACAGGTACGAATGATTCGCCGCCGAGCAACTTTGCCTCGGATCCACGTCATTCTGAATCGCTCCCTCCCAGGATCATGCACCCGTACAGAACTGCCAAGTACAGCAGCATTCTGGAGGTGGTGTACTGAACAGTGAACTGGGCGACACTTTCTAACAAGTGTAATTCAAACAAGAGTTGAACAAATTGAATGAATCAGTAACCTTTAGAAATCGTTTTCATACATCTCATACAATGCCCTTGGAGTTTCATGAGTGATGTTGTTCATGGCAATATAAAAATCCATAGCGTATATCTTCTTCACCCTCTCGTAGGTATCCTGAAGTGCAACAAACATGAGAGCGACCAGTTCGGAATAAAATGAAGAGTAGAGTGGAATGGATGAAAGAGATGGGCAGGACAGAGAGAGGGAAGAGGAAGCGAGTTGGGAAAGATAATAAAATACCAGGGCCAGGGGAATGGCAAGGGCGAGAGAAGAAACAACACACCTTGTCATACAGCTTCGCCAGTCGCCGATCTGTATCCGTGAAGTGCGCTCCCTTGCCGAACCTAAACACATCCAGGTGCTCGCCGCCGAACCTGTCGACAACTGTCTTCACATCCTCCTCCAGGTGCTCGAATCGCCCCACAAAGTCGTACTTGATAGAGCTTAGAGCACATATGTCCTCCTGCGGCGCCAGGTGGCGATCCATGTCAGCGCGGTGACTGGCCAGCAGCTTGCCAACGAGGCGGACAAAGTCGGGGAAGGAGACTAGCCCTGTGCTGTCCTTGACTGCTTCGTACATGGGCTTCACTGCATGGAAAAAGGCCTGTCGAATGGGGTGGGAGGGTTACGGGGGTGGGGGGGGGAGGACCAGTTTCTTAGATGGCAAGTCACTCAAAAAACAGGGGCACAGGGTACAGGGTGAATGGACACAAAACAGCCATACAATGGTGCAGGCAGGCACTCACGTTGCTCCAGTACTGGCGGGTGCCCCAGCCGGTGCCGGTCTTGAGCTTGGGTCTGTCGGTGCGCACGAGCTTGTTGGAGTAGGCTGAGGCGATGCGTGAGAAGGGGTTGCGCACGAATGTGAACTTGAAGAAGTCTGGACGGGTCATGAGGCGAATCTGGGGACGAGGCGGGAAAGAGGGTTGAAATTGAATCTGAGCCGCCTCAAGAGACAGGGCAATGTGCAGAAGGGGTTGCGCACGAATGTGAACTTGAAGAAGTCCGGACGCGTCATGAGGCGTATCTGGGGGGGATGAAGGGGAGGGAGGGGGGATGGGGGAGAGGAGAGGGATGCAGGTAACGTTTGAGTTTACTCAGTAGTCACGGCGATGCGTGAAAAGGGGTTGCGCACGAATGTGAAATTGAAGAAGTCCGGGCGCGTCATGAGGCGAAAACGAATGGGGGAGGAAACGAGAGGCGGGTAAGGGAGAGAGGGGATGGGTTTAGGGTTACGAGTCGACTCAAGAGTCACCTTGACAGGGAGGAAGGGGTTGCGCACAAAGGTGAATTTGAAAAAGTCTGGGCGCATTATGAGCCGTATCTGACCAAGGGTTGCGAACGAAAGAGCGAAGAGGGAAGGAAAGAGGGACGGGAGTAGCTTCCAAGGGGTTGCAGACGAATGTGAACTTTCACCGCTTGCTCCTCGGTGAAATCGAGTGCGAGCTCGTGCAGCCCCCACTGCTTCTCGTTGAGAGCCAGCAGCGGGTTGTGAGACAAGTGTATCACCACCTCACCGCTCCCTTATTCTCTCTCCCACTCCACCCACCACCACTACAGCCAGCCAGCCCTCACAGCCTTTTCCTCGGTGAAATCAAGCACCAGCTTGTGCAGCCCCCACTGCTTCTCGTTGAGAGCCATAGCAGGTCCTCTGGGTTGGGCAGGCCTTGTGACTATCCCCACCCTCCACTACCTCACTCGCCCCACTCACCGCTTGTTCCTCGGTGAAATCAAGCGCCAGCTTGTGTAAGCCCCACTCCTTCTCGTTGAGCGCCAGCAGCGGGTCCTCTGGGTTGGGCAGGCCTTATGCGTGCCCTGAGCACAACAATCACTCCCAGCCCACCCACCAGCACCAGCACCACCACGACCACCTCACCCGCACCCACTCACCGCTTGTTCCTCGGTGAAATCAAGCGCCAACTCATGCAGCCCCCATTCCTTCTCGTTGAGCGCCAGCAGCGGGTCCTCCGGGTTGGGCAGACCCAGTGCGCACGACAGCAATCACTCCCAGCCCAGCCCACCACTACCACCTCACTCGCCCCACTCACCGCCTGTTCCTCGGTGAAATCCAAAGCTAGCTCGTGCAGCCCCCATTCCTTCTCGTTGAGCGCCAGCAGCGGGTCCTCTGGGTTGGGCAGACCCAGGCGCGCCCGCAGCCACATGAGCCAGGAGTTGCAGGCCACCTTGGGAATGGCGCAATAGACCAGCTTCAGGGACTCTGTGTGAAAGATTGGGAATGGGGTGTGGGGATGGGGACGGGTAGTACAAACAAGGGGCATAGTCTCAACATGAGCCACGAGTTGCAGGCCACCTTGGGAATGGCGCAGTAGACTAGCTTCAGGGGCTCTGAGGGGTGAGGGTGGGTGGCGAGGGGTGGGCGGGGATACATGAATGAATACAGGGGGGCAGCCGCAGGCGCGGCCTGAGCCGCATGAGGCACGAGTTGCAGGCAACCTTGGGGATGGCGCAGTAGACCAGCTTCAGGGACTCTGTGTCCCTTACCTTTGATGATGGTGAAGAGCGAGCAAGCTTCTGCTTGGTGAGAGGCAGCAGGGGTGGCGAGCCACAAACACACATGTATGATATAGGTAACGTAGGTCTAATCTACCTTCGATGATGGTGAAGCGAGCGAGCTTCTGCTTGGCGAGTGGCAACAGGGGCGACGAGTCAAGTCTCTAGAGTTGAAGGCATAGGGCTTAGGGCTTAAGGACTAGCCTTGTGTTCCTACCTTCGATGATGGTGAAGCGAGCGAGCTTTTGCTTGTGGAGCGGCAGCAGGGACGGCGAGTCACAGACGGGGCGCTGCACGCGGAACAGGTCGGAGCATAGCGGGCGAGGGAGCGTTGTGTGTGTCTGCCCTACCTTCAATGATGGTGAAGCGAGCGAGCTTTTGCTTGGTAATGGGCAGCAGGGGCGTAGGTATAGGGTCTAGGTTCTAGGAACTTGACTTTGGTACCTCTTACCTTCAATGATGGTGAAGCGCGCCAATTTCTGCTTGGTGAGAGGCAGCAGCGGCGGCGAGTCACAGACAGGGCGCTGCACGCGGAAGAGGTCGGAGCGGGCGGCACCGTGGGCGGCGATGAACATGGCTTGAGGCGAGGCGAAGCCGCCCTTGAGGGAGATGAGTCCCCTGGTCATGCCGAGAGCAAACAACTCCACTGCCTGTGATGGGGTGGCGGGGGAAGCAGATAGAGAAAGGAGGGTTTTCAAGGTGCATCGATAACACGTCCCTCAGGGAAACGAGCCTGCGCTGCACGGTATGCACAATGCAAACGGCTCCACTGCCAGCAGAAAGAGGTTGCCGTTATTGAGGTGCTTCAACATGCACCGCGCCGCACCCATCCACACCACCCATACTGCACCCACCTGCGCACCCACTCACCCACCCATGCTGCCAACCACACACCCACACGAGACCACACACACCTGCAGCCGGACACACAGCATGAGGTCGTCTGGTGAGAGTTTCTGCTTTATAAGCAGCTGCCGAACCTCTGCCCCGTTCCCCACTTCTGTCCCGTTTCCTCCCGCTACGATCCCCCCTCCATTATCCCCGCCAACAGCACCACCCCCATCCACTCCCTTCCCTCTTCCTTCTCCTTCTTTCCCTCCCCCACCTACCCCTCCTCCGCCTCCTTTTCTCCATTCCTCCACCCCGCCTTCCCCCAAATCCGCCCTCTCCCCCTTGGGACACGTGGCAGCGCGCGATTGGGTGGCTCGGAGCACGAAGGGCGCGCGGGCGGGGTGGAACGCGTCAGAGATCCGGCCGGCGTTGAGGGCGGTGCGGGCGGCGAGGGCGAAGTCTAGCGAGGGGCGCTTGAGAAAGGACATGGCGACGCGGCGCGTGGCGCAGAGGTGGGGCGAGGAGGTGGCGGATATGGGGCAGCCGGGACAGCCGTCTAGAGAGAGGTCCTGAAGGGGATGTGGGCGGGTGGGGGAAAGGGAGGGAGAGGAAGAGAGAGGAAGAGAGAGGGACCAAAATCTTTAGATTTCTTCAATCGAAGGAGAGAGGGTGACAGAAGTGTGCAAGCTCAGATTCTGAGTTGGGTCCAGAAGCGAGGACAGAGTGGGGTAAGGGGCTGTTGAGGGAGGCCATGGCAAGGCGGCGCGTTGACTTTTGAGTCGACTCAAAAGGCGGCGGTTGAGGAAGGCCATGGCAAGGCGGCGCGTCGCGCAGAGAGGAGCGGGGGAGGTGGCAGATAGTGCGGCCACGGGCGGGGCCTGGTGCAGTGCAGCGGCGGCGCTGCCATGCATGCCCGCTGTGCCAAGTCTTCTAAGGTGGACGTAGAGCGCAAGGGCAGGGGGGGTGGGAGGGAGGGGGTGGCAGGCAGCGCGGCTGAGAGCAACTCACATCGAGGTAGAGGGCGAGAGCGGACTTGAGACGGCCCAGGTCTTCCTGTAGCAGCAGCAGCGCGGCCATAGGCGGGGCCGGGAGCAGCGCTGCCTTTGAAGCACCTCAAAAGACGAGTGGAATGGGCACTCACATCGAGGTAGAGGGCGAGGGCAGACTTGAGGCGGCCCAGGTCCTCCTGTAGCAGCAGCTTCGCCACGGGCGGGGGGGGGGCTGGATGGAGCGCTGCCATGCATCCTGCCCCAGGCAGGCAGGCGACCTTTTGAGGCGCCTCAGAAGAGAGAGCAACTCACATCGAGTTAGAGGCCAAGGGCGGACTTGAGACGGCCCAGGTCCTCCTGTAGAGCAGCTCTGCCACGGGCGGGGGGCTGGATGGAGCGCTGCCATGCATGCGTGACGCGCCTATGTGCCGAAAGTTAGGGCGCCTCAGCTTAAGGCAACTCACGTCGAGGTAGAGGGCGAGGGCGGACTTGAGGCGGCCCAGGTCCTCCTGCAGCAGCAGCTCTGCCACGGGCGGGGCTGGTTGGAGCGCTGCCATGCACGCTGCCATGCGCCGCTCAAATGCACATGGGTTCACCGCGTCCTGTGGCGCATGGGTGGGGGAGAGAAGAAGAGAGGTGGAGGATATTGAGGGGGAGGTAGTGCAAAGGGATGCAGCGCTGCCATGCACGCTGCCATGCGCCGCTCAAATGCACATGGGTTCACCGCGTCCTGCACAGTGGGGTTGGGAGTGGTGGAGAGGAGTAGGAGAGAGTGCATAAGGGTGCAGCGCTGCCATGCATGCCGCCATGCGGCAGTCAAATGCAGAGGGGATCACTGCGTCCTTCACAGAGCGGTTGTGAGCGGTGGAGAAGAGTAGGAAGGAGTGCATGAGGGGTGCAGTGCTGCCATGCGACGCTCAAATGCACATGGGTTCACTGCGTCCTGCGCCATAGGTAAGGGGAGAGAGTGGGGGGGGTGGCGGGGGAAAAGTGAGGGAAGTGCATGGCTTTTGAGGGATCTCAAACGTCAAAAAGGGTGCCGTGCTGCCTGCCATGCACGCCGCCATGTGCTGCTCACTCAAATGCACATGGGTTCACTGCGTCCTGCGCCATAGGTAAGGGGAGAGAGTGGGGGGGGGTGGCGGGGGGAAAGTGAGGGAAGTGCATGGCTTTTGAGGGATCTCAAACGTCAAAAAGGGTGCCGTGCTGCCTGCCATGCACGCCGCCATGTGCTGCTCACTCAAATGCACATGGGTTCACTGCGTCCTGACTCACACGGGCAGGGGGAGGGGGTGGGGCGGTGCAGTGGAGGGTGGGAGAGTGGGGAGTGGGAGAGAGGGGAGTGCATGAGGGGAGTGCTTGTGGCTCGTTCTGAAAGGCTGGGAGGAAGAGACTGAGCGTGAGGGGAGGCGCTGGCAGTGGCACCACCTCAACACACCGCGTTGCACCTCATCAATCCATGCACCCACACACTGCACGCACCACAAGCCAGTTGATGGAGGCGGGCGAGAGGTACAGGCTGCGCGTGAGGGAGGAAACAGTGGCACCACAATGCACCCCCTTGCACCCCTCTGAACTCACCCACACACGGCACGCACCACGAGCCAGTTGATGGAGGCGGGCGAGAGGTACAGGCTGCGCGTGAGGGAGGAAACAGTGGCACCACAATGCACCCCCTTGCACCCCTCTGAACTCACCCACACACGGCACGCACCACGAGCCAGTTGATGGAGGCGGGCGAGAGGTACAGGCTGCGCGTGAGGGAGGAAACAGTGGCACCACAATGCACCCCCTTGCACCCCTCTGAACTCACCCACACACGGCACGCACCACGAGCCAGTTGATGGAGGCGGGCGAGATGTACAGGCTGAGCGTGAGCCACTGGCGGTGACACCACCGTAACATACCCCTTTGCACCTCACCTCACCACACACTGGCGACACAGCACGCACCACGAGCCAGTTGATGGAGGCGGGCGAGAGGTACAGGCTGAGCGTGAGCGAGGCAACAGCGGCATCCGGAGGGGCGCCCCGCTTCTGACACCCGCGGATGGTCACCTGCATGTGGAGGCGGCGGGGGAGGGAGAGGAGGCAGCGGAGGGGGAGGGAGGGGGGAGGCCTGAAGGGCGCAACATTGCTTGTGGCAGCAGTGACATCCGGAGGGGCGCCCCGCTTCTGACACCCGCGGATGGTCACCTGCGTGTGGCCGTGCAGGGGAGAGGAAGAGGAGGCGGACGGGCAGGGGGAAGGAGGGATCGGGGGGGTAAAGACGGGGCAGGCGGGCAGGTGGGCAGGTGGGCAGGCGGGCAGATGGGCAGGCGGGCAGATGGGCAGGCGGGCAGGTGGGAACAGGTGCAGTGGGGGAGGGCATGGAGGAAGGGATAAGGTAGGGCCCCAAGAGAAAGGGCGTGAATAGTGGGGGCAGTAAGACATACAGTGTGGCGTGGCAGGCAAAAATCGGCCACACTTGAAAGCTGACAGTGCCCCAGTCCTCTCCCCCTCACATAGATAGATGCAAAGATACCCCCCTGGTCCCCCTCCACCCGTCAGGGTCATGCTAGGAGCGTACACACAGATGCATGGCAATGAGAGGCCTCTTGTTGTATCTTACAGGTCGGTGGGTGAGTGCAAGGAACGTCTGAGGCGCCTGAAAAGCTCCCAGCACAGACACGGACTCATGGTAATGAGAGGCCTCCCGTCGTATCTTACAGGTCGGTGGGTGAGTGCAAGGAACGTCTGAGGCGCCTGAAAAGCTCCCAGCACAGACACTGACTCATGGTAATGAGAGGCCTCTCGTCGTATCTTACAGGTCGGTGGGTGAGTGCAAGGAACTCGCGCCAGTGGGCAGCCGTCTCATTCACCTCCTCCACCCACACAAACCGCGCTGCACCCCCGACCTTGCTGCCACCACCACCACCACCACCACCACCACCGCTGCTACTGCTGCTGCCGCTGCCGCCCGTGCCTCCGCTGCTGCTGTTGTTGGCCCCTGTCCCTCTCCCCGTGGCATTCCCAAGCTCCGCACCCCCTCCTGACCCCTCTCTACCGCCATTGCTTAGCCCCTCCCCGCTCTCCCCGGCCTCCCCAGCAGCAGCACGCAAGGCCCGCCCTTCCACGTCAGCAGGAGGGGGGGGGATACCAGACGCGCCAGAGGCGGGGTTACCAGAGGCTGGGTTACCAGAGGCGGGGTTACCAGAGGCGGGGTTACCAGAGGCGGGGTTACCAGAGGCGGCAGCAGGAGCTAGGGTGAAGAGGTATGAGAAGCGGATGTGCGGCATGAAGGCATCAGGCACCCAGAGGGCGAGCGTTGTGAGGTTGGCTGCTGGCAGCAGGGCGGCCGCGGCACAGATGGATGATAGCCGCGCGCCCAGATCGCCCTGGAAGGACGGGGGGATGGTGGGGGGAGAGGCCAAGAGGCGGGGAAGAAGAGGGGGAGAAGAGTCGGAGGAGATATGGAGGACAGATGGAGAAGAAGGGGGGAAGGTGAGCAGAGGCGGTTGGAGGACGGGAGAGGGGAGAGAGAAAGAAGGGGAGCAGGGAGTTGGAGACGAGAGGGAATGCGAGGGGAAGAGCACAAATAAAGGCTGTAAATGATGAGGTTGCATGGTGGGGGGAGGAGCACTAAAGTGGGGGCAGAGCAGGCACGGAGCAGAGCAACGGGCAGTTGGCACACAACTACGAGTCGCATCCCAGCTTACCTCCGCTATAATCACAGCGTCGGGCGGCCGGCACACCGCTAGCTGCCCTCGCTCCCGGCAGTACCGGCCCTGCCCCTGCTGACCCAGCCCCCAGAACTCGTCCAATCCTCCGCTGCCACGTGTCCCGTCGTCCAGGTCATCATAGCTGCCGGAGATGCCCGTCTGCGAACGCGCGACCCCGCCGTCTCCGTCATCGTCGTCGTCGCCGAATTCTACGGTCAGGACTATCATCAGTAGAAGCACGCTTAGGAGACATAGCGAGAAGATCCCGCGTCGCGTCCCTAGTCGCCAGCTGCAATGCCACTGGCGGCTCGAGCTGCCGGTGGCCTTGGTCAATGGCGTTGCCATTTCAAACGGCTATGAAGTAGAAGGTCAGTTGTAATTAGGTTTCCATATTCTTGCGACGGTGTCCTCCTGCTGTTTCCGTGCTGATTGCTCAGCGAATGCAGTGAGTGTATGTTGATACTAGTAGCCCGTCGTACGCGATAAGACGCGTTCACTAGCAGCTACAGCGAAAAGGACCGATGTTCGTGTGTCGACTGGACTCGAGACTTCAGGTGATGAACGGCTGACATCTATCGAAGGTTGAATCAACCGACAATGACTGAACGAATGTTGAAGCGAGCCAATAGAGGACCAGGAGCAGTCGACACTGCAGGAAAGCACGTGTGTGCTTTTAAGCTAACGCCTTCAGGATGCTGGCGTCGAGAATCATTTGGTAAGGGCGTATTCCTGGCCTTGTGTCATCCCGGCTTCATGTCATCCGAAATTTGCGGTATCCAATCGAAAAATTCAAATTTCGAACCGCGTGTTTTTCGATTGGCTACCTTAATTGTCGGATGACACAAACAACGGATGACTCGAAGCTAGGAGTACGCCCTAATTTGCTGCAAAGCAGTATCATGTGCAATAGCTGATTTCAAGTTGTTGCTACGACACTGCACTCGCTTCTAAACGGTCTCGCTCCAAGCTGAGGATGAGAAGCTTTTGTCAGCCTCCCTGATCAAATATGCTCCTAGATTGAACCTTGCCTGCTGGAAACGGCTAGTATCAGACTGGAGCTTTGCTAGGGCGACCCGGACCAGAATCCATGACAAAGTTGAAGTCGCTCCGATCTTAGTGTCTCCGTTGAAAAGCTGAGAAATTCTCCAGTCAAACACTGTACAATGCACACTCCAATTTCCATCACCATATGATTGGAGACACATGTGTAAACAAAACTAACACATTGGAAAAAGTGTTTTAAATATGCTGGCTATCAACAATATTTAAAACTCAAATGATATTAATTATGATAAAACTTTTCAAACTTGAAGGGTATTTCCTGCCAATTAAATAGGAAGCAGTTTGTTTGGTAAAATACCAGCTAAAACAATGCAGTCAACCCTTGATGTCGAACAGGCAGATTAGCGAAGCCCAGTTTTCCTATCAGCCGTCGTGGTTCCGCGTTTTGGTGGTGAATTGTTCTCCCATTCCGCCCCCCAGCTGTCGCGTACTCTCGGATTCCCCCATCCCCCCACTCCCCCATCCCTGCGCTGAGTACCCCCCGCAACTCCCTCCAACTTTCCTCCATCCCCTCCCCGTGGGTTTGACCTCACCACCACGCTTCCTGCTCCCCTCTCCCTCCCCGCTACCTCTTAGCTCCAATTCACTCCTAAATTTTCCTCTCTTCCTGCTAAGATCTTTCCCCCTCCCTTGCTCCCTTCACCCTTTCCCTAGCCGTAGCGCGAAGCGTGCAGCCATGGCGCTGTCACAGAGGGAGGCGGATATTCAGATGATGCTCGCGGCGAAGGTGCACCTGGGCACCAAGAACTGCAACTACCAGATGGAGCGCTACGTCTGGAAGCGCGGCGCGGACGGTACGTCCGCCGTGTAGTTTGCAATCTTAGCGGTCTGCAATCGGGTTTGTGATGGCGGCGCATTTCCTTACTGTGTTGGAGTGTCGGCGGAGTGCGCGATCTCGGCATTATTGATCGGAAACGGGCATTAGGGTTCGGAGCGGTTCCGCGGCTCGTGGAAGTAGCAATCGTACTTAGACGCGGAAGTAACGCATCAGACGCGGGCTGGCTTGCCTTGCAGCGGATGCTGTTGCTGTCGCAGGTGCTTGGACGATTTTCGGACGTCGTTGGTCAGACACTAAGATCTTCGTCACGTCCAGTCTGAGTACGAGTATTAAAACGAGCAGTGTAGATCGACGAGCGAGAGGATATTTCGGGAAGAGGAAGGATGTGGGTGGGAGAGTGGGGATCGGAGGAAATGGTGGAATTGGGTGGACATTGGAGGTTCTAGATGGTAGCGTAATCGATTTAGTTGATACGTTTTTTTCTGGGAGGGTCTAATGGTAGTTCACTTGACTTCTTCGACACGTCGCATGCTGGCGAAAGTTTGAGGTGCACGAGACGAGGCACGCGAAAGAGTCGTACGAGTTCCCGGCAGGTAGCTTGCTGCGACGGACACAGATTCACCTCTGCAAAGGTCGCAATGGGTAGTCACAAGTGGTCGTCGCAAGCGATCGTCGCAAGAGGTCGTCGCAAGCGATCGTCGCAAGAGGTCGTCGCCTTAGGGCGCAGAAGCATACTGTAGTGTGAATACAGCAGTGCCAGGAGGTTCAAGAGAATTTTCCGAAGCCTTCTTTGCTTTTTTTTATGGAATCTCGACGCGGAGACGCTCATTATCTGCGGATAGCCTTAGCTTGAGAGGGGTTTGCATGTTGAATGGCTGGACACGGGGAATGCTGTTTCAGCAGGCGTAGCAGGCCTCAGACTGACGAATGTCTGGTCCGAAGAGTTGAGAGTTTCGACTCCTTCCGAGTCATCAGTACTCTGAGCCTCTGTCAAGCCTTACCGGAATTGAATTAAGGGAATCTTTAAGCGGTGTGTTTCATGACCTCAAGAGCTAGTTTCGCCGGCTCCCGCGCGGACCTCGTCTCCCAGGAATTTTACGTGGAGTGACGTGGCCCCCATTCCCACTTTCCCATTTCCCCTCCTCATCCCTTCGTCGCTATACGCCGATAATTTTTAAAATCTAAGCACAAATTTATCCTCGACTGCCATCGCATGGTGCCTGTCCGCTGCCTCTCGCGCGTTCCCAAGTTCATTATTCGTCAGCCTCTCCAAGTCCTGCGGAGGATGGCGCCTGTGTTTCGCGTGTCTTTTCTTTCGATCCCGCTCTGCCTCAAAATCAGACTTGTATTCTCCCGCCGCCATCCCCCCCCAACCTCCCTCCCCCCACCTTCTCGCGCATTCTCCCTCCCCCCACCTTCCCGCGGATTCTCCCTCCCCCCACCTTCCCGCGCATTCTCCCTCCCCCCACCTTCCCGCGCATTCTCCCTCCCCCCACCTTCCCGCGCATTCTCCCTCCCCCCACCTTCCCGCGCATTCTCCCTCCCCCCACCTTCCCGCGCATTCTCCCTCCCCCCACCTTCCCGCGCATTCTCCCTCCCCCCACCTTCCCGCGCATTCTCCCTCCCCCCACCTTCCCGCGCATCCTCTCTTTTCTTTGAATCCCCAGGTGTGTTCATCATCAACCTCGCCAAGACGTGGGACAAGCTGCAGATGGCGGCGCGCGTGATCGTCGCGATCGAGAACCCGCAGGACATCTGCGTGCAGTCGGCGCGGCCGTACGGGCAGCGCGCCGTGCTCAAGTTCGCGCAGTACACGGGCGCCAACGCCATCGCGGGCCGCCACACCCCCGGAACCTTCACCAATCAGCTGCAGAACAACTTCAGCGAGCCGCGCCTGCTCGTCCTCACCGACCCGCGCGTTGACCACCAGGTACGCCGTTGACCGCGTTGACCGTGTTTGCCTCGTTGACCGCGTTGACCGTGTACTAAATTAGGTTATCACTTATTCCTCCCCTCCCCCTAACACCAACCCCGCCCCAATCCCGCCGCGCGCCCCCCTCCCCTCCCCCCCCTCTCTTCTCCTCCTTTCCCCTCTTTACCTCGCCCCAATCTCATCCTTTCCCTGTGCCCTCATTAATCTTTCCTCCCTTGTCTTGTCCCCTCCCCTTCCCTTCCTCCGTTCTGCGATACGGACATCTCCACGTGGGACTCGCTGATCCCCACTCACCCTCCATTCTCCCTGCCCCTATTCCACCGCTTTCCTCCCCCAACCCCCCCACCCCCTCCCCTCCTCCCCCCCCTCCGTTCTCCCTCCCCCTTGTTCCTCCCCACTTTCCCTCTCCTCCCCCCCAACCCCGCCCCCCGCACCCTCGCCCCCCCGCCTCCCCCGTCAGCCCGCGGCGGAGGCGGCGCTGAGCAACATCCCCACTATTGCGTTCTGCGATACGGACAGCCCGATGCGGTACGTGGACCTGGGCATCCCCGCCAACAACCGCGCCAAGCACTCCATCGGCTGCCTCTACTGGCTGCTCGCGCGCATGGTGCTGCAGATGCGCGGCTCCATCCTCCCCAGCCAGCCCTGGGACGTCATGGTGAGTCGCTGTCAGGATGGGGGAGGGGCGCTTGGGGGTGGGCTGCGGGACGTCATGGTGAGCCGCTGCAAGGGTTAGGGGGATGTTGGGAAATGGCGAGGGGGAGGGGAAGGGAGGGGGAGGGAGTCATCTGACAGTTGGGGAGGGGGTTGAGGGGGAAAAGGGTGAGAGGGGGAAAGGGTGAGAGGGGGATAGAAATAGCGGGTTGAGAGCAGGAAACAGGAACTGGGGGTCTAAAGAAGGGGGTATAAGAAGGGGGGAATGCCTCGTGAGCGGTGCTGCAGATGTGCGGCCACGATGTAGTTTAGTGGACATGCGTGGCGACGCCGTAGAGAGGATTTAATTATGAGGCGCCTCAGGACGAGGGGGAACGCGGAGGAGAAGACGCCTCCAACGATCGTTGGAGGGGGGGGAGTAGTGGGGGGAGTACTGGGGGAATAGCAAGGCGAGGCGAGGACGAGGGCGAACTTCTCCTCCTCCCATACAGGAGGAGGGCGTGGGTGGAGAAAGATGTGGAAGGTGGTAGATTGCACATGGCACACCAGAGATGGCGGATGACACGTGGGGCATGGGAGGTGGCACGTGGGAGAGGGCACGTGGGGCATGGGAGGTGGCACGTGGGAGAGGGCACGTGGGGCATGGGAGATGCCACGTGGTCCATGGGAGATGGGAGATTTCACATGGGAGATGGCACATGGGGAATGGCTCATGGGGGATGGGACATGGGGGATGGAACATGTTGAATCAGCAGGACGTGCTGGTTGCGATCATCCCAAACCCGTCGTTGCTACTGCCCATGAATGACAGGCAGACAAAGCAGTTGCACGTGCAGCAGCGTTTGCCGCAGTACCGGTAGCAACAACAGCAGAAGTGACAGTAGAAGCAGGAGGAGCAGTGGCAGAAGGAGCAGTAGCAATAGCAGTAGCAGTAGCAGGAGTAGAAGCAGCCATAGCAGCAGCAGCCGCAGATACAGCAGCTGGTCTAAGAGAGAGGGGTGTGACTGGATATGGAGCGGTAGCATGCGGTGCATCAGCCCTCGTTATCAAGCATTCCACCATAGACCGTGACACCTGATGCCTGCTGTTAATTCTGTGTCCCTCTACTTGTCTTCCCATCCCCACCCTGTCCCATTCCGTTATTGTCACCCTGCTATTGTCACCTGTTATTGTCACGCGCAGGTGGACCTGTTCTTCTACCGCGACCCTGAGGAGACCAAGGAGGAGCAGCCCGAGGAGGGCGTGTTTTAAGACGTCTCAAAACACCTCTTATTGTCACCCCCGCATGTTGTCACGCGCAGGTGGACCTGTTCTTCTACCGCGACCCTGAGGAGACCAAGGAGGAGCAGCCTGAGGAGGGTGTTGCGGCGGAGTTCGCAGCGGTGGAGTTCGGTGCTGTGCCCCAGATCGCGGAGGGGCAATGGGATGCTGCCGCTCCCACTGGTGACTGGGACGCTGCTGCTGCCGCCCCTGCTGGTACGTGCCTGTGGGGGAGAGAGCAGGTTTTGGTTCGGAAAGGTGTGGTTTGGCTCGGGAAGGTGTGGTTTGGCTAGGAAGGCAGGGTTTGAGGTTTAGTCGAGTATGGGGTTTGGTGAATGAAAGAGCTTTGGATGATGAGCTTAGAGAGGTAGGAATTACCTGAAGACCTCCTTTTCATGCATAATGAGCAGTCAAGCCTGCTGGACACGCACACAATGATCCATTCGAAGCCAATGATGCTGTCTCTCTCACTGCAACCCATCCATCCACTCCCTCCCACTTCCCCCTGCTATCTGTCCCACTTCCCCCTGCTATCTGTTCCACTTCCCCCTGCTATCTGTCCCACTTCCCCCTGCTATCTGTTCCACTTCCCCCTGCTATCTGTCCCACTTCCCCCTGCTATCTGTCCCACTTCCCCCTGCTATCTGTTCCACTTCCCCCTGCTATCTGTCCCACTTCCCCCTGCTATCTGTTCCACTTCCCCCTGCTATCTGTCCCACTTCCCCCTGCTATCTGTTCCACTTCCCCCTGCTATCTGTCCCACTTCCCCCTGCTATCTGTCCCACTTCCCCCTGCTATCTGTTCCACTTCCCCCTGCTATCTGTCCCACTTCCCCCTGCTATCTGTTCCACTTCCCCCTGCTATCTGTCCCACTTCCCCCTGCTATCTGTTCCACTTCCCCCTGCTATCTGTCCCACTTCCCCCTGCTATCTGTCCCACTTCCCCCTGCTATCTGTTCCACTTCCCCCTGCTATCTGTTCCACTTCCCCCTGCTATCTGTCCCACTTCCCCCTGCTATCTGTTCCACTTCCCCCTGCTATCTGTTCCACTTCCCCCTGCTATCTGTTCCACTTCCCCCTGCTATCTGTTCCACTTCCCCCTGCTATCTGTTCCACTTCCCCCTGCTATCTGTTCCACTTCCCCCTGCTATCTGTTCCACTTCCCCCTGCTATCTGTTCCACTTCCCCCTGCTATCTGTTCCACTTCCCCCTGCTATCTGTTCCACTTCCCCCTGCTATCTGTTCCACTTCCCCCTGCTATCTGTTCCACTTCCCCCTGCTATCTGTTCCACTTCCCCCTGCTATCTGTTCCACTTCCCCCTGCTATCTGTTCCACTTCCCCCTGCTATCTGTTCCACTTCCCCCTGCTATCTGTTCCACTTCCCCCTGCTATCTGTTCCACTTCCCCCTGCTATCTGTTCCACTTCCCCCTGCTATCTGTTCCACTTCCCCCTGCTATCTGTTCCACTTCCCCCTGCTATCTGTTCCACTTCCCCCTGCTATCTGTTCCACTTCCCCCTGCTATCTGTTCCACTTCCCCCTGCTATCTGTTCCACTTCCCCCTGCTATCTGTTCCACTTCCCCCTGCTATCTCTCCCAACACTGCAGGTGCTGTGCCGGCTGTTGCTGGTGGCTGGGATGCTGCTGCTCCCCCTGCTGCGGGCGCTCCTGCTGCCGTGTCATCAGGCTGGGATGCCGCTGCTGCCCCCGTGCCTGGTGTGCCCGGGGCTGGCTGGGACGCTGCTGCCCCCGGTGGCTGGGAGGCTGCCCCTCCCCAGTAAACACCTGCTCCAGATGCGACCTGCCTAGTTGGGGTTTGTGCGCACTGCAGCACCAGAAGAAGGCAGATCTTGTCCGCTGCTGTATTGTTGTTTCCGTTTATGAAGGAAGAGAGTTGTCTTGCAGGATACATGGTTGTGATGTCGCTCTTAAGAATGAAATAGAATGTCATGTTCAGTTCTTCAGAATTACTCGTCATAACAAAAAAGAAATCCTCCGCTGAAAAGGATCTGAAGTCCAATATTGCACTTCTAATAGGGTAAGCGCTGGACAGTGTATAGTGTATATCTGAATCCATCGTACCAACCGCAAATGGAGCAGTGATGTGGTTGGCTTTGAACCATTTGCCATGCATAGTTTTAGCAGCGGGCTGTTGCTTATGTGGCGTGCTTGAGGTGTTTTGACCTGAGAGGCTGACACGGGGACCACTGGGACGTACATTTGCCGCCATCCACGTGCCATAACGACAACTAGTGTGACTGCACGGGGATAAGGCTGTTCCTCATCAAGCCAATGACAGCTATGGCCGACTCGTGATCACGTGATGGTCAGTGGAGATCTGGGAAAAATTCCGCGACGCGACAGGCGCCGGACTTCTCTCAATCCCATCGACCAAGTTCGCACCGCAGGTAGGGCGATCCAAACCTCGGCCAAATGGATCGACCTACATGCGCTTTTTGCGATAAAGATAGACAATTCTGATGCGTAAGAGTCGGTGGTCCCTCTCGATGTCATTGTTTCGGAAGCGCGATTATGTTTGGCGCGCGTGCCACGTTTCTTGTTTACTGGAATATATATTGCGCGGGCAAGAAAAAAATAAACCCCATCCAGATGGCATGCCATTCGGGAGCCTCAACCCTAAAATTTTAGGGTTGAGGCTCTTGAATGGCATGCCGTAAGCCATGGGGTTTATTTTGTTTGCCCGCGGTCAGCATGCTGACTCACTCGGTAGCGTCGTGTAGCGAAACCAAATATTTATTTTGGAAGAATCGGAACCTCAACTGTAATTTCGCGAATCTGACCGTAAAACCAAATGGCACCTGTAACGCCTAGTTAAAAGCGTTTGCAGCATGAAAATAACGTGGAAGCGCATGTAGGTCGATCCATTTGGCCGAGGTTCGGATCGCCCTATCTGTGGTGCGAGCTTGGTCGATGGGTTTGAGAGAAGTTCGGGATCTGTCGTGTCGCGCAATTTTTCCGGAGATCTGGTTACGAAACTGCCGAGGAAAAAGAGTGAGTTTTGTCATCACTGTAGATCGATGCTTGAAGGACTTCACTGAATAAAATTTCTCGAAGTAACTGGATTAATGTACTTCAGTGCACACATCTGGTAATGGAAGTCACTCCGTATGAATAGTTTTTGACGACGATTGAAGCTCCTTGTTTCACAACTCTCTAGCATATTCTTTTGAGCAACTTCCCATGAATGTTCTTACACGCAGCATCATCATTACAAATGTGGAATCATTCTGTCTGCGGTCAGCACAACCCCAAGCGTGAAAGATGTGATGACAGGGGCTGCCGCATCCCATCTCAACCCAGCTCCCCGCTGTTGCTGCGCTGGCCGCGGGCGTCCTCGACCTTGCTGCGGATGCTTCGTGTCTGAAAAGCAGTCCCGTGGGCTGGTGGTGCCCGAAAAAGTAACAACTGGGGAGCGCGGGGTGACAGCTTGCGAAACGCAGAAAGGTGGCGGGCAGCAATCGCCCCAACGAAAATTGTACAGTACTACAGTTCCCTTCCGTAGCGCCAACAACAAGGCCCGCTCGCTCCCTCTTCGCGTTTACATGTACAGTACCGCCAGATGAAGGGTTTCCTTCCTGCCCAGCCCCATTTCTGCCCCCTTTTCTTCCCCGTTACTTTCCCCTTTTCCCGTTCCGCTCCCCTTACCCTTCCTTTCATCCCTTTGGTCGGACTTCCCCCCTTCTCCTCCTTTCCCTTCTTGATTTGGCAAGCCAGCTGCTTTCCCTTGGCTACAAAACCTCCTCCACCACCTCATTCCGCGGCTGTCTAAGATTGCGTTGCTGCGAACTTTTAGGTACCCTTCACCCATCACTAGAGCTCTCCTTGTGCCGCCCTTGTCCCTGGATTAGTTAGACGAACTGGCTTTCTCGTGCTGACGGCGACATAAGAACCCAGCCTCTTTTTTTCGCTGTCACTGACAGCGTTACAGAGGTTTTCTGCGACCTCTGTCGGGATCCCTGTAATTTCTTTTGAGGGTTTCTACCCTTTCCTACTAAGTGCACCTTTCGTTCATTTTCGCTGAGGAGCCTTCACCTTCAGCTTCAGCAGATAAACCTGTGCAACAACAGCGGCTGTATATTTCCAACCTTTTTTTCCTACGTGTCAATCCACGTGGAGAAGGACGGCATGGAGAGCTTGATGGGTACTCAACTTATTTTCGGCCAACAGAACTTGCTGCAGCTTAAGCAGCTTCAGGCTGCGGCAGCAGCGGCCACGGCACTGTCTGCTGGCCAGTATCTTCCCGTTGACGTTAACCTGCTTCTGCAACTTCAAAACATGCCCGGGATTCAGAGCGATGTCCCTTTTCCTTCGCTCGCGTCGGACGCTCGTCCTCGCCTTACCTGGACTGATAAGGTATGTTTTCTTCGATTCTGTTGATGTATCAATAATGCTCTCGCATATTCCGGATCTTACAAAAGGGTTATTTTTGTCTCTCGCAGGAGGATTGCTTGCTGAAGGAGCTGATCCGTCAGCACGGGACGAACAAGTGGGCTCTTGTTGCTTCTAAGATTCGCACCAAGACGAACAAGCAGTGCCGTCGCAGGTGGCAGGCTTTCCTGAACGCCATGGGTAACAAGGGCGTGTGGACACCCGAGGAGGATGAGAAGCTTTTGGAAGGTCACCGCCTGTACGGCAACCGCTGGACGGAAATTGCTCGCATGGTTCCTGGAAGGTACTTACCTCTCACTCATCCTTTACCCGCTTCGCTCCCGAGTTATTCTGCTGGAGTCGCGTGCATTTTCTTGTTCTAATGTCGAACATCTTCGTGCGTATTTCGTATTTCAGGACTGACAACGCTGCTAAGAATCGGTTCGCGGCTTTGACTGCTAAGCGCGGTGGTGCTGTTCCACAAAATCAGTCCAAGTCACCCTCCCATTCGGCCGTCTCTGAAAACGTGAGCACCAGCCAGGTCGGCGAGTCGTCTTCCGTATTGAGCGAGAGACCAAGTTCCAAGAGGAGCCGATCCGAAGTGCACTGGATGGATCGCGCTGTGAAATCGAAGGTGGAATTCGATCTTAACTCTGCTCCAGTGGCTGCTGCTGCGTTGGCTCCCCAGACCAGCAGCGCGTGCTCCGAGGTGGAGCAGTGCGTGGAAGGTTCCTTCCTTCCCGACCTTAACTGCCCACTTCCAGAGCTTACGCTCTCGCTGTAGGCTAGGCGAGTGTGCTTTTCTGGCGAGTGTGCTTTTAGTTAGTCTAGACGCTTCTCTCGTGCAGGCTCATGGCTCTTATTGCCGTTTTTTCCCTGCCCGAAGGTAGTCTCTAGGCGGCTTGCATACTCGCCATGTTGAACTCGGCAGCAGCGCTTCTGTGCATAGGTGGTTCCACCTTGGCTTTTTCTTGTCTGCGTGCAAGTTGATCCCTTCTGGGATATGCCAATGTCACTTTTGTAGATCTTTGCCTAGTACTGTATTACCTGATCTTTTATCAATGAGTAGAGATTACTAAGGAACATTTTAATCCAGCTCCTTTTGCAAGCTAGCTGTTGATATTTGTGTTGCAATGGGGTTATGTGAAGGGCATTGCAATGAAATGAACCTTTTCTCTTTCCTGTAATCATGAATTGAACCACCCCGCACCATTATGAATTCCACCGTAATGTTGTATTGCTGAGCACTCCCGCCATGGCCTCACCCGCTCTCTACGCCAACAACTAGGATTCAGTGAAAGGATCACGTTAGCATTTCCGCAGCTCGGCTCTTTTCGTGCATTCCAGATGGAGCTCTCAGAGGAACTCGTTATTCCAGGCACCAGCGCGAAAGAATCGGGAGAAGCGAAGCCTGCCGCTTCATCCGCGGCCGCTCCCTCTTCTCCTCCGCCGTCCGCGAAAGGCATCGTCGCGTCGCTAGTGCACGCATTCGAGGTCCACACGCAACATCAACATCAACACCTGGATCTCGCATTTCAATCTGCCCCTCACGGGTCCGGTGATGGCGGCGACGAGCCTGTTCAGGAGCGACACCGCCGGCGAGATCCAATATGTCGCGAATTCGAGGACCAGCCGTTCCCGAAGCGCGCGAAGCTGGGCGACGTGGATGAAGGTTTCGCCGAACGTGCTGCTGCTGCTGCCGAGCGTATATCTCCACCATCGCATGTTGCTGCCGACGGCCCTAAAAATTCGTCCCCAACGCATATTCCTGATGAGGGACCTCGACTTGCGTCTCCACGGAAGGCTGACACTGACGCGCTAGCAATTAATCCAAGCTCGTTACACGACGAGCCGGCTCCTCATGGTAGTGCGGAAGGTGCATCTGTCGCGAACAACGATGGACTTCGTATTACCGCGAATGGCGCGAGTGGTGCGATTCGTGATGCTGCTGCTAGTGATGCGTCCGCTGCGGGGGGGATCGACGAGCTGTGGCGGAAGGCGGAGCTGCGCGCGGTGACTGCGGAGGTGGCGGAAAGCGAGGCGCGGGTGAAAGCGCTGGAGGCGGAGCGGGATGCGCTAGAATTGAGGGTTGCACGCGTCAGTGAGAGATGCAAGAAGGTGAGCTGGCATCTCGTTATCATCCCCTTTTAACACTCTTAGCGAATGGTGTGAAGTAGTTGAGAGCGATGCAGGCAAAGCAGAATGCATGGGAAACAAAATGGATTCCCCCCCTCCCTTCCGTCCTCCTCCCCTCCCCTCCCTCCAAAAATGCATCCAGGTGTATTTATAATGTGCCAGGTGCCGACAACTGTAAACCACCAAATTCTCTGACAATCTTCCTTTTTATGCTGCCACGTGCCAGGCAGAGGCGTCAGTTCAAGAAGCCACGTCAGCGGTGCATTTGGCGCAGCATGCGCAGTACTCTTTGCGTGCGGCAGAATGGGCGGCAGTAGTGGGAGTGAGAGAGGGAGCTGCGGCAGCAGAGGAAGGGAGAAGGAGGCTGAACCAGCTGCTGATGCTGGCAGGATCTGAATCAGGGCACGGGGATGAGACAACCAAGAGTATCACACTTGGTAGTATGCTGCTGCTGCAAGGCTCGCAGGAAGCATCAGGGATGCGCGATAAGAAGGAGCTTGCAGCACATGGCTTGCTGCAGGCGGGGCAGCAGCAAGATGCGATTGGTGGGGCGGAGGGACGGCGAGAGCATGGGCACGCGGAGGGAGGAAGGGAGCGAGGATTTGAGGGGGGTGGGAGGTTGGAGGCAGGGCCATTGGATGCTCCAAATGCGTTGAAGGCCGTGCAGGTAGTCAGAATGGTTTGTTTCTTACAGGTTGGCAACGGGGTTGGTCTGGTTAGGCTGCTGCGACTTGATAATAGATCTGTTTTGATTATCAATTGACCTTTTTTAAATTTTTTTTTTTTTTTTTTTTCCGCTCATCTTCTTCTTCCCCCATTCTCCCCCATCCCCTTCCCACCTTCCCGTCCCTCCTTATGATGGTCAGAATGTCAGCAAAAGATCTCTCTGCTCTGCAGCATCCGTTCGAGTCGACTCAGATGGCAGCAAGAGATCTCTCTGCAGCATCCTTTGCTGTGGCAGGTCCTGGCGAAGACTTGGGTGCTGTAGAGGAGCATGTGCATGTATCCACCTCCTCTTTCCCTCATTCTCCTAAATTCCCTTCTCTCTCGTCCTCCCCCCTTCATCCGACGCGTACCCCCAACTCCCCACGTCCCTTCTCCCCGTTCGCTCTGTTCAGATGGCAGCAAAGGATCTCTCTGCGGCATCTATTGCCGTGACAGATCAAGGTGCGGCCTTGGGTCCTGTGGAGGAGCATGTGCATGTTTCACTCCACCGTCTCCCTCCCTCATTCTCCCGCATTCCCCTTCTCCTCTCTCGTCCTCTCCCTCCTCTTGCCATGCCCAGCTGGCAGCAAAGGATTTCTCTGCGGTATCCTTTACCGTGGCAGATCGTGGTGTAGACTTGGGTGCTGTAGAGGAGCATGTGCTCCGCATCAATAGGAAATGGCTAAATTATTTTAAACTGCAGCACGTGCTGTTTAATCAAAATGCTGCAGATTAGTAATTATTGGGGAATGGGTTGGGTCCTCTCCTTATGGAGGTTCTTACCTGTACATGCAAACATGTGTCTTCCAGCACTGGCATCAGAAAGATGTATAGATACAGGTAGTACATGCAAACAAGAGACTTCCAGCACTGGCATCAGAAAGATGTATAGATACTGGTACAGATGATTCATGTAAACCTGATACAGAACAAGATACACTTCCAATGGAAAGACTAAGATACTTCGGACCCACACCGCACACACTTGTGAGAAAGAGCAAACAAGCTTCTCTGACTGTACAGGACGGTTCAATGCACCCTGTGGACAGGGTTCACTCAGTGGATATATGAACTATATATACATAATCCACTGAGGCCGCAATAGAAACTTGAAGCCATCTGTCTGGAAGACGTTTGAGGCAAGTCACGCAGTGACAGCTCCCCGCAGCAGCATGCAGCAACAGGAGTGCCCACGAACTGTATCTATGTTGGGTGGTGGTCAACCACCGGCACCCCATGCGCTCGCAGCCACATGGAATGAATGAATGACCGCTGCTCTTCCCCTTGCCTACACTTAGTGGCCGTCGGCATCTCTATGTTGAGTGGTGGTCAACCACCGGCACCCCATGGGTTCGCAGCCACACGTGTATGCATGACTGCTGCTCTTCTCTATGCCCGCGCTGGGTGGCCGTCAGCATCTCTATGTTGGGTGGTGGTCAACCACCGGCACCCCATGGGCTTGCAGCCACAGGGGCATGCGGAAGTGCGAGGAGAGGAAGGGGCGCACGTCTGGGTGCAGCGACAATGTCTCGAGTAGTGGCAGCAGCACTTGCAGCAACTGAGGGAGAGGGAGGGGGAGTGGGTAGCGGAGTGGGTAGGGGGGGGAGTAGGGGAGGCAGAAGATAGATCAGGGGAGTGGACGGAGGCACTGGGCCAGCAGGCCCGAGGTTTGAATGAGCGCTGCAAAACGCTCGAGGGTCATCGCTGGCCGAACCGGAGTAGCGTACTCGCACGAGGCGAGACATCTAGCCCCTCACGGCGATTGCTCACCTGCCTGTCGGACCCCTCGCACCCGGAAAAAGGCACACGCAGGGCACGCCGTTCAGTGGTTGCAGTAGGAAAGCGAAGGGGCTGTCGATAACACCGTGCGAGTTGTCGATGATTACAGTGCAGCAACCACCACTGCTCACCTGTCTGTCAGACCGCCCCCGGAAAAAAGGCACGCAGGCAACACCATTGGCTGGGTGCAATAGGAAGGCGAAGGGGTTGTTGTCGATGATCATTGTGCGGCAACCACCACTGCTCTCCTCACCCGCTTGTCTGCCCGAACCCTAGCAACCACCACTGCTCTCCTGCCTGCCCAGCCCCTCACGACGATTGCTCACCTGTCTGTCCGTTCCCTCGCCACCAAAGAAGGGCACACACGGCACGCCGTTGACTGGTTGCAGCAGGAAGGCGAAGGGGTTGTTGTCGATGATCACAGTGCGGCTCAGATCCCGCCCCAACACTGCCAGGTCCTTCACGTGCTGCCTCGTGCCACTGGGATGAGAACGGGGGACAGCGAAACGCGGGGGGGGGGGGGGAGAGGGGGGGGGTGGAATGGGGAAGGTGTAAGGTGGTTGTTCTTATAGGGCCAACATTGCCCGGTCCTTCACATGCTGCTACGTGCGTCTGGAACGAGAATGGGGGAGAGCGTGAAGCGGGGAGGATGTGGATGGGGACGGTGTAAGGTGGCTGTTTTTGTCTACAACCCCAAGCAGTCCTTCACCTGCTGCCTCGTGCCGCTGGGATTCCATGAGAGCAGGAATGGGATGGGAGGAAAGCGTGAAAAGGTGGTTGCCTCTAAAGCCACAGCTCTGAGGGCCGTGCGGCACATGAGAGGCGTGAGGCGCATGAGAGGCGTGAGGCGCATGAGAGGCGTGAGGCGCATGAGAGGCGTGAGGCGCATGAGAGGCGTGAGGCGCATGAGAGGCGTGAGGCGTCAGGCACATACACAGTGACAGCGGCAGGAAAGTGATATTTGTGGCACATGGGGGAGGATTCACGGTGAGGCCGAGACACACGAGGGGCATGCGTGCATGGTGAGATTGAGGCAGATATGAGGGGCATGCGTGCATGGTGAGATTGAGGCAGATATGAGGAGGGGCATGCGTGCATGGTGAGATTGAGGCAGATATGAGGAGGGGCAAGCGTGCATGGTGAGATTGAGGCAGATATGAGGAGGGGCATGCGTGCATGGTGAGATTGAGGCAGATATGAGGAGGGGCATGCGAGCATACATGGCGACAGTGGCGGGGCGGTAAAGGCGAGCTGAGATGAAATTATCGGGGTCGATTTTGTCCACTAGCGGCCGAGCGTACCCTGCCACACACACGGCACACACAGGATAAGAACATGGAGTGAGCAACAAGGATGGAGGACAGCTCACACCACCTCACCCTTCCTCACACCACCTTACCCCACCTCACCCCACGCCACCACACTTCACCCTACCTCACCCCATGAACCTACCTTCCAGCTCAGCCATGAAGTGAACCCGCTCCCAGTCAATTTTGCTCCCACCGTCTCTCAAGTGCACGGGTACCCAACCTTACCACACCGCACCTTCCAGCCCGGCGGTGAAGAGCACGAGCTCGCCCAGGCAACTGGCGCGTTTAAAAAACTCGCGCATCCCCTGGTGCGCCCGGTTCCCCGCTCAACCGCACTCAACCTTACCCCACCGCACCTTCAAGCCCAGCGGTGAAGAGCACGAGCTCGCCCAGGCAACTGGCGCGTTTAAGAAACTGCCGCAGCCCTGGGCGCTCGAACACCGTCACCCGCGCCTTCTCCGGTTCCCCGCTTGCGTCCTGCGCACGCGCGAGGTGACGGGAAACGGGGAGAGGTGGCGAGACGTTGGGAGCTACCAGTGGCCCATGGCTAATCATGACACGCACTATCGAGTACATATAAGAGGGGCTCTGGGCATGTAAAGAGAACAATATTAGCGGGAATCTGAGTGTATCGGGACTGCGAGTAAATCTTAAAAGGGACTGACTATAGAGGGGTCAGAGACCACGGACGTACGAGGTCCGCTGTGGAGCATTCAAGCTCGAAGCTACTGACGCCGCTGGCGGCGGCTGCTTGACGGACGGATTCCGGCACGTCCTCCGCGTTGTACGCGCAGATTAGGGTTTCGTCCAGGTCCAACACGATCTGACGGAGACGGAGACGGAGCGAGACGGATAGACGGAAGAGGAAGGTATGAGACGGAACGCGCGAGTTACGAAAAGATTGCGGAACCACGCGAGGATCGGAAAGGTGATGCGCAAGTGGAAGTTAAAGACCAACCAAAGGCCCAGAAAGTTCAGAGAGCTTAGCCAAAAAATTCGCCCAGGGCAGAAGATGAAATTCCGTGTTGGGAATTTCCTGGGTGATATCGCCGGTTCGGATAAAAACTTCACTCAAAGCTTACAGTCAGTCTAGCGTTGTCGCCCTCGTCGCGAGGCGGCAGGAGAGGCTTAGCTGGAGGAGTATCGACGGAGGAAGCGTTGGTTAGCAGTAAAGATGGCGACTCGAGGGCTAGTCTGTCGGCGCGGTCCACTACGGCGTGAAGACCCGCGGAGATTAAGAGCGTTCTTAATTGCGCTCCTTTTCCGAATTGAAGGACAATTCTAAGCAAAAGAATGAAGAATATGTGCATCGTTTGCAGTATATATGACTGTACAGAGATCCAATAGGAGAGACTGGGTGCCATGCTTGCTGGGACTAACGCCATTATTTCAGGCACGAGGGGAGAGTTTGAGGAGGGTGTGTCGGATTCTTCCATCGTAGTTAGCATCTCAAGTGCGCTGTTAAGCGAAAACAAGAGTCGACCCGAGGAAAAAAAGTGCGTCACGATTTAAGATGAGCAGAAGCCGTCGAGCTCAGGCTTACTCCGACGTACTAGAAGCTAATTCCGTCCGACAGTTGGAAGGGCACTGCCATTAGGGAGTTTTTAGTCGCACTTGCACAACACGCGCAAGAGCGAATCCCCAGGGTTCCGTATAGCAGGTACGTGATGTTCAAAACACTGGCAGGGTGGAGGTGATTTGGTTGAAATGTGAAGCGGGAGTTGCTGGTGGCGCCATGGAGGTATTGGTGGTGGTGGGTGTGCGTGCAGAGCATCATTTCATCAGCACTGCGTCAGCTGAGGCAGTTAGGGCGTGTAAGATCCCCGTGCACACAGAATCGGCCATCAAAATTAGGTGGCCGTAGCGAAAGTAACCATTTTATGATCGGTTTGCGAATCTCGTCAATTTCAACCATCAAATTTGTGATTTGATGGCCGGAAAACTAGTCGACTCTTTTCCGACGCGTGGTCGACTTCAAATCGGCCATGCTGTCGACAGCAGCTGTCTACAGTGAGAAACGAAGTCGCATACGCTGCTACAGTGAAATTGCGACATCGTATTCATGTGTGCGACATCGTCGCACCAAGTCGTAAAAAAGGACAAACCAAAATCTTCCACCTCTGTTACAGCGGCCAGCAAAACCGTGTCAGATTTGGAGGCCACACTGAGTTGGCCGAAAATTTGTCGACCTGGTGACGACTAATCTGTCGACCTTCGCGAAAGCTTTGTCGACCAAAATGGTCGACAAAATTCAGCCAAAACGTGTGCACGGGGATCTTACACACCCTTAGTGACGGCGAATGGCGCTGGCTGCTTTGAAATGTGAAGCAGTCACGACGCTCAAAGTGCTGGTACAACGATTGACCGCGACGCTCGCAGACGCTTTTGGAGATCGACTTATGTCCGCTTGCCTCCATTGGGTGGTGCGAGGTTTCTAATAACGCGGGACACACGTCTCTCGGTAGAGCGGAGTTGCTTGTTTTGCTTGCCCACCAGAGCAGCGCGAGCCTAGGGGAGAGTGGTTGGGTGGTGGGTGGTGTGGGTCCACGTCATCAGAATGAACGTTCGAACTCGATATACGAACACGTTTGTATCGAAGTTTACCGAGACTCCATGCATGAGTCTGCCAAATACAACAAAACAGAACCGTAGGACTAATATGGGCTATTTAGGTGTCTCACTTGAGTACGGTGGGGTGAGATGTCTGTTTATTCAGAGCGGTTTATTTACATTATTGTACAGTTGGATAGGATTTTGGACCGAGCAGCAATGACTGACGTCGGACAAGGACCAAATTTGTCCAGAAACCAGTAACAAACGGGTTCGTAACAATATTGATTCGGCTGAGCTCGGTTTCTTTGTTCCAGTTGACACTAAAGCTGCGGCTGTGACTTACCACCCACCAGACATGCATGGCCTGCCTTACTCCCCCTGGCCAAGTATGTCCCCCTGAAGCCCGCTCCAGCTAACGCTTTAGGTCCTGAAGCCTGAAAGACCTTCACTGCTTGCTTCTCGTTGACCATGGCTGGATGCATGCATTCCTGGATGCGACATTGCACTCCCGTTCTCTTATCTAACAGGATGGGGGCCTTACTTGCCGACTAGTGTACGGCGTGTTGGGCTGGCACGTGCGTTATTCCCTTACTTTTCTGCTCCTCTAGTTCGATTAGGCCTCCGTCGTAAAACAGAGCCAATTGCATTCCTTCGCAAAAAAAAAAAAGTTTTAGGGACCTTGAACGCCTCTAACGGGACTCAAATGCCGCGAACGCGGGTTGCTTCTTACCAAGAGGCGTGACGCATACGCAGTGACTCATACCCAGGGACACGCGTTTCTGGAAACGGGCTTATGGGGCCAATAGAAGCCTTTATGGACCCATTGCCCACTTTCCACTCGCGGCTTCGAAGCTTCTAAGGCTTATCCTGTATACACATCAGTTTAGGGTTAGTTCATCGTTTTACGTTTATTTTTTTCCCCACGTGTATACTCAGCAGTCTAGGGTACTTCATCTACGTCTAATGCCCTTCTTGGTTAGGTTGCGCTGGTAGCCGTTTCAGTCCACTGGGCGAACAAGCTAGTGTTTCCGTCGACCGTCTCATCGTGCACTGCAAGGCAATTTCCCATTCTTCCGTCCCTCTCATCGGACGGTTTTCCGTCGTCCATCTCAACGTGCACTGCGATCTCCCAACCCGACGGTCACGATGATGGACCCGGTGTTAGTCCTCATCATCGCGAGCTGCATGACGCTAACGCAGTTCGCGCTGCAGCTCAAGGAGAATATCACCACCAGCGCTTACCTAAAAAACTTCGATCTCATGCTGGAGTCGACGGCATCCTTGCACGCGTTGCTGACGGAGTTTAAGGGCTTCAAAGGCTGGGGTGTTGCGACCGACGGCGCGAAGAAATCGTTTCAGAGGCTCGAAGATCTCTTACGGAAAGCCACGGCGTTGCTACAACGATGCATCAGCGCGCGGAGTAAACTGCTGCAGGTGTGAACCTTGCGGAAGAAATTAAATCCGCCTTTTCGTTTTTCCGCATGTCAGGTGCATATTGGCGGCAATGTTGCCTCATCGTTTAATTTCGTTTGCATTCATCTCGTAGGGATGGACTCTGCTAAGCTGTTGCATTCTATCAGGAATTCTATGGCACACCACTAGCTGCATCCCTGCTGCTAATGTTGTAATCGCAGCAATCCAAGTCGTTGTGTTCAACTTTGCGTGCTTAATAAGCTTTTTTATTATTATTTATTTCAATTCATTTGGCGTGTTTACGGAATGCAGCTGGTATCGGAGCACGCGCTACAGGCGCAGGACTTCGTCAAGATGCACGCGGAGCTGGAGCAGTGCCTCTCCACCGTCCCCATCCAAACCCTCCCTGAACCCCTCACCTCCAAGGTCAGTCGCCCTACTCGCTCCAGGGTCACTCCCCTCACTCGCCGGCGCATTAATTCCTCGCGTAGTAGGAAGCCGTCAAAGTGGCTTAGACGGGGCGCGTTGTAGGTACGTATTGACCTTTGGGCGTTGTAGCATTGTACATTGGCGACTAGAGTTGAAAGCTTCACGGGCACGAGTCAGACTTTATGGCCGGGCGGTAATCGGGCGGTAATCGGGTGGTAATCGGGTGGTAATCGGGTGGTAATCGCAGCTCTGAGCCTGTCCATACGGCTATGATCAGCTATTCAGAATGGTTGTTCTGTCGTGTGTCTGCGTTCAATCAAGCGTCATACTAATGAATCGTTTCCACACAACTTCTGATGGATTACAAACGAGGCGACCTCTTTCAGTCTTGCTCTCGTTTAATCTAACAAGCTTAAAAAATATGAATGTTTTACATGCGATGCGATAGTTCCCAGTTCCCTCTCTCTCAACAAGCCTGTGTGCGATAAATTGCCCACTCTCCCTGGTCTCCACTGCCCTTCCTCCGCGCTTACCCCTTCTCGTTTCCACCTTTTCTCTCCTCTCCTTGCTTCCCCCTCCCTCCCCCTCTCCCCCCTTCCCCCTCTTCTCGCTCACTCTCTCTTTCCTTCTCCGTCCGTTTCTGCTTCTTTATCTCTTCCACTCCCTTTAACCTTGGCTCCCCGCCTCCCCCTCTCCTTCCCCCCACCCCTCCCCCTCCCCATTCTCATCCCCCCTTCCCTCCCCTCCTTCCCCCCAACCGCCACCCGCCCCTCACTCTCCTCTCATGATTAAGCTTACGAATGCCCCTTTTTCCGGATTCAGTCACGTCTGCCACACACCTGCACCCTCACATCCCCCTCCCCGTTTCCCTCCCTGCTTTCTCAAGCTCTTTCCCACCCCCACTTCTCCCGTTCCCGCTCTCCCCCCTCACCCACAATCCCCCTTCCTCCCCTCTTTCTCTTTCCCCGTTTTCCACTCCCGCTCCTCCTTTCCCCGCCAGCTCACGGCGATGCGGCAGCAGCTGCTGAACACGCCCTTCACGGAGTGCGTCCGCCCACTCCCCTTGCCGTCTCTTCCTCTTTCCCCACCCCCACAATCCCGCCACCCTCTTTCCCCCCGTCAGCTCACGGCGATGCGGCAGCAGCTGCTGAACACGCCCTTCACGGAGTGCGTCACGCCCGCCATGCGCGCGCAGCTGCAGCTGCTGCTCTCCTCCGCCGCCTCCCCCTCCCCCGCGCTCAAGGACGCGCCCGGCTCCGACGTCCTCGCCTTCCAGCTGGCGGAGGCGCTCGGGCTGGGGCTCTCCGCGGAGGCCGCCAACCCGGGCGCTCTGCGGCGCGAGCAGGAGGCGCTGGCGCTGGAGAAGCGCAAGGCGCAGGAGGGGCGGGACTTGGCGCAGGCGAAGGTGGTGGAGCAGGTGAGATTGGGTGGTAGGGGGAACTGGGGGGGAGGGGAGATGGGCAGAGAAGGGGAGGGAGGGGGAAGGGGAGATGAACTGGGGCGCGGCGGGCGCAGGAAGGTCGGGGGCGGGTCCTGACGCAGGCGAAGGTGGTGGAGCAGGTGAGGTGGGAGGAGGCGGGGGTTGGAGGTGGGGTGATGTGGGGCTACCTTGGAATGGGCAAAGATGTGGAGGAGGAGGGAGATGTACTGGGGCGCATTGAAACAGGTGAAGGTGGTGTCGCAGGTGAGGTGAGACTGGGGCCGGGACAATGGGGGAGGGAATCGGTAGAGGGGGAAACGGTGCGGGGAGAGGTGCGTGTGGGATGAGTGTGAATCACGTCATGGGTGCAGGAGGGGCGGGACCTGGCGCAGGTGAAGGTGGTGGAGCAGGTGAGACTGGGGGAGGCGGATATGGGGGGAATGGGCAGAGAGAGGGAGGGCTCGGGAGGGGGCGCAGAGGGACTAGCGTGCATTGAAACACATTAGGGGAGGGCGCAGGAGGGGCGGGAATTGGCGCAGGCGAAAGTGGTGGAGCAGGTGAGAAGGGAGGAGGGGGAGCTGGGGGATGGGCAAAGACGGGGAGGAGGGATGTTAACTGGGGCGCAGTGAAACACGTTAGGGCAGAAGCCAAGCTATGCAACAAGCCATGCAACAAGCCATGCAACAAGTTATGCAACAAGCCATGCAACAAGTTATGCAACAAGGCATGCAACAAGGCATGCAACAAGGCATGCAACAAGGCATGCAACAAGGCTTGCAACAAGGCATGCGACAAGGCTTGCAACAAGGCATGCAACAAGGCATGCAACAAGGCTTGCAACAAGGCATGCGACAAGGCTTGCAACAAGGCATGCGACAAGGCTTGCACAAGCCACAAGACATCCACGACAACCCTTGCACAGGCCATGCAAATGACATGCACCATATTATTCCAACCACTTCCACCGCCAACACCCCTTAACCCCCTCCCCCACCATGCGCCTGCCCCCCCACGCCCCTGTCCCCCCACGCCCCTGTCCCCCCACGCCCTGTCCCCCCACGCCCCTGTCCCCCCACGCCCCTGTCCCCCCACGCCCCTGTCCCCCCCTCCCTCCTCCTCACCAGATAGTGCTGGTGCTCAGGCGCATGGAGCGGGAGGTGGCACCCATGCTTACTACATGTCCACACAACCCTTCCCACTCGACCCCTTCCCCTTTCCTCCTTCCCCCATCGCACCCCTTGCACGCCACCAGATAGTGCTGGTGCTTTTGTGCATGGAGCGGGAGGTGGCACCCTGTTCATAAGCCATGCTTCTCCCCTCACCCCTCCCCCCGCTCACTCGACCCCATTCCGCTTCCCCGTTTCCCCTATCCCCCTTTCTCCCCATGCTCTTCACCAGATAGTGCTGATGCTTATGCGCATGGCAGCGCGCAGATAATCGGGGATTATTGGGGATGAATCCACAATATAGATTCATCCCCGATTCCCCCTATCCCCTTTCTCTCCCCCCATCCCCCTTCTCTTCTCGCATCCGCCTCGCACCCAATGCACGCCACCAGATAGTGCTGGTGCTCATGCGCATGGAACGAGAGGTGGCAGCGCGCAGAGAGAAGCAGAAGCGCGCCGCTGAGGCCGTAGCAGGTGCAGGCGGCACTGCTACTGCTCCTGCCGCCCCTGCCCCCTCCTCCATCTTCGCGCCTCAGCCCAGCCGGTCCCATGCACCAGCAGCAGCGCCGGGGATTAATTTGCTGGCAGAGAGCTTGACAGAGCTGAGTGTGGGGGGGAGTGACAGACAAGCAGAATCAGCAGCAGCAACTTCGCAGCAGCAGCAACAGGGGGCAGGGGCAGGAGCAGGGGCAGGGGCAGGGGCAGGGGCAGGGGCGGGGGTAGGGAGACATACGGAGGGGCAGGAGGCAGCAAAGAAGGTGGTTGAGCCGATCAAAGTAGTGCTGCCAGGTGATAGCGCTGCTGGTGCTGGTGGTGCTTCTGGTGCCGGTACACGGCGTGACAAGAGTCCACAGCCAGGAGTGGTAGGAGCAGAAGGGGCAGGGGTGGGAGGGGCAGCAGCGAACGGGGCTGGGGGTGTGGCAGTAGGCACAACAGCAGCAGGGGCAGGGGCAGCAGCGGGAGCAGCGGCGGCGGCACGAGCACGGTCACCCACGCCTGCAGCAGTAGCCGCCGCCGCCAGCAGCACTGCGACCACAGCAGCCACGAGAACCACTGCCGCAGCAGCACCAGCAGCCATTCCAGCCGCAGCAGCAGCTGCACCCCACGCGTCCCGGCCAGCAGCACCAGCAACCGCAGCAGCGCCAGCAGCGGCAGCGCCAGCGGGTCAAGCAGCGCAGGCAACAGGGGAGCAAGGAGTCGCGCAGCAGATTATCCGCACCCTCCGTCTCGGCACAGTGGACGAAAAGGCCCAGGCAGCGGGGCTGGTGGGCTGGCACACCAAATTCTCCGCCACCAATCGCGCCATGTTCCGCTCTGCAGGCGTCATCGACGCGCTCCTCCCCCTCGCAGCTGCCTCCTCTCCGCAGGAGGCGAAAGCAGCCGACGCCGCGGTCAGAGCCCTGGGGAATCTGCTAGCGGATGAGGATGTGAAGGTGGAGCTGATTGGTCACCTGCCGCTGCTGGTCCAGGCGCTGAAACGGGCGCAGCTGCCGGCCACGCGCGCCGGCATGGCCCGGATTTTCAAAGCGATTGCCACGATATCGGACGAGGCGTGTAAGGTCGTGGTGGATGCGGGCGCGGTGCCGCACTTAGCTAAGTTTGTCGACCCCAGCGCCGCTGCCGCTGCCGCGACGGCCAACCCGCCCCCGATGGGCGGCGCGGCGGTGGCTGCGGCGGCCGCCGCAGAGGAAGCGTCCAAGCAATGCGCGGCGGAAACCCTAGCGATCCTCGCGCAGGTCCCCTCGAAGCGAAGCCGAATGGTGGCAGATGGAGCGGTGGGGCCACTCTCGCTCCTCGTGCTCGCCTCCCCCCCGAACGAAACCCTAATCGCGGCGGTGACGGCACTGGCGGGACTGGCGAGCGTGCACGAGGGCAGGGAGGGCATGGGCGCGGTGCTGCCGACGCTTGTGAATCTGCTGCGGGTGGAGGATGAGGGGGTGATGGCGCCGACTCTTGACGTGTTGCTGCTGCTGGCCAAGCACAGCGCGGGGTACCGCAGTGGCATCCGGAATAACGGGGGGATGAGGCATCTGAGGAATGTGCTCCGCGTGGGGCCGTCGCCCCTCCACAACAAGGTGAGATTAGCTTGCACTTCCACACCTACCACTCATCCCCTACCTACCCTCATGTGTCCTGCCTCTCATGTCTCCCATGCATCCCACCAACTCTAGACGTGCCCATGCATCCCATCATCTTCCCATGTCTCAGAAGTCGTGCCCATGCATCCCATGGTAATACGTGCCGTAACATTCCCTCAAATTTTACTGATTCCCCACATGTGCGCTCTCCCTCATGCCATGGCAGGGCATGGAGCTGCTAGCGGCTCTCTTCTCATAGCCCTTGAAACCATGCATGAAGCCATGGATGCCTGGCGCTGCTGCTGCTGGCGCTGCCAGTAAGGGTGGAGTTCCCTACGTGAGGGCAACCGGCCAATTGTTGATTCACCTCACCTCACCTCTGTATCTTCTGGGGAAATTTCAACAAGTTTGAAGCTTCACACAAATTGGGAAGTATTCCCACGAAGCTGGCAATTACTACATGTTACAGAGTTGTGCATTGTTTGCCTGCATTTGCAGTCAGGATTCCGTACTCGAGTCATGTCATTGTAGGCATGTTATTGTAGGTAGGTAGTTATTCCGGCTATGTGCCTTGAGTAGGATTACCTAGTTGAACTAGGCAAGTTCCCAAACTGGTTTGTCTAGCTGGGTGGCCAGCTTGGCTCTAGCTTGCTGCCTCACATCTTGTAGTCCTCATTATACTGGCCTTTGAGTAGAAATCTAAGGTACGGTAGTACACCTAAACTTTTCGTACTGTAGCACAATAAAGATACACTGAAACTTAAAATACTGTATCGAAGGGAGGAACAAGTAATACATATATTTGTTTTTTATCAAGTTACATCACCCTACTCATCCAGAGTAATGTTGCCTGGCTTGTGCTTAACGCACCTACCGAGGTCACCTGTAAGGAGAAATCGTCATTAGCCCCCTTTAGCCCTGATTGCGCATACTCTACAAACGCAGTTAGCTCTTTATCAGAGCGGTTAACGGATACCTCTGTAAACCCCCCACAACTGTACACCAGGGGCCTTGTTTCTGTCCATATGCACGGTAACGGGGTGCGCTGTATCCACTTCGTGTTGCCCCCACCATTGCCATTACCCCCACCATTGCTGCTGCCACCACCATTGCCATTACCCCCACCATTGCTACCGCCACCACCGCTACTGTTGCCACCACTCCCACTCCCACTCCCATTCCCACCCCCATTTCCATTGCCATTCCCATTGCTGCTGCCATTGCCACTGTCATTGCCATTAGCATTTCCGCTTCCACTACTGCTATTCCCATTCCCATTGCCATTACCACTGCCACTCCCGCTCCCATTACCATTCCCATTCCCATTCCCATTCCCATTCCCATTGTCACTCCCATTCCCATTCCCATTGACACTCCCATTCCCATTCCCATTCCCATTGTCACTCCCATTCCCATTCCCATTTCCATTCCCATTCCCATTCCCACTCCCATTCACATTGTCACTCCCATTCCCATTGCCATTCCCATTGCCATTGCCATTGGCGCTGTTGCTGCTCATGATCACACTGTTCAGATTCCTGCCTCCTCCATTCGCGGCGGATAGCAGCAGCGCAGCAGACTGGGGGGTGTTATCCGGAGCCACAAGGATGACTGTGTATGAGATGCGGTAAAAGCTGGCCGTGCTGTAGCAAGGTAAGGGGAGAGAGGGAAGGAGAGGCAAGAAATCAAAAGATTGTTGTTGGTTTCTCAAGGAGAGCAGCAGCGCAGCAGACTGGGGGGTGTTATCCGGAGCCACAAGGATGATTGTATAGGAGATGCGGTAGAAGCTGGCCGTGCTGCAGTGGGGGAAGAGGGAGAGAGACAAATAATGAGCAGGAAATGTTACTGCTGTAAAAAAAGTGCACATGTCTCAAGAAGGGTTGTTATCCGTTTCCACGAGGATGACTTTATAGGAGATGCGGAAAAGGCTGATATCCACCCTGATGTGAGCTCCACCCGGCATGGGGTCAGGTCAGTGAGGCTGATGCTAGGGTGTTTTATGCTCTCAGAAGGGAGTGAAGAGAAGAGGGGGGAAAGAGACATACAGCCTACCAACCCTGATGTGCGCTCCGCCCGGCATAGGGGGAGAAGGAGAGAGAGGGGGAGAAGGAGAGTGAGGGGGAGAAGGAGAGTGAGGGGAAGAAGGAGAGTGAGGGGGAGAAGGAGAGAGAGGGGGAGAAGGAGAGTGAGGGGGAGGAGAGTGAGGGGGAGGAGAGTGAGGGGGAGGAGAGTGAGGGGGAGGAGAGTGAGGGGGAGAAGGAGAGTGGGGGCGGTGGAAAGAAACGTACAGCTGATCAACCCGGATGTGCGCCCCGCCCGGCATGGGGTCAGTGAGGTTGATGGAGAACTGCGGGGCTGTCACTGCTGGCAGCGGAGCAGATGCACGGTCTGCAGCATGGGAGGGGACAGAGGAGGGGCGGAGGAGGGAGCAGAGGAAAGCAGAGGAGAAAACTCACTAGAGTGCAGGGCAGCAGAGGAGAGTGCAGGACGGCAGAAAAAGGCATGGGAGAGTGAAGAAAGGAGAGCAGATGAGAGAAGAGCAAGGAAGAGACGAGCAGAGGGGAGCCGTGCGTACCAAAGGCAGTGACTGACTTTTGCGTCGACTCAAAAGGAGAGCAGATGAGAGAAGAGCAGGGAAGAGAAGAGCGGGGAAGGGAAGAGCGGGGAAGAGATGAGCCGAGGAGAGCAGGGCATACCAAAAGCAGTGATCGTGCTCCCATCAAACTCCCCAACGGCCAACCCCTGCGCGCCACCTGGACTGCCCGGCATCTCGTCATACTCCATCGCGATCAACGGCCAGGATTGCGCAGCACTTCCGCCTGACCCGTTCCCCCCACCCGCACTCGCCCCTCCCCCTCCCACACAGCCTCCGTTGCCCTCCACAGTTCGAAGGGACGCCAGTGCTGCTGCCAGCGATGCTGGGCTTGGCACGAGAGGAGGAGAGGCAGGAGGACGGCTGGCGGGAGGAGGGGTGGAGGGAGGAGGGGTGGAAGGAGGAGGGGTGGAGGGAGGTGGGGAGGAGGAAGGCAAGGGAGGGGAGGAGGACGGGGGAGCGGAAACGGGAGGAGGAGGGGAGGAGGGACCATTGCCGTTGCCATTGCCATTCCCATTGCCATTGCCACTAACACTCCCATTAGCATTCCCATTCCCATTGCCAGTGCTATTAACATTCCCATTCCCATTGCCACTGCTGTTGCCATTGCTGTTGGCATTCCCGTTCCCATTTCCATTACCATTTTCATTCCCATTTCCATTACTATTGCCATTGCCACTGCCGTTACTGTTACCACTGCTGCTCCCACCAGCGGAGTTAGGAGGAGGGGGCGCAGAGGGGTCAGGGGGAGAAGAGACTGGCGGAGGCAAGGGGGGGGGAACCGGAGGATCAAGGGGAGGGGGACTCTTGTTTCCATTCCCATTCCCGTTCTCATTCCCGTTCCCATTCCCATTCACGTTCCCGTTCCCATTGCCATTGCCATTCCCATTCCCATTGCTGTTGCTGTTACCATTGACGCTCCCTGCAGGGGTGTCAGGAGGAGGGGAAGCAGGGAGGTCAGGGGGCGACGAGGCAGGGGGAGACAAGGGCGGGGAAGCCGGAGGATCGATGGGGGGAGGGCTCTTGTTTCCATTCCCATTCCCATTCCCATTCCCATTCCCATTCCCATTCCCATTCCCGTTCCCGTTCCCGTTCCCATTGTTGTTGCCGTTGCTGTTGCCATTGCCATTCCCAACAGAGGAGTCAGGAAGAGGAGAAGCAGGCGGGTCAGGGGGTGAGGAGACTGGAGGATCGAGGGGAGGGGAGGAGGATGGAGGAGAGGGAGGAGGAGGTAAGAGCAAGGAGGGAGCGCTAGAGGGTGGGCTCTTGTTCCCATTCCCATTTCCATTCCCGGTGTTGGTTGTAACACTGTTGCCGTTGCCGTTGCCGTTGCCGTTGCCGTTGCCGTTTGTAGTTGCATTGCCATTCTCGGAAGGGGGGTTAGGAGGAGAAGCAGGAGGGTCAGGCGGGGAGGAGACTGGAGGTTCGATGGGAGGAGGCGAGGACGGAGGAGAGGGAGGAGGATTTTTGTTTCCATTCCCGTTCCCATTAACAATGCCGTTGCCATTGCCGTTGCCATTCCCGTTGATAGTAACAGTGCCATTACCAACAGCGGGCGGGTCAGGAGGAGGAGAAGCAGGGAGGTCAGGTGGGGAGGAGACTGAGGGAGACAAGGGCGGGAAAAGCGGAGGATCGAGGGGAGGGGGACTCTTGTTTCCATTCCCATTCCCATTGCTGTTGCCGTTGCCATTGCCATTACCAGCAGGGGAGTCAGGAGGAGGAGAAGCAGGCGGGTCAGGTGGGGAGGAGACTGGGGGTTCGAGGGGAGGTTGGAGGGATGGAGGAGAGGGAGGGGAGGAGGAGATTGGGGGCTCGAGGGGAGGGGGGAGGGATGGAGGAGAGAGAGGAGGAGGGGATGGAGTGGAGGGGTATTGGAGGGTGGGATTTTGTTTCCGTTCCCATTCCCATTCCCGTTCCCGTTCCCATTCCCGTTCCCATTCCCATTGCCACTCCCAGCAGGAATATCAGGAGGAGGGGAAGCAGGAGGGTTAGGAGGCGCGGAGAGGGGGGGGGATAGGGGCGGAGAGACTGGGGGATCGAGGGGAGGGGAGGGAGATGGCGGAGAGGGGGGAGGAGGAGAGGGGGGAGGAGGAGAGGGAGGGGGAGGAGAGGGAGGAGGAGGAGAGGGAGGAGAGGGAGGAGGTGGAGAGGGCGGAGTGGGAGGAGGAGGGGAAGGTGGAGGAGGAGAGGGAGGAATGGGAGGAGGAGGGAAAGGAGGAGGGGGGGAAGGAGAGGAGTGGGGTGGGCTCTTGTTGCCATTCCCGTTTCCGTTGCTGCTGCTGTTACCACTACCATTGACATTCCCGTTGTTGCTGCTGCTGCCCCTGCTACCAGTGGTGGTGGTGAAGGAGGGAGGTGGAGGGGAGGAGGAGGGGGGGGGGGGGGAGGTGGGGAGAAGGAGGGAGGTGGGGGGGGGGAGGCGGAGGCTCTTTAACCTTGGGTAACAGAATCAGCAGCGATCTTCGAGGCGCCTCAAGCAATGACCCATCTGCAGGGGTGGCGCTGCAGGCGCCAGCAGCACACGCAGCAGCAGCAGTCACGACAGCACCAGCAGCAGCGGCACCAGAAGCAGCACCGGCAGCACCAAACGCATCAGTTGCAGCAGTCATAGCGGCAGCAGCAGCGAAGGGGGTTGAGAGAGAGGCAGTGCCAGCAGCAGCGGTGGTGGCAGCAGCGGTGGAAGCGGAGGGGGGCAGGGTGAAGTGCCCCACGGCCTCCCAGAGAGTTGGGGTGGCAGCAGCGGGTTTTCTCCATGTGATGGCGTCTGGGAGCATGGGGAACGGGCACGTGCCCTGCACACATGGTGCTGCACCGCTCCCGCTGCCACTGCTGCTGCCGCTGCTGGTGGTGCCGCTAGTGGTGGTGGTGGCGTTGGTTGTTGTTATGGTGGGCGCAAGGAGAGAGAGCTGCGAGGGCGGCGTGTCCTTGGGCGTGGTGACTGTTAGCTTGTACGCCACACACGCGCTGCTGCCACAGGTGCTGCAGATGGGGGAGGAGCGGGAGAGAGAATGGGCAAAAGTGGGTAAGGAGGCGAACGTGAGTGTGATGTTGAGGGAGGCGTGTCCTTGGGCGTGGTGACTGTTAGCTTGTACGCCACACACGCGCTGCTGCCACGCGTAATGCATGTGGGGATTAAGGGAGGGGGTGGGGGAAGAGCATGAGTGTCACGGTGATACTCTGGGATGTCGTGCGCACGAATCTACATGAACGGCAACCCAGATCTTGAGTCTACTCTCTGCACGACTCGGCGCATGACTCTGCGCCCTAGTGAGTTTTTACCTTGTCATCGCAGGCTGTATCGAGCGTGCGTTGAGTTGCCTCGAACGGCCCGGGCCGCTCTCAACAGGGATGCAACCCAGTCCACGCGGCGGGTGGCGGAAGTGGCGGATGCGGAGGAGGGAGGGTGGAGGCGCAAGAAGCAACTCACCCGAGCGCGAGGCTGATGCTGCCGCGGCCGTTGCCCCCGCACACCGAGGCCACGCGGAACGCTGCGCGCGGCGACACGCACGGGCGGGGGGGGGGGGGGGGGGGGGGGGGGGGGGGGAAGGGGGGGGAAGAAGAGGAAGGGAAAGGGGGAACAAGAGAAAAGAGGAAAGCGGGGAGAGGGGTAGGAGTGGACGAGGGGAAGTGGGGGGAAAGAGAAGGAAGGCGAGGGATTAATAGGGAGAGATCCTGCTTGGGAGAGTAAATCAAAGGAGATGAAAGAACGAACAAGAAGAAAACTTAGTTTATAAATAATAACAATTGAAGAAAACAGCGAAAAACTCTGCTGGACATACTACTACTGCGTTTACACAAGAAAATGCTCGTATGTCCCGGACCTAACTACACGCAAGAAACAACGTTGTCACGGGACTGACAACAAGCAAGGCTGCTGTCCGCTTTTGAGTCGACTCAAAAGCAGACCCAACGAAATTTGTCCATGAGAGCCGCTCGCCTGCCGCGAGTTGGCGTGCGCCTTACCGTCAAAGTTGCCTGTCGCGGCCGGCAGGTGCAAGAGGAGCAGCGCCGCTGGCGGGATAGAGGGACGGGGAAGGGAGGGGCGCGGAGGGCGGAAGAAGAAAGGGGATGAGCGGACGGGGGGAATTGGGAGTGGCGGAAAGTAGTGCGACGAACAAGCACCGGGGGAAGCGGCCTGCCTGAAGAATCGTCGCGTGGCCAGCGCATCTCAGCGCATCGGATCCCATCGCAGCTTATCGCATCCCATCGCAACCCATCGCAGCCCATCGCAGCCCATCGCAGGGCATCGCAGTGCATCCCAGACGGCAATTTCTGCGGCGTGAGCGAACCCCCCTCCATGATGGTGGCTTGCCAAACTGTCAAACGACTATTGCGGCGCTTAAGAAATTGGTGCTTCGCGAACGGCGAATGCGAAATACGCGAGAATGATTTCCACAAGGTAGTTTTTCGCGACAGAACCACTGGTGGGCATTATCTGGCAGATAGTCAAGGATACTACTTGTGGCCATCGGGCGTTTCGATTATGTGCACCACCGACGGCTCTAACGGCTGTTCTCGCAGTACCAGATCTGACGGCTGTGAAGGCTCTGACGGATCTGACGGCCCTGAAAGCCCTGTCCTTGACTATCATCAGGCATACTAAGGGCATAACGATCCCGCGCCGCTACTACCATTTGATGGTTCAGGGGTGATAATGGCTCTAGTTCTGAGACGTCTTTAGAGACGTCTCAAAAATCGTATTGAAGTACTAATAGCGGTGATGAACTCTAGTAGTTCTCAGACTTCGCCTTATGAGACATCTTTTTGAGACATCTTTTTGAGACGTTTCAAAACTAGGTGATGGAATCGATGTGACAGCAGGACCCCCGCCGCCGCCGAAGCGCCAATTAAACTGGTGGTAGTAATGGTAGTACCTAGAACGTAGCTCCACGCGGGTCGAGAAACCGCGTCGCCGTCAAGATGATCACGGTTTCGTCGCACGCGCCGCGTTACAGCCTCGTCTCGTCGCGTCACAGCCTCGTCTCGCCGCGTCACAGCCTCGTCTCGCCGCGTCACAGCCTCGTCTCGTCGCGTCACAGCCTCGTCTCGCCGTGTCACAGTGAAGCCACTGGGTCGACACTCCCGGGGTGGCCTCTCGCGGTAAGATCGCCGTTTCCCACTGTACTCTCCGCCGCCGCGGATTTTAGCTGCGAGGCGCCGCATATCGCGGTGTGTTCAGCTGAATATTAGGAAGAGGCGGAGCCGTGGGTTCATGGCGGACGGATCCAGGGCGAACGAATCACAGCATATTAGACAGTCCTACTCCCCACACGTGCTAGTACTAGACGACTTCCGTCACGCTCGTGCGGATTGTTCAGTACTACGCGAATCCGCAAATCATAGGTCCTAAGGAACTGGAAATGCGGGACGGAGCCGTCAAAACTTCGATGTATAACGGAGTGTGATCCTAATTAAGTAGGTTCAGAACTAGGAAGACGGAGCGAGGAGAGAGGCTAGGTTTGACCCAAAAGCATCGTCAGGTCAGTACTTCGCTCAGGTCAAAGGTCCCTCAGGGAGCATCGTTATGCAGTTACTGCAGTAGGAACAAGAATTGCACGCGAAAGCGTCGCGCGATAGTGGTGATAGAGCCGTACAGCGCAGCAGTGTATTGTACGGATAGAAGCGCTCCGTTTGAAACGGACAGACTCCTGCCTAGAGTCTGAACTTTCTCGGTTGCCGAGGTTGAGTGAAAAAGGTGACGAGTGATGAGGAGGGCCCATGAGCCATGGCGAAAGGGTCGGTGTCGGTGAATGGGTGGGTGGGCTGCGGGCAGGGCACAGGACAGCGCAGCAGCGGTGCAATGGCGGATTGGACGAAACAGATGAGTCCAAGGCGAGGAGGAAGGGGTAGAGGGGGATGGTGGAGAAGGGAGTTTTTCTGTCTCATCCAAGTGACTTGCGAAAGCTATTGGTGGTGAGAGATGTGCTGTGCGCGTCAATCTCAATTCTAGATGCCTGCGGCTTGACTGGAAGTTGGAAGTTGGAACGCAAGACTGCTGCTTTTCCGTGTTTTTGGATGTGCCGTGTCGTTCCGTGGCGTGGCGTTCCGTGGCTGCCCTTTGTGGCGTCGCATTCTGCCCGTGCCGTGCTGTGGTGGGCGGTCGTTACTGCTGTGGTGAGAAATGCTGGCAGATAACGTTTTGTGGGGGTTTGTGATTTGTGAATCAGAGAGAGAGAAGCAGAGCACAAGGTGGGAGAGGAAAGGAGAGGAGAGGAGAGGAGAACGCGAGGAAGGTTTTCCACCCGGTTTTCCACCTGGTTTTCCACCCGCGATTGGATCCTTGCTGAAAAATGTACAAACTTTGCTCAGTGGGGTGGGAAAATGCTCCCAACGTGGGCAATACTGCAGGTCGAACCCGCTGTGATGTGTGGCTGTACACCCAAGCAAAGTACGGTTACCGCCAACAGCCACAGTCTATTGTGTATTTGCCTGCCCTTGAAACCTTTTCAGATCCCCGAAGTCGGTGTGTGCAAGTGGGAAGGAGCTGTACTGTACAGCAGTTGTTGGCGACGAAGCCTGGCGACGACGATTCTCGAAGAACCGTCAAATCTGTCGCCTGACCTCAAGGGCTTGACGACAACGGCTACGAGACGATCAAGCCAGCGAATGGGAAGCAGACCCTGATGGCGGTCGTCAATTTCTTGTGGAGGGGGTCCGATAAGTTATCAATCTGCATGTGGCCTGGAGATTGGCATCTATCCGTACAAAATATCGTCCATACTCGATACAGGGTGAGACACCATCGGCGAACTATTGTAGTGCGTACGAACAAATTGCAAGGAAACTCCAAAGAACGTCAATAAGAGCGTGTTACACCCAAGCAAAGATTGCTGCATTTTGAGGATCACGTAGGCGATCCTTACAGAACAGTGTCATACCTACCACTGTACAGTAATCACTGTGTCAGGTGATGTACCAACAGAGGAAGGATCGAAATCACGAGAGATCGTGATACCCGATCTTGGTGTTTTTTGGGAGATCGTGGTGAATGCCAATCTCTCGGTGATCCTTGCATCTTTGTACCAAAGACAAGGTGATCCTTGATGACGAAACTTTTGTTGTCGTGAACTGCTGTAACAAAATCGCGACTAATCAGAGCATTCTTTTGATGAAGTTCGAACCAATAAAGCGGTTGATTTCGGATTGTGAAAGCTTGCAATTTGTCTTTGCAACTGCAACGTCTCATTTCAACTGGCAAGTACAAGATTTTTTATCGTCCAAGCATATTACATAGTAACAACGATGAATTCTCTACTATACTAGGGTGGGAGGGTGGGGAACTTGAAAACTGAAAGTTTGAAATGAAAAACGTGGGTGAAGGCCAAATGGCCTTCGCCCCCTCTTTTATACCGAAAAAGAGGGGAAGTAGCAGTTTGCCGAAGCATTTTGCTTCGGTACAAATATCTTCGCTATTCACAATACACAATTTTAGAAAGTGTTACACACTTTCAAAAATTTACATATCAGTAACGCAGTCAACGTGGTCAACAAAAATATCCGACGATCGCGACTGTCGCGTCGTTTCAGGCGACGTCGCCTGGTCGCAGAGGATCACCATTGCAAATTTGCAGATGGTACACCAACAAGGATTGTGATGTGCACCAGAAATAGTTGTTTTGCCACTCGTAATCCTAGGGTTGGGGTTATGGTGATCTTAGCTACGTGATCCTTGAGATTAGGGCAGGTGTAACACGCTCTAAGAAGCAGCATACTTTTTGGATAAATGGCATACAAGTACTTTCATTGAAATGGCAAATTGTTTTCACAAAATGGGTGGCCTTCTCGGTTAAGGTACCATAAGGTTAGAATAGCTTTTTGCTACGCTGTTTCTTTTATCTTTTGAGTTGTGGATGTGCTAGATTGTAAGCATTTTCTGAGATGCATTGAGGTGTATTCACTATGCTTACCCGTGCATTTCCTCGGCACCGGTTGTTAGTTTGCGTTCAGCTAAAATTCTCGCTATACCGAGTGTTCTGATTCCAGACCAGAACGAGCATGGGCAAACCGGACGAGTCGTCATCTTCGCAACAAGACGAACGCACCTCTGATGCCGCAATACCCGCCGGAAGTGGCGCCGAGCCCTCATCATCGGTACCACGTGGCAACGACGAGGATCCGGAAAAAGAGGAAGACGATGGGTGGGTCTACGACTCGAACGAGGAGGAGGACGACGAAATGATCCTGATCCGTGGTGCTGACGTCAGCGGCCACGGAGCCGCGCCGGATCTGCCCGAGGGGATGGAGGCTCTGATGCGCGCCGCGGAGGAGGGCGACTCGGACGCTCTGCGGGACGCGATTCGTACGTCCGGGTCTTGGCGGTATCTGCGCGCACTGTGCGGGAGGAGGGGGATTGGAAGGGGGGGAAGAGGAGGAAGGGGAGCTGCGGGGAAGCAGAGTGGTTGGGGGGAGGTTGGGGAAGGGAAGTTGACGGCGGCACATTCTACCCCACTGCCTTTCCTCCCCTCTCCCCTCTCCCCTCTTCCCCCTCCCCCCACCAGAGGGCGTATCAGTGCCGCTGGACTCGCCAGGCGAGGATGGCAACACGGCGCTGCACCTGGCATGCTTGTACGGCCACACCGCATGTGTTGAGGTGGGGCGTAGCACCCACGCATGCATGCACCCATGCGCATACCTCCCCCCTTCTTCTCTCGCAACACGGCGCTGCACCTGGCGTGCTTGTATGGCCACACTGCATGTGTCGAGGTGGGGTTGAGGCACATGCACACGTGCACCCATGCACAAGGGCATACCTCCCCCCCTTCCTCTCTGGCAACGCGGCGCTGCACCTGGCATGCTTGTATGGCCACACCGCATGTGTTGAGGTGGGGCGTAGCACCCACGCACCCATGCACCCATGCACCCATGCACCCATGCACCCATGCACCCATGCACCCATGCACCCATGCACCCATGCACCCATGCACCCATGCACCCATGCACCCATGCACCCATGCACCCATGCACCCATGCACCCATGCACCCATGCACCCATGCACCCATGCACCCATGCACCCATGCACCCATGCACCCATGCACCCATGCACCCATGCACCCATGCACCCATGCACCCATGCACCCATGCACCCATGCACCCATGCACCCATGCACCCATGCACCCATGCACCCATGCACCCATGCACCCATGCACCCATGCACCCATGCACCCATGCACCCATGCACCCATGCACCCATGCACCCATGCACCCATGCACCCATGCACAAGGGCATACCCCTCCCCCTTCCGCTTCGGCAAAACTGCAGCACTGCTCCTGGCATGTGTGTACGGTCACACCACACTTTTTTTTAGGTGGGGCTTTGATGTTACGCTTGCACACTTGCACATGCAGAACTGCTTTTGAGAAAGTATGTTCTCAAAAGTGAACTACATACAAGCACATGTCCGTCTTCCTCCCTTCCCTCCCCACCACACACACATGCAAGCGCACACACACATGCTCCTCCACCCCCCTCTCCATGCATCACTTACCCACTTCTCTCTCTATTCCATTACTCTCTCCCTGCCAACTGTTGCTTGCTCGTGAGACGTCTCAAAAGTCGCTTACCCACTTTTCTCCCTTTTCCGTTTCTCTCACCCTCGCCCTCTCCCCCACCAGCTGCTGCTTGCTGCCGGAGCTGCGCTGGAGGCTCGGGACGAGGATGGGGCCATTCCTCTCCATGACGCTTGTGCTGGAGGTGCGTGCATGGCTGGGTGTGTGGGTGGGGGGGTGGATGGGCAGGTGCGGCGGGTTTCACTGTACAAGCATCCGCACCCATACATGGGATGATGGGTGGGCGTGGATGGGAGGATGGGCCAATTCCTCCATGTCGCTTGAGCTGGCTGTGCATGCGTGGCTGGTTGTGTGGGTGGGAGGGCGTGTGGGATGGGCAGGTGGGGCGGGTTTCACTGTACAAGCATCCGCGCCCACACATGGGAAGATGGATTGGGCGGGCGTGGTTGTGAGGATGGGACCATTCCTCTCCATGACGCGTGTGCTGGAGGTGCGTGGGTGGGCGGGTGAGAGTGTGGGCGTGCGTGGGTGGGTGGATGGGAGGGCGGGTGGATGGGAGGGCGGGTGGATGGGAGGGCGGGTGGATGGGAGGGCGGGTGGATGGGAGGGTGGGTGGATAGGAGGGTCGGCGGGCGGACGGGTGGGGCGGGTCTCCCTATCTCAAAAGTCGTCTATTCTCCTCCTTCACTGCACTCGCATCCCCATCCTTGTCCCTTCTGCGCCCCCAACCAGGCTTCTCGCATGTGGTGGGCATGCTGCTGGCAGCGGCAAGTGACGCAGAGCAGCGGAGGCGCATGATCGGCGCGCAGGACAGCGACGGAGACACGGTGAGCGGTTGGTTGGGAAGAGGAGGGCGTGAGTGGGCGAGGTGAGAGTTGATTGGAAAGGCCAAGTGTGAGTGGAGGCGGATGATCAACGCGCAGGACAGCGACGGGGATATGGTGAGAAGAAGTGGGGTGAGGGAGGGAGCGGAGGGAGAGTGATAGGGACACGATGCGCGGTGGGGTGGGGTGGGGTGGGGTGGGGTGGGGTGGGGTGGGGTGGGGTGAGAGTGGAGGGGACACGGTGAGGGGTGTGAGTGGAGGCGCATGATAGGCGCGCAGGACAGCGACGGGGATATGGTGAGCGGTGGTGGGGTGGATTGGTGCACGAGGCACTTGGTTGGGGTGCCAGACAGTGATGGGGACACCGTGTGCAGTGGGGTGGGAGGGGTGGGAGAGATGGGAGGGATGGGAGGGATAGGAGGGTTGGGAGGGTTGGGAGGGGTGGGAGGGGTGGGAGGGTTGGGAGGGGTGGGAAGGTTGGGAGGGGTGGGAGGGGTGGAAGGGAGAGAGTGGGGTGGCAGGGTGGGAGGGAGAGGAGGAGCAGTGGTGTGGGAGGGTTGGGAGGATAAGGGGGATGGGGGGGCTGAGATTAAAGGGCTTGGGTGGTGAAAGAGGTGTTCAGATTCGAAGGGCGAGCACACCCAATCCTCACACCCCTCGGCCAGTGTTATGAATCCTGTTTCCTTCCCACCCCCGTCACCTCCCCCCTTTTCCCCTCCAACCGCCATCAGCCGCTGCAAACGCGGCAAGGGGCGGGCACCCCTCTATCTGCCGCCTGCTGCTCGATGCATCAGCTCACAGCACCCCCTCTTCTTTACTCCCATCGATCTACCTCTTCCCCCCTTCTCCCTTTGAACTGCCATCAGCCGCTGCACAACGCAGCAAGGGGTGAGCACCCCTCTGTCTGCCGCCTTCTGCTGGACGCTGGAGCCAACCCTGCCGCCCCCAACCATGCCGCCCAGGTGCGTGCCATGCCGCCCCCAACCATGCCGCCCAGGTGCGTGCCATGCCTCCCCCAACCATGCCGCCCAGGTGCGTGCCCTGCCGCCCAGGTGCGTGCCCTGCCGCCCAGGTGCGTGCCCTGCCGCCCAGGTGTGTGCCCTGCCTCTGCCCACCACCTGCCACCACCCGCCACCCTAGGCGCATCTCCCTAGTGCCCGTTCCCTTCTCCCCTCACTACCAGATGCCCTGGCAGCTCGTGGAGAGCAACAGCAACCTGCTCGTTGACTCCAATCCTCCACAATCCTGGACAATCCTCCACGATCCTGGACAATCCTCCACGATCCTGGACAATCCTCCACGATCCTGGACAATCCTCCACGATCCTGGACAATCCTCCACGATCCTGGACAATCCTCCACGATCCTGGACAATCCTCCACAATCCTGGACAATCCTCCACAATCCTGGACAATCCTCCAATCCTGGACAATCCTCCACAATCCTGGACAATCCTCCACAATCCTGGACAATCCTCCACAATCCTGGACAATCCTCCAATCCTGGACAATCCTCCACAATCCACCGCAATCCGCATCTCTTCTTTGCCCTCTTGTCTCTCTCAACTTCCTCACTACCAGATGCCCTGGCAGCTCGTAGAGAGCAACAGCAACCTGTTTGTCGACTCCAATCCTCCTCTGTCGCATCACCCCTGCCCTCCCCGTCTGCCTTGTCGTCCTCACCACCAGGGGTGCCATGGCAGCTAGTGGAGACGACAGTGTCGTCCTCCCTTGTTGCTTTGACTCGACAATCAATCCTCTTTTGACACATCCCTGGTGCACTCTTGTCTCTCCCTTATCCTCCTCACCACCAGGGCTGCCCTGGCAGCTAGTGGAGGGCGACAGTGACCTGCTTGTATTCCGCAACCCATTTGTGCCGTCCCGCTCCTCTCTGCGCTCCCCCCTGCCCTCCTCTCTGCGCTCCCCCCTGCCCTCCTCTCTGCGCTCCCCCCTGCCCTCCTCTCTGCGCTCCCCCCTGCCCTCCTCTCTGCGCTCCCCCCTGCCCTCCTCTCTGCGCTCCTCTCTCTCATCTCAACCTCATCACTCTCAGGTGCCATGGCAGCTAGTGGAGGACGACAATGAGTGACCTGCTTGCTGACTCCTTTCCACAATCCTCTCGTGCTCCTCCTCTCTCCCTCTCTCCACCTCCCCGCCATCAGGTGCCATGGCAGCTTGTCGAGGACGACAGTGACCTGCGCTCATTCCTGCAAGCTGCTGCTGCCCAGACTGTTTAGAAAACCACCTCCAAGTCGACTCAAGAGGCGCCACAGAAACTGACTTTTGAGTCGACTCAAAAGTCAACTTCCTGCAAGCTGCTGCTGCCCAAACTGTGTAGAAGACCACATTCGAGTCGACTCAAGAGGCGCCTCAGAAACTGCAGCTGCCTTTGCATCTGTTCTGCATATGCTTCTCAAGCTGCTCAGAAGAGATGAGAAGTTTAGGAGCGGATGTTTAAAGGAGGGGATGGGATGCATAGGGGGGCAGGATTTTCAGAGGAGGGGATGTATAAAGGGGCAGGATGTTCAGTTGGGATATCTGGAGACAGGGTGTTTAGAAGAGATGTTTTTTAGATAAGGGGTTGCTTAGGGGGGGTGTTAGGGCAAGGGCCTGCTTGGAAAATAGTTCAAAGGTCATATATGAGCTCGAAGATACATGCACACACAGACGCAGCTGAAGCAGAAATCGTAGAATAGCCGAGTAGACGTGGGGTATGCTTGGTGTAGGTGTGGAGTAGGTCCGGGCTAGGCTCGGAGTAGGCTTGGGGCAGTAAAAACTCACCACGTGATGTCGTTTCACACCCTCACCAGCTTACAGATTGTAACCGTGGTTTCATCAACAGGTGGACTACAAGCCTGTCTGTCACCAACAAAACAACTCCTGCTGAAGAAAGTATTGCATGGAAATTAAACATGCTGCATAAGGCAAGATTTTACAATACACTACTAGTTATTCTAATCTAGCCACTACCCTGCTAGCTTTAGCACCTACTGCAGCCCCTACAAGCTTTTGAGTTGTCTCAAAAGCTTTTGCAACAAACCACTGCACACATGATCCCAGTACACTTGCCACCAGCTCTCTCGCCTCTTCCTAACCCCCCCAAAAACTTTATTTCCTTGATCGAAACCATACAACTGCTCCCCCCGCTAGCCATCTACCCATCACTCATCGTCACATGCAGCACCAGCAAGCTGCAGCCGCAGAGGCGGCAGCACCAAGGTCAGTTGATCTTCTCAACACTTACAATCTAACAGGCCCCATCAGCCCAGCAGCATAAGCACTGCAACAGCCGCCACCATCAATAACATCACCACTTGCACCAGCAATAGCAGCAGCTGTCGAAGCAGCAGGGGCACTCCTGTCAGTCAAATCAGCTCAATCTCAACCCAACGACCTTATGTTAGAACCAGAAGCACCACTCTAGCACAATGACAATCAGCACCACCATCACCATTCATCATGACTCCTGACTCGACTCACAAGTCACCTATCCTCCTCACCTTCCTCACTCTGTCACCCCCACCAAGGTCCTCCTCTTCCTCTTGCTCCCCTACAACCCTCCCCGCTCCCTGGCTCTCTGTCTCCCTGGCCCTATTCCGACTGATCTTGCGAACCGGTGCCTCCTGACGCAGCTCCTGCTGCGACTGCCACTGCTGCTGCGTCTCATACAGAGTTCCATCTGCCCCTCCTGCTTCTCCTGCTCCTCCTGCACCCCCAGCCTCTCCTGCCCCTCCTGCCCCTCCCGCCCCTTCTCCTGCACCTCCCGCCCCCCCTGCATCTCTTGCTGCTCCTGCTCCTCCTCGTCCTCGCCCTCCGCCTCCCCCTCCCCCTCCCCCTCTCCCTCCCTCTCGTGCGGTCATCACTTCTGCACCATCAGGCACCGCCTCGCACAGTTTCTGCAACAAGTGTGTAGTGAATGAAAAAAAAAAGGGAGCAGATGAATCAAGCAATTTTCTAGTGTTAGAGCTACCAATCTCCAACAGCGGGTAATTAGCACCTCATGTTTCCCATCACCTCAGTCTGTACCCCTTACTCCACCCCGTCCCCCTCACCCCACCCCATCTCCCTTACCCCACCCCCGTCCCCCTCACCCCACCCCATAACCCTTACCCCACCCCGTCCCCTTCACCCAACCCGGTCCCCCTCACCCCACCCTGTCCCCCTCACCTTCCAGTCGTTGATGTCAAGGCGCATGATAAACTGCCCCTTCGGCTCCGCGCTGCCTGATGCCGGCTCCGCAGGTGGGCGAAGGTCTGCCGGGAAGGAGGAAAGAATCCGAGATGTGTGAGCATCGCATGGATTACGATGGATAACTAGTCCTAAGTGGGCCTTGTTTTGAGTCGACTCAAAACAATCCAAGATGTGTAAGCATGGCATGGGTTACAATGGATAACTAATCCGAAGTGGCCTTCGACGCTCTCAGGTGCTTGCATGTGCGTGAGCGTGAGCGCAGGCGTAAGTGAGTGTATGTGCTAGCGCGAGCGTGAGTGCATGCGAGAGCGTTAACGTGAGCATGAGCGCATGTGTGAGCGCAACTGTGAGTGCCAGCGTATACAAGGACACCAAGAAGGGCACATAGACCAAACACAGTCACACTCACCCACAGCAGCCCAAAAAGTTGAATCTTGCGATTGGGGGCCACAGTCACATGCTGCCCTCTTTCACAGGGAGAGAGCAAACATATTCTCCACCGTGTGAGCAAAGGACATCCATGCATGGGCACAGCAAACAGACACAGACCGACTCAAACTCACCCACAGCAGCCCCAAAAGTAGGATCAGGGGTGAGTCCCACGCGGCCCTCTTTCACAAGGAAGGAGAGCGCAAACATGTTCTCCACCGTGTGCGCAAAGGACGTGCGCGACAGCAGCAGCTGCGGCAGCTGCACGCGGTGCCGTGGCGCCCTCTTGAGCCGCCGGTACATCTCCTTCACTGTCGCTTCTGTTGCCGTCTCCTTGCTGCCACTGCCCTCTCCTGCTTCCCCTTCCTTCCCTTGCTGCTTGTTCATCTGGCACGTGGAACGAAGGGATCACGTGGGGGAAGGGCATAGAGGAGAATGAGCAAGGGGGGATGGTGAGAGAGCGCAGCTGCACGCGGTGCCGTGGGGCCCTCTTGAGCCGCCTGTACATCTCCTTCACTGTCGCCTCCGTTGCCGTCTCCTTGCTGCCACTGCCACCTTCGCCCCTCCTGCTTCCCCTTCCTTGCCTTGCCTGTTCATCTGCTCAGAAGCACGTAAAACGAAGGGATCAGGTGCAGCAGGGGGGAAGGACATAGAGGCGATGGCGGAAGAGGCGGAAGAGGGAGAATGAGCAAGGGGGGATGGTGAGTAAGCTGCAGCAGCTGCCAAGGTGCCGTGGTGCCCTCTTGAGCCGTCGGTACATCTCCTTCACTGTCGCTTCTGTTGCTGTCTCCTTGCTGCCACTGCCATCTCCTGCTTCCCCTTCCTTCCCTTGCTGTTTGTTCAGCTGGTTAGACGCACGTGGAACAAGGAAATCAGGCACAGCAGGTGGTAAGGAGATAGGGGAGATGGCAGACGAGGGAGAATGAGCAAGGGCGATGGTGAGAGAGGTGACTTTTAAGTCGACTCAAAAGTCAATGAGCAAGGACGATAGTGAGAGAGCATTACTTGCTGCACGCGGTGCTGTTGGCCCTTTTGAACTCGGCAATATACACCTTCTTCACCGTCCCTTACCTCACCGTCTCCCTGCTGTCACCCTGCCACTACCGCCGCCCTCTTCCACCCCTCTCCCCCCTGCTCCCTTCCCACCTGTGCGGCTGTCACCCAGCTCACCTGTGCTCTTGAGGCGCCTCGAAGCTCACCTGTGCAAGAACTACAATGCCCTCACAGCCTCCCTCTTGCACCTGACTGCCTGCGCCCTGCGTTTGGGCACCTCAAAACCCATGTGGTAAACAGCTCACCTGTGCAGGATCCACAGCTGGTAACCAGCTCACCTGCGCTATTGAGGCGCCTCAAAGCTCACCTGATCGGGCACCACAGTGGCCCCCACTGCGTCCCTCTTGCGCCTCACTGCCTGCACCCTGCGCTTGGGCGCCTCTGCCTCCATTGGCCCCAGCCTGCTCCGCGCCAGGTGAGTGGGGAAAGACAGGGGGAGACAGGGGGGAGACAGGGGGAAGACAGGGGGAAGACAGGGGGGAGACAGGGTGGAAGAGAGGGGGAAGAGCGGGTGGTTCAAGGGAGGGAGGAGGTATGCTGAGAGAGGGGTAGGAGGGATACGCTGGGGAGAAGAGGGGGAGGTGTAGAGACTGAAATAAGCATCGCAGAAAACGTAATGCGTGTTTCAATGTAGAGGTGGAACATGTAGTGCAGTCACTTCAAGACTCACATGGTGCCAATGGTCCAAGCAGGCCGCACCAGCTCCAACCCAAACTCCCTCCCCATCCTCGCCCAATCCATCTCCCCCTCCTCTTCACCCTCTTCTCCTGTTCCTTCCGCCCCATCCTCTCCTTCCGTCTCCCCCTCTCCCAGCCCCCTCCCCCGTCCGCTCCCCCTTCCGCCTCCCCCTCGCGCAGCATGTCCGCACAGCCCTGTGCGGACGAGGTACTTGGCTCTGAGCGCGGCAACGAACTGCTCAGGCGTGGCAGCGTGGCGCCGCAGCAGCGCTTCCGTGGAGTGCGCCAGCACCTGCAAGAAGCCGCCCAGCACTTGTTACTATCGAAAACACAGGTGCAATACAAGTACACCTCCCATATGTATTAGAAGAAAAGAGTGATTTTCACATCATATAATATTTCAAAAAAGTTGCAAGTGTAGCTACCTGCGAGAGGCCGTCCAGCACGTCGGCGTCCATGAGCTTCTCCCGCAGCTTCAGATCCGAGGCCACGCCAGGGTTCGTCGTCAGCTTGTTGGCTGTCTCCAGAATCTCCTCAAACTTGCTCGACCCGATGCTCAGCTCATTGTGGTTGGAACATTCTGGTAGTGCGGTGGGATGGGAGGAGAAAGAGGGAAAACATGTTATTATAACATATCAGCCATACGACTTCCTGACACAGGTTCATTGTCATAATACTGACAACTTTATATTTCGAGACTTGTCGTGGGAGGAGAAGGTAGACATGTGCTAGCCGTTACAAGCATGCATTAGCAGGTCAGGAACAAAACGAGTGGATGCCGGTGTCAGAAGAATGAGAATGCGAGTAGCATGAGCCGAGTATGGCAATCTGAAAAAAATAGGGTTACTAACGAGTTAAGCTGGTGCCAACGTGCCAATACAGTGAAGAAGTGCGATTCTAAGAACAAAAGGTAGCGGAAATAATTACGCAACATAGAACGTCGCAACAACAGGAACCAATGTCAGTGGTCAAGAATGTGATGTCAATACCTAGAGAATGGAACAAGTAAGTAACACTTGATGGATGGATAGTCCACCGTAACAGAATACGCCAACATTCAGCCATTTCAAACAATGAACAATCCTTTGCAGAAATCTTACCCGCAACTTGAGCTTGAAGGCCTCTTAGCCGAACCCTAACCTCCCGGCGCCGTTTCAGATTATTCGCCATCTGCGCCGCTCCTTCGTTCTCCTGATTTTCCCGCCTGTCCCTTTGCCGGTTCATCAGACGACCTCGGTTCAGAGCGGTGCCGGTTGGCACTGTAGAAGGGCCGGAGCGCTGCGGTTGAATCGACGGCGGCATTTCCGAGGAGGAGACTAACCCTAAACGACCGGTCCGTTACAGTCCAACTATGACTTTGGTTATAATCGCTAATGAAACTGAACCTTCAAATAGCTGAAACCGTGGTGATAGAATCGTGTAGCGGCGTGGTTCAACTGTTGCACCTTACCGAACGAATGGATGATAGTCGCGACAGTACCACCAACCTTTCTCCGTCCGTTTGTTCAGTCAGTGAGCAAGAATACGTGAAAATAAGGCTGGCGGGAAAAAGGCTGAGGTCGCGCGGTGCCAAAAAGGCACTGACTAGGTAACGATTGGGAAATGGAATACACACACAACTTTAGATTCGAGGTCTCTAAAGACGCACACAGCTCGAAGTTCAAGCTTGTAGTTACTGACGTAAACGCAGTGTTATATTGTGCTCCTCTCCCTGAAGTGCTGAAACCCTCAAGTAAACAGACAGTGCGCAAGCATGAACATTATCTGTGAGCGACAGTGCGACACCATGAACAAGAGCATAATGACACAACTTTGCTCGAGGCCGCAGTATAAATTATTCTCAGGCTGGCAGAATGACTCTTCAAGGATACCTTGAAGTTACTTCAGAGTGACGCCAAGCTTTTCAACGTTGCGCCTTGTTTTGCTTCTCACATACAACAGTTGAACGCGCGGGAAAGAGCGAATGTTTGAGCAGCTTGACAGAATTGTGTGTTCCAGTTTTTGCAGTAAGAACTTTTTTCAATGTTCACTGCAAAAAATCGTTGTCGGAAGCAAGAAGAAGAGTCGTGTATTTTGACGGAACATAAAATTGCCAGCTTCGGGGGTAGTGCACACTCGGGGGCAAGAAAAGGGGCAACTTGGGAAGAATATCTGATGTTGAAGAATATTATAAATGGCGGGAAACGGTACCGCGTTTCCACAATTTGCGTCATGCTGACATTACAGTTCGGATTTCTGTGTTCAGTTTGGAGATTCCAGAGCTTGAAAACCCTCGCTATCGATTACACGACTCAGATGACTTCGATAAGTGCATCAGACTGCTTCTCATATAGTCGTATCCTATCCAAGAGGTTGCGCTAAACAGATGACACATGGAGGGACCAGCCAAGTTTGCCACCATACTATAATTCTTGGGGTTATTGGGGTTGTTTTAAATGTGTGTGCTATTGGGGTTTTCTTGGGGTTGTGTGTGCTGCTTTTTCTTCCTTCTTCCCTGTTTTTCTTCCTCCTATCATTTTTCCCCTATTCCCCTCCTCCTTTCTTCCTCTCTCCTTTTTTCTACTCACGTTATTCCTCCTTTTCTCCTCTCTTCCCGTTTCCACTCCTTTTCCTTGCGTAATTATGCTACATTGTAATATTTTGAAATTACTTCTACTAAAAAAATACTATAATTCTTCTGGACAATAAATGACATTACTCGTGAATCTAAATGGCACCTAAAAATGCTTTATCTTAGTGCTCTACAGGTGAATATACTGGCCTTAACAACCTAGCAAGAAAATGTAGACATGAGGGACTTCATTGAATATAGATCTAACCAAGCTGATCCGGTGACCAAACCTATTTTTTTCCCTGATCAGCTTCATTCGACCTATAGTTACTACTAACCATGTGCTTAGGCTTATACTCGTAAGGAGCTGACTTCGGACCCCACACCTGCCAAATGGAAAAATGGAAGACACAATGGACACCGTAGATTGTTGAGAACAAGACCAGAAACAAGACCACAATGTACAATAAGCAGATGCAATTTTACCTGCACCCCATCATCTTTATAGCCTCTGTCCCAGCTGTGGACTTCTCCACTGCGAAACAGAGTAAGCTCTGAAGTGCACCGAGTAGCTCCGTTCTGCATAAGTGAATGGGGCATCATTATGTTCCCACACCCGGTCACCCAGCCCCACCACAAAATAAACAAGGAAAAAGAAACAAAGAAAGACTGAGCTGCCTGTTGTCACATCCAACGGCCACACTGAAGAGACGATTTGTGTCAATTTAAAATGGGGTTACAACTGCAACACACGCATGTTGAATGCCCTACCCAGTTGTTCGGAAAGCCTCCTGGAGGTGTTGAGCCTTCATATGCACACTTCCGCCCCCCCTCACATCGCGAGAGGTACACCGTGGCAAGGTGCTCCGAAATATCCTGGCGAGCAGAAGACCATCAGGTGAGTCATGTGACAAAAGATTGAGCTGCCACTGAACACGATGTGTCCCAGCAGGGCTTCAAACCAACAACAAACATGGCAATCAGGGCTTACCCCGATGACCTCCTCTGGTTGTGGCCGCTGATTCTTTGGCCGCTCGCAAAAGTTTCGGTACTCTTCAACGTCTCGAAGAGCATAGCTGGCCACCTGCACGTGAATTGTCGCAGCTGTCACAACATGCTTGCAGTGGCTTAACAGAGTGGGAACAGGTACAGGATGCATGTGCTGTGACCAGCAACCGACGTGGTTAGATATTAACCGAGTTTCTCAGGAACCTATCTCACCTCAGCATCACACTTCATCTCTTTGGCGCATGGCCTCACAACATAAAAGCGCTGCAGGCATGCAGAGGAAAGTCAGGCATAAGAATCAGGAATGCAACTGACAAAGCAGGAGTGACGACACAGTGAGTACAGAGCATGATGACGGCTGGACAAAATGGAAAGAGCCAGAAAGTACCTGGCGAAAAGGCTTTTCAGGTGATCTCCAGAAGGCCTGCACATATGCGCACAGAATGAACAGGCGATCATTTGAAGTTCAGTTCAAGCGCCAGATGAGACCATTGACATCGGACAAGCAATTTTCTCGTGGCAATGATGGGAGAGGTGGGAAGGGGTGAGGAACGCATGAGGAAGAACGTACCTGTAAACGTACAAAATGGAATAGTGCGGTTTCGGACTCTACCTAGGTTGAGTACCTGCTCGCAGTAAAGGACACGGGAGCCATCTTCCAAAACGGCTGCAGGACAAGAATCGAGCCTGGGGCGAAGAAGCATTACATGAAGAGGCCGAGAGAAGAAGTATGAGTACTAGATGAAAAACGTGAAGTCTGGAGCCAAGAAAAGAACCAGCGACTAGGGAACGGCCGGGCCTACGATTTCCGTGTCGCTCAATTGCACAGCTTAAGACAGAGTCAAGCACCTGAGATTGAAAAAGTTAGCAGGATCGCGTGCTGCTTGGTCTGCTGAAAACTGCAGGGATATAAATCAGTTGAAGTTAGCTACTGAGTTCAGTACATTCGACGCAGAAAATAAGGTAAACGAGTAAGCTACCTTCTCTCCGGTCAACAGATTAGTAACTTCGCGACAGTGGTCCCTCCTAGCCCGACTAATCAATCTCTTCAATATGTACGCGCCGCCAATCACGCAAGCAGCCTTGATCATAACGCCTTGATTTAGCCATTTAGGTCCTCCGCCACCAGAATCTTCCGAACCCTTATTGTCGACTCCTGACTCTCGCTGATCATGCTTTCCAGAGAGCAGAGGCCCGACGCCGGACTCCATCCTACCAGTAAGAACGAAAACACGTCAGAGACGACTCTAAACTGGCGCGAAATTAACCCGCGACTAGACGTCTCTAAGCTAGGGTCACAGAATCACGGAAAGCTGGTCGCGAGACAACTAATGGCTGATAGTTTCCCTCAGTCTGATCCTGATTCCTGAAATTGGCTTATCTCTTCGGCTGTGGGATTTGGCACTCCATGTTGCGAAAGGCTGAGTCATCTGCGTCGTCAGTGAGCTGTTCTGCACGAATCACGATCTTTCGCGAAACCCCTAAACACAAAACGGTATTGGCTGACCTATGTCGTGCGAGTTACACATGCTGGAAATAAAAATCATGAAATGGATAAAGAAAACTGAAAGAATAATTGCTGAGGTAGTGCTGAGCTAGATCGAATTTAAGTGCAAATTACAAAACTCATTCGACCGGCCATACTATCAACATTATTGTACAATGTCTCATACTTCTAGAACTGTGCCTTTCCACCCTTCCGTGAATCACTCCCACCTCTCCCTTGCCTCTCACCCCTTTGTGAACGACGCTCATTAACAATATTGGTGGACCCCCTTCCTCTACCTCCACCTCCTCCGTCCCTAAAACCCCTAGCACCAGAAGCACCACCACCAAATTTCAGCGGCACCACAGGCTTCAAGGGGTAGCTCGACCCTTCAGCATCCAATTTGTATGCGGCTCGCTCGGAGGGAGAGAGGCGGTAGGGGAAGTGGCGCAGGGATGGAGGGAGGGCTGCTAGCTCAGGGATCCAATGGGCTACATAGTCGCCATTGGGATCATACGTGGATGCCTGCAGTACAGGATGGATTCAGGGAATAGGGAAGATGCAATGGTAGCACTCGGAGGATGAGAGAGGGAAGCACACGCATGTGAGTAACTCCAATGGTACACCATATGAAATTAAGCACACGAGGAGCGCACACCAAGTGAGGAAATCGATAACAGATGTTCGAAGCACGTACCTGCTTGGGAATGCTGAAGTATCTGTCCTCCCTGGGATCGTTCCCCACACCTGCAGTGGTACAAAGAGGGCGGGGTGCACCAGGAAAGGCAGACGGCAGAGGCCAGGGAACCATTATCACACCCAAAAAGCTACACGCCCATCATGACAGTGCGTCGTACCTACGTTATAAGCTGTAACCCCACCACAGGACAAATATCTCTCCCACCCTGCACATAAGCCTCATCGCTATGGGGCATACCAGAACCGTACAGCTCCAAGCGCCAACATTGTACCAGTGCCGTACTCAACAGCACTATACCAACGCTGTACCTGCGGAATACAATAATAATACTGTACCAGCACCATACCAGCATCGTATCAGCACCGTACCAACGCCACCAAACCAGCAGCATACCAGCACCACCATACCAGCGCCATAGGTCCAGTTGCCGCAGTTGGAGGCAGGGTCATGGTCAAGGAAAAGCGACTCAAACCACTCCGCCCCCTTCCAGCACAATAGGTCATGTTACCCCACCACAATGCCTTTACCAGCGCTGTATCAGCACGATCGTACCAGCGCCGTAGGTCCAGTTGCCGTAGTTGGAGGCAGGGTCATGGTCCAGGAGAAGCGACTCAAACCACTCGGCTCCCATGCGCCAGTCCATGCCCATGTCTCGCACCAAGAACGAGCACACTATCTGCAGCGTGCAATGCACAACATGCAGTCATGTTGGGTGGGTTAACACATGCACCAGTCCATACCCATGTACCTCACCAGGAACGAGCACACTATCTGCACCACGCAGTGCACATGCAGCACACATGTAAGGATGAGTGGTGGTTGGTCGGATGGGTTAAGACGAGTACTCAAACCACTCCGCCCCCATGCGCCAGTCAATGCCCGTGTCCCTCACCAGGAACGAGCACACTATCTGTGGCATGCGGCACACATACAGGAACCAGCAGAACCGGCAGAAACCGTTACGCTCGCTTGAATGCAACTGGGTGCTGGTTGGGTTGATTGATAGATTGACTGACATGCGTACATGAAACACATGTGAAAGCGGAAACGAGGTACTTAAAAGCAGCTGCGAGGAATCTAATCCCAACCCTGCACGCCAAACCTGAACATGTCCCATACATGCCTGCCGAGCCTATACCGCACCTGTCTGCCTCGGTTGGACATGAAACCCGTGGCTGCGAGCTCCCTCATATTGGCGTCCACCAAGGGGTACCTGGTGGGTAGGCCAGTATTAGGAAATATGATACTGAAAACTTAAGTCTATCAAACAAGCTACATTCTCAGTCACACTGGCGTGTTTGATAAACTCAGTCACACCAGAGGGTATCTGGCGAGGAGGGGTGGTGATTGCAATGAGTTTTCACAAGTCTTGGGGCGATCGAAAGCCTTACTTCTCTTCATATGGGCGTCATGACTTTCACACTCATAGTCACAGTCACTCGCTCATTCGCTCGCTCACTTGCTCACTCACTTGCTCACTCACTCAAATGATATGTGCCAGCACGTGCTCACTCACTTGCTAACCCAATCAATTGATCCTATCACTTGCACACTCACCCCGTTCGTCCCTCCCTCCACGCATCAAAGAGAGCTCTGTCCGTGGACCAATCTCGGCCATTGAATTGCAGCTTGCGGGGCCCACCTAATACGATCCAACGGGATAGGAATGATGCGGAGAGGAGGGAATGGTGGAGCGGAAGCAGGGTGGACAAGAGGGATAGGCTTAATGGCGAGGGGTGCTGTTACAGACAGATATGCGGAGATTAGAGGCGGAGGGGATGAGAAGGATCAACGGGCGGGGATAATCACATCAAAAGATATGTACGTGTTTGGTTGTAGTGCAATCAACTGCAGCGCAGCATGGTGGAGTGCGGTGCGTGGCAAAGCATGGTGGAGAGCGGTGCAATGGAGTGGGCAACGTACCCAAGTGGAATATGGAATTCCCGCATTTAATGGAGAGGAACCGAAAGTAATCCCTCCAGATAAGCTCGAATAGCACCCTGGAGTGATGATGTGTGGGCGGGGGATGGGGGGCATAGGGTAAGCGCACGGGAGAGAATCGAAGTTGCCGCATTTGGTGGAGAGGAACCGAAAGTAATCCCTCCAGGTAAGCTCAACTAGCACCCTGGAGTGATGGGATTGTGATTGGTACGGAGCATGGTAGAGGGAGCATGGTAGAGGGAGCAGGGGCGCATGGTAGATTAACCAAATGCAACAAAGAGGAACTGAAAGAAGTCTCTCCAGTTAAGCTCAAAAAGACACATGGGAGCAGGAGCAGAGCAGGGACGCATGGGAGGGAGGGTGCATGGCCGCGTGAGAGAGGTGCATAATGCGTACCAGTATGTGGACTCGTTTGCCACTCGCTCCTTCTCATATCGCAGCACCTGTGGATGGGTGAGCGCAGCAGCACAGCACAGGGGAGTGCAGCAGAGGATTGGATTGAAGCATGTGGCGAGAGGGTGTGAGAGAGTGAGTACCAGTATAGGGACTCGTTTGCCACTCGCTCCTTCTCATATCGCAGCACCTGGGGTTGGAAGGCAGACAGCACAGGGGGGTGTGGCAGAGGATTGAAGCATGTGGCGAAAGGGGGAGAGAGTGAGTACCAGTATGTGGACTCGTTTGCCTCTCGCTCCTTCTCGTATCGTAGCACCTGGTGGTGGTTAAGATCATGCCATCGTAACGATGTGACTTTTGAGTCGACTCAAAAGTCATATTGCAGCACCTGGAGGTGGTTCAGATCATGCCTTTTGAGTCGACTCAAAAGTCACTCGCTCCTTCTCATATCGCAGCACCTTGTGGTGGTTCAGATCATGCCATCACACAATGGCAGATAGGCACACAATCACGCGCACGCATGCTGTCGTTCAGTCGATGAGGGGGTGTGATGCGATGCGATGCGATGCGATCAGAAAGCGTTGATGCGCGTTTGGGGGACAGCACACTAGCACAGGTGCGCCAGGCTTCGAAGCCACAGGCAGGCGCGGGCAGACGCGGGCAGACGCAGATAGACGCGGGCAGACGCGGATAGACGCGGATAGACGCGGATAGACGCGGGCGGACGCGGGCGGACAGACTTAGTGCGAAAATGGTGCTGTATCCAACCCCACATACAGCCAACACCTCTGCACTCTGCACCGCAGCATCACTCTGTGACCTTATTGCACCACAACCAACACCTCTGCACCGCAGCACACACCTCTGAATGAATAAACCGAGCACAGATACACCCATGTGCCAGCCGTGGCGCAAGCTTGGTGCTGTAGCCAGCTCCCAGCATACCGCTAAAATCCCTCTCTCCCTCCAATATACCTTGCTGCACCGCACTTAAAGCCTTTGGACTGCAACAACCGTCACACACCTCTGAATGGATGAAACGAGCAGAGATGCAGCCATGCGCCAGCCATGGAGACAGCTTGGTGCTGTAATCCGCCCACAGCATGCCGTTGCACTCACTCTCTCCCTCGCATGCACCTTGCTGCACCTCAATAAACACCTCTGTACCGCATCACTCACCTCTGAGTGGATGTATCGAGCAGAAATGCATCCATGTGCCAGCCACGGCGACAGCTTGGTGCTGTAATCCGCCCCCAGCATGCCGTTGCACTCCCTGTCTCGCTCCCTCCCCCATGCTGCACCGCAACACATCCCCCAAGCACACTACACACCACAAACCTCCGAATGGATGAACCGAGCAGAGATGCACCCATGCGCCAGCCATGGCGACAGCTTGGTGCTGTAATCCGCCCCCAGCATGCCGTTGCGCGTCAGCTTGTACTCTTGAATGCAATCCCGCTGCCACACATACTCCTCCACCCGAGCCAGTGCTGCTGTCTCCCCACCCTTAAACGGCAACACGCCCCTCGGGTCCTGGTTTATGGGAGTTGGGAGTTGGTAAGAGAGGTGATCAGGATACCAAACACAGCGACTGAACAAGTCAGCTTGTACTCTTGAATGCAATCCCGCTTCCACATATACTCCTCCACCCGAGCCAGTGCTGCTGTCTCCCCACCCCTGAACTGCAGCACACCCCTTGGGTCCTGGTTCATGGGATTTAGGTAAGGCGGTTGACCAGGATATATGAAAAAAGCAACTGAACGAGTGAGCTTGTACTCGCTGATGCTATCTTGCTGCCAACCATACTCCTCTGCCCGAGCCAGTGCCACTGTCCTCCTGCTCCTAAATGCCAGCACACCCGTCGGGTCTTGGTTTGGGTTACAAGGACTAGAGATTAAGGAGTAAGGGGGGTTACGAAGGAAATCAATTGCGGAAAGGAGTCGAGGTAACGTTTAAGTCGACTCGCAAGTCGCCCTTCGAGTAGGGTTTCGAAGAGTCAGGGAGAAGGAGAAATTTGAGAAAATATCTGGGTTGCTGTACTCCCTATCAACACACCCACGGCATTTGTTTCAACAAAGAAAAGGCCAGGCCAGACAGCTCACACTTCTGTATAGAAATATATACACACACATATATATATATATATATATATATATATATATATGTACACATATTGAAAAACAGAGCAGATCTACCTGTGGTGGGGGGTCGTCAATCCCAAGGTCAGCCAGAGACGGCAGGGAGCCCAAACCACCGATCCTGTCGACAGCTTCGGCAGAGAGGAACGGACCGAGGCTGGCAGGCATGGTGAGGGGTGGGCGGACCTTCGCTTTGGTTTCCACGGCCTGAGGAAAGAGAAGGGGAAAGGGTTGAATGGTCGGGAACCGAGGGAAGAGGAGTTCAGGCTAAGTGCCTCATGCTTCTTAAGGCACCTCAAACCATAAACAGAAGGAAAGAGATTCTTTAAATTTTCCAGAAATTCAGGCATCAGACAGAGGTTGTTGGGTCCGCCAGCGTGATTGCCATGTTACGTTCATCCCCTTCATAGCCTGACTCACTTTCCGGAACTGAGTGTAGATATCGGACAGGTTGGCAGGAGCGAATGGCAGATCATCCACGTGGTACATGGTCAGCCCCCATATCAGATGTGGGAAGATGTTTTAGAAGCACTGAGATCAACAATAAGCTGACTTTTGAGTCGACTCAAAAGTCAGCCCCCCATATCAGATGTAAGACGATGTTCCACAAGCAATACAATTATCCCCTTTATAGCGTGACTCACTTTCCGGAACTGTGTGTAGATGTCAGGCAGGGCAGCAGGAGCGAATGGCAGGTCATCCACGTGGTACATGGTCAGCCCCCATATCAGATCCAGCTTTGGGCGGCGACCGTTGGCAGTATCTGCGGCGAGTCGTTCTTGGGCTGTTGTTGGGCCTCCTGTGGCCCTCGTTATAGTCACATTGTTCAGCGCGTGCTTGAGGTTCCTCTCCACCCTGAGCTCCTCGTCTGTTGTTTCCGCCTGAGCCACCACCTGAAACACCCAGAGAAGTAAAAGAAGGAAAAAAAAGAAGCAACGAAGAATGGAAGCCCCCCCCCCCCAGTTTTGACCACGGGACTTGTACCGTAATCCAACACAGAGCAAATACACAACACAAGCCAGCAAACACACACACACAGAGAGAGAGAGAGAGAGAGAGAGAGAGAGAGAGAGAGAGAGAGAGAGAGAGAGAGAGAGAGAGAGAGAGAGAGAGAGAGAGAGAGAGAGAGAGAGCATGCCGAAACCTACCAGATGCGCGTTGAGAGCCGCCACGAGCACAGGCAGCACGGTTTCAGGCGGGCCCACCCGCACGAGCAGGTCCGACCCCATCCCCTGCAGGCGCTGCCTCATGTCCGCCACGCTCTCCAGCAAGAAGCGTGCCCGGTGAGCTGGTAGTGGCAGATAAGGAAGGGTAGGGAGAAGCGGGAGAAGGAAGGGAAGCGAATAGGGAGAGCAGAGGGGGGGTTCTGAGCAAATCCAAACCCACCCCGTGCAGCGCAGGCGCTGCCTCACGTCCGCCACGCTTTCCAGTAGGAAGCGCAATCGGTGAGCTGGTTGGGGCAGATGGGGTTTACAGTAAGGGTGAATAGGGAGAGCAGTGAGCGGGAAACAGGGGAGAGGGGGATAGGACCAGGTCCGATCCCATTCTCTGGAGGCGCGAGGCTCTTCACTCGGCCATTCAGCCACTTAAACTATCCACCAACAGCAAGTACACCGTTCCTTGCGTCACGCGCGCCGCGCACCTGCCATTTTCGGGAAGCCGAAGTGGTGCGTGGTGGAGAAGCAGCGCGGGTCGAAGCAGTACACGGGCACCGCGATCGCCGCCGCCTGCCACGCGCGCAGCAGCGCCTCGTTGTCGTGCACGCGCAGATCGCTGCGCAGCCACACAATCGCGACCCCCTCTCCGCCGCGACCCTTCGCGTCCGCCCCCGCCGCCATCTCCGCAGCTTCCGCCGAGGTACGATCTGATTGAAATTCTTTACGGTTAGTGGTACTACCGGTAGCTAAAAAGGAGCCGGAAGTTGCTGCAAAGGTGCTGACTGCGCGTGACGTGGACTGGGGGCCCCTGCGAGCGGGATTTCCGGGAAGGTAATTAGATGCGAATGGCCGGGACGAGACGCAAGGCGCTGATGCTGCAACCTTGGGAATGCCGACCGTTGCGCCTGAACTCTGCAGCACCTGATAGTAGTGGAGTCTTGAGCGCGACGCTCCTGGTAAACGACGTCGTTTAGGGTGACAAAGTACGAATCCACCACACTCAAGGTGCCGACGTGGCGATAAACTCGGCAGCGACAGGTTTCCGTTATTTTCGGAAATGCGAGCTGAACGAGCGGAACTGTGCAACGTGGCGTTAACAGCGGATGTGACGGCGGCGAGTGCGGGAGGGAGAGGTCGGAAAGGCAACGGGAAGAGCAGAATGATGCTCATGGTGCTTCTAAAAATTACTTGACGAGACGAGAACTCGGCGCCATTCGCGGGTCCTGAATGGTGCGGTTTAGGCGCCGGTGATCACGAGCAGCCAGTGCAAGGCTTTCCGTAGCGCGCGTGGTGCGCGTGGCGCGAGTGAACGCAGCGCATGAAGGGAGGGGTGACGTGGGGGTTGCGTACGACACCTGCCACGAGGAAGCCTTGTGTGGCCGATTATGATTCGCCTTGAAAGCAAGCCTTTCGGCGACATGTTGAGAGAAATGCAACATAGCTAAGGATATTGCAGCGGGGCGCGTGGCGGGGAATTGGCCACGACAGGAGGCAAGCAGCGTGGCGCTATGGATGACTCTGGATTCAGAAACTACATGAAACCAGAAGACCAAAGAAATGGAGTTCCGACACAAGGTCTTTTGCTTAGGGTACCACCCTGTCTACATGCGCTCAGCTCAGCGGGCTATGGTATACTAAATTTGATGAATCATAGAAACGTTCACAAGAATATCCCTACACCCTCAAGATTTATCACATGACATTTCCAGGAGATATAACTATGAGATATTTGTAATTCCAATTTTGTCTGCCCTAGCTAATCTTAACACTAAAAGATGAGTATGTCACTATCTACGGAAAATGTTGATGAATTGAATGCCAATGGTACTACTGAAGGAACACATGGGGCGGATTATATACATCAGACCTACCATCTGACAGTCGAGACATTATTGGGTTGACTCCAGGGACCGCCAGTGACATCCAGAACGCTTTGACCCCAAGTCCAGAGACAACCTTGCCTAGGTGGCACATCCTCCTCCGACCTTTCCTTACCAGCTAGTCGGGTGTGCACATGTAACAAATGCACTCTCGGTTCGGTTCGGTTCGAGCCTTTGCGGCAGGCCTTCTCGCGGCCCTCCGACGCTGCGCGGAGCTCAGACCTTCCGATTGCGCCGCACGTCAACCCCTATCTTTGCGGGGCGCGCTATGTCACGCGGTGTGGCGATTCCCCAAACCCCACTCGTCATGACGTGACTGGCTGACCGCCGCCAAAAGTGCTTTCCCGACGTGACCAGAAGGTTTTTGTCACCGCTGCCCGCCACGGGCACTCGAAGATTCTTCCGTTCCATTCCCTGCACAGTGCGCTTTCAGCCAACCAGCAGTTGCTTGGCAAGATTCCTTCGCAATGGCACGAGTGTCCTCCTGCTGTGTCGCCGAAAAGAGTCGAGGTGGACATTGCTTTCATCAGTGGTCAGCGACACTGCAATGCTAGCTCGGTGATCCACCAGGTTTCGCTAACCTTCGTTGCCCAATAAAACCGGTGCAATTGAGGTGATAAGGCTTGGTGGACCAAACGGGCTCGGGCATTTGATGCATGAAATGTTCACGGGGGCGAACTAAACACTGGCGGACTTCTCGAGGAAGTAAAGTGGGTCGGGTGCGTCATGGTGCGGTAACAAGTTTTAGTAGGCGCTCGGCTCAAGCAGGCACCACGATTATTGCACGTCACGGGCAGCACCGACGCGAATAATTGTGATCCAGCTCCCGAGACGTGATGTGACGGGACTGCTGCTGGTTGGTTGGTTCTCCCCGGTTCCCCCCCAGCGCATCTCCCCCCCCCCCCGCCACTCTCACCTTGGTTCTTCTCTTTGCCTGGTTGCGCATCACTTCCCTCCCCTCTCATATTCCTCTGTTGATCATTTTCTTCCGAATTCCGTCCATTTTCACATCATCGTCGTTCAGTCACTCCTGCTCCCTCTTCATCTCCTGCACACTACGCCTTCGTGATTCGTCGCGTTCATTCTCTCTCCAGCACCAAGCTCGCTTCTTTCGTGTCACGCATTAGGGAAAGTAGCACCTGACGAAGTGAATTCTGGCGCATCATCGCCACTTAGCGTCCCACATCGAGTGAATTTCAGCATCTGGCGAGTAGAACAGTTCCGGACCGTTTCCTTTCACTTCAAGCCCGAATTCGGTTAGGTCTCGGTTAAGATGCCCATCGGAGATTCGCTTCCCGCTATAAGCTCCTTCGAATCGTGTCGTCACCTCGTGGCTCCTAGTATTAGAATACCTACCATGTCTGGGCCAATTCTGACAACGGTCACCACTGCTGCCACTGTTGTTTTCGATGCTGATGCGAGCGTTCTAGGCTGCGCATGCGCGCATAAACCGCCAGTAGTAGCACACCCGCCGGAGCTCCTTCCGGCGACGGAACCAGACAGCACGCCGACCGCAAACGTGTCATCATATGCGAGCCGCGATACCTTGTCGGAAGAGTTCTCGGAATCTTGTTGTGCCAAGGCGCTTGAAACCCCGCCGTCGGACGTGGCAAAAAGCTTATTCCACTCGTCAGCTGCAGCTGCGACAGCTGCGACGTCGCCAGATCTTCGTCGCGAGCATCGCGCGATAGCCTTCATTCAAGACTGCCTTTGGCAATCGTTAGAGGTACTGAGCAACCCCGACGAATCCGCTCTGGAATGTAATTTTGACTCGGAGGCGCTTCAGCACTCGAATCCGCGCTGGAATGTAGTTTTGAGGCGCTTCAGCACTCGAATCCGCGCTGGAATGTAGTTTTGAGGCGCTTCAGCACTCGAATCCGCGCTGGAATTCCAAGACTCTTCCCACGATAACTCGTCGTGCGCGTCCCGCTTGACTGAACATTCCCCCGCTCCCTTCGGTCTTTCCCGCACGCCTGAAATTTGCGTGCTTACCCCACGCTTCCCATCGATTCCCTCAACCCACCCTCCTCCTCCCCTTCCCCCCGTATCATTCTCCCCCCGCGCGTACCCGCGTTTTCTCGTGTTCCTGGCAGACGTGCTTGGAGCTTTGCTGGATCGCTTTGGTCATCGCCGTCTTCGTTATAGGCTGCTCGCTCTCGCGGCGTATCGAGTCCATGCGCGCTTCTTGTAACGGGGCTGGACTACAAGCCGTTCTCAGCGAGGTGAGCCGAGGAGAGGGCGAATTCGCCGCGCATCCCGCCGTTCAGTACGCTGAGCCTCGCACCGTGATTCCCGGACCCTGTTCACTTAACGAGCTGGACGGCAATTCCCTGACATCGTCGGATTGTAGTTTAGGTAAGCCACATTTCGATCCAACCCCGTGAGTGCAATTCTTCCACACTTACCCTTTTCGCTTCCTTATGTCATGTCAGCTGAAAGACCTAGTAATTCCCAGATTCCTCGGATTTCATGAATTCGGTCCTCTCGGAGAACTTGACCTTCCTCTCCCTGCCAACTCCCTTCTTCCCCCCCCCCCTCCTCTCCCCCCCCCCCCCCCCTCTCCCACGCCGCAGAGCCGTCATATGCACTTAATTTAATACTCCCACACGTCTGGAGCCAGTCTGCCTTGCACAGCCGCCGCATACGCGACCACATCCATGCCAACTGTAGCAGCAGTCGTGCGTCTCGTGTGCTGGATAATAAAAGCAATGCTCGCGGGGAGAATTCGCTGCCGATGGGAAGCACTGCGTCCGCCGCGCTAGGATTTTTGCAGAGAGACTGTGACCGTCGCATGCAGTGCAGCCAGTGCAAAGAGGGGGGTGCTGACGCCAGCTTGTTGGATGAAGGGATGAACGGGATCTCTCACACATTGGAGACTGAGGTGGGTTCTTTAGGTTTTCAGGTCTTCAAAGTTTCTAGACCACGAGTGCTCTTTAGGTTTCTATAGGGTGGTGACAGGCCAAGAGGCGAAAGCGTAGAGAGAAAAAAAATGAAGCTAGTAGGCTTCATTTTGTGTTTTGTTTCTCCTCCCTTCCCTTCTGTGCACACCCCCATCCAGGCGCTGCACTATCAACAGGAAGCAACATCAGTATCAGCCACAAGGCATCCACTGATAATTGCAATAGAAAGGACGGGGAAGGAGGATCCCAAGGCAGGAGGGGAGGGGTTAAAATGGGACAAAGATGTAGGAAAGGGACTGCAGAAGAAAGAGGAAAGGGGGAACAGGAATGTCCCTTACCTGGGATTGCTGATGAGCCCTTCCAGTAACGAGTCGCATTCACAAGAGGAGGAATTTGTGAGAACTGCCAGGCAAGGTCGTGGAGAGGTGCGACAAGGAGATGGGATGCCGCCAAATAAACAAGCAGGTGGAGGTGGGAAGCAAGACTCGCCGCATGAAGGATGGACAACTGTTGGAGAACCTCAGTCTCAGCCTTTGAAAGCAATCAGCATCTGATAAGGCATTTGATGGTTGGTCGGAGCTGTGCAGCTTGCTGTTAGGTGTTGCTCTTCAAGGAGGTGGAGAATTGAAAACATCCTCAACGGCAATACCACCACCATAATGAGATCATGCGTGTTGCTGCCATGCTCCTCCGCAGGTGTGGCAGCTGTGCTGCCGATACACTGTCAGGTTAGAGAGGCTCGTAAGCTGTTACGTCGCGTGTTTGAGGTGCTAGTTTTTGGGTTGGTTTGTGCACGTAAAAAATTTGCATGAAGCTAGTGCCAATTTTGTGTTGAAGCTACGGTATTTTGAAAGCTTTAGAATGCATATATTTTTGAAAAAGCTCAGTTGAGTTCCCATCGGTATTTCAGACGGGTGTGAAAACACAATTAGGGAGGTTTTATTGGGTGGCTGCACTATCATCAGTTACCAATCAACCCATATCTGATTTTCTATGAGGTGTATTTGTTATGGAGTTAGCGAAAATGGCTTGAAACGGCGAAGTACACCATGGCCTTCAGGTGACTGTTTGTTGTACGGTTTCAAGGTGGCTACTTGCTGTTGCTCTTCCTGGCAACTGGCAGTGCCGACAGGCGTCCGTTCTCGCATGTGATTGGCTGGATTCGCCGTAGTGGTAACGTATGGACATTTCTCTGTTGCGAGCCGCGGAGACGAAGAAATACTTTCGTGCTGCTTTTTCGCAGCACTGCGTTCGGGTTTATGCTGAAATGCGCGAAACGCTTTTCACGACTGTTACACCGCAGATAATTTGTCGCTCTTCGGCTGTTCGGGCATCAGTTTTCGTTATCTATCTGCTGCTCTCCCCCAGACCTCCTGCTCCCTGGGGAAAGACCAGGAGAGTCTGCTCCAGGATGCATTGGGATGGAATGGGGCCCACCCAATTTGCTCCCATACCAGCCCCGCTTGCCATGGCTTCTGGCCCTGCTTTCTCCTTTCGCCCCCATCTCAATCATGGATGGATATGCCTCTCTCACTTATCTTGACTCGACTCTCCACTCCACCAATCATAACCGTAGTCTTCTCTATCTTTCCAACGTCCGCCTTATCAAATATGTATCAAGCTGGAAGCAAACTCGGAAATTAGTCCTTTCCCACGTCTTGTGGAGTGTCAGTGCTGTATTCCATCCGCTGTCACGGATTAGACAACGACTTTCCTGTGGTAGACCAATCTAGCATTGTAGACTGCGCGACCCGTCATTCCTCGAACAAGGCCCCGATTATATCTGAACAGCGCCATCCGCCCAGCATGACGCTGCGACTTAGCCAACCCGCAATCCTCCTCCGCTCCCCGCTCCTCCCGCTGCTCCTCTCGTCCCTCCTCGCGTCGCTCACGACTCTCTCGGCCCGCGCGGGAAGCGTGAGCGACGACGAGGCGGCGCTCATCGCGTTCAAGCAGGCCATCCACGTGGACCATCTCAACGTCCTCGAATCCTGGACGTCCGATCGCCCAATCTGCTCCTGGGAGGGCGTCACCTGCCGAAGCGCGGCCCCGCAGCGCGTCATCGGCCTGACCATCTCGCAGGGCTTCCTCGAAGGTTCGCTAACGCCGGAGATCTCGAAGCTGGATCAACTGAGGAGGCTACACTTAGACGGCGGCATGCTTATGGGGAATATTCCGCCGCAGGTGGCGCAGCTCCGCTGGTTGACGAGCGTCGACTTGAGCAGTAACCACCTGACTGGCGAAATCCCTCCCAACTTCTCTCTCCTTAGCAACCTGCACAATCTCGCCCTCCGTTCCAACAATATCTCAGGGTCAATTCCCCCAGAAATTTTCCGCCTCCCGAAACTCGAGACGCTCGCCCTTGACATCAACAACCTGACGGGTGGGCTGCCCGACGGTCCAGGCAGCTACAGCCCGAGCCTCGTCTCCCTCAGCGTCGGCGTCAACTACCTCTCCGGACCTATTCCCAAGGCTCTCGGCGACTTGCCGAACCTGGTTCAGCTCGACCTGCACCAGAACTCGTTTTCCGGACCTATTCCGCCTGAGCTCGGCGCGCTTGGGAAACTGGAGTACCTCGATATTAGCAGTAACCAGCTGACTGGTGGTATACCACATGCCCTGGCAGGGCTTTCGTCGCTTCAGGCAGGAATTTTCTCGAACAACCTGCTGAGCGGCGTGGTTTCGCAGCCGTTTTTGGCGGGAGTTGCCTCCACTATAGACGTCCTCGATGTAGGCAGAAACACGTTTACGGGATCGATTTCGCGGTTTGCAACGCTGACGAATGCGGTGTACATCGAGCTGAGTAGCAACAAATTCGTGGGGGGGATCACGAAGGCGTTCGGCGCAATGCCGAACCTGCAGCAGCTGGGTCTGTCCGATAACGAGCTGACAGGTGGCATTCCCGCGTCAATCACTGAGTCGAGTAGCCTCGTTGTGTTCTCCGCAGATCGCAACAAGCTGATAGGTGAGAGGGCGAGGGGGACGCTCAGAGAATGGAATTTTGGTGGCAATGTCGGGGGGGATTCAAAAGGAGGGGATGGGGAGAATTGACGGCGGCGTACTCGCGCTGGGACGTACTGTGAGCCCTGGAGTGAAAAGCCCAAGTAGAAGTGAGGGGAGAGAAGCGCGGGACCAGGTTTTAGAAAGGGAAAGTAGATGTTTGAGTGAGGACGGCGGAGCTTAGCGGATATTATTTTAGGTGCTGCATGAGTTGGCCCATTTGGTGTATGATTCCGATGCCTCCAGCTCTCTGTTTCTCCTGGAAAAAGCCGATTCCTTCTCCCATCGCTACCGTTCTTTCCCCACTTCCCATCACAGGAAGCATCCCCCCCTTCCGCTGCACCAACACAGGATTCATGGCTCTCACCGTGTCTGGAAATTCCTTCCATGGAGGCATCCCCCGCAGCCTCGCCAGCTGTAACAGCAGCCTCTACGTTCTCGACGTCAGCCACAACAACCTCTCTGGCCCAATCCCTCTCTTTCTCGCGGAATTGGTCGAGTTACGGAACCTCTCGCTTGGTTATAACAACTTCTCCGGGGGTATACCTTACAAGTTGGGGTTTCTTGACAACTTGGTGTCCCTGGACCTGTCATGGAACCACCTAGAAGGCCCCCTGAATGCGCTGCTTCCGCTGAAGCCTCTGGATGACCTGCAGCTTGCAGGAAACAATCTGACTGGCCAGATCCCTTATGCGTATAGGCTGTTTCCAAAGGCATCTTTTCAGCCTGGGAATCCTGGGCTCTGTGGGGGTCCTTTGCCAAACAGGTGCCCTCCACGTGTTGTGGACTAATGAATGGCGGGAAGGGAGGGGCATCTTAGTGCGCAATGAGTTTTGTTTCCACATGAAGTATGGGGATTTTTGTGTATGTAATGTATTATGTTTACACACCAGAAAGAGTGGATATAGTAACACAATACGTATGTTTCCGTAGTGTGCCAACTTTGATGCTTGTGCGGTTTTTTGCGATTAACGGTTCATCCTCAAAGTGATGCTCACCACCTCCGTGTCAGGTCATTCGATTGGTCAGAAGAGGTTCAATCATCCAATCACCGCAGCCGCTTTACCCAATCTTTTCACTCACCCCGCCGCAACCCCCGCCAGCGCGGATTGCAGCTCAGCCGTCCAACAGCACTTCGCTCAAGCCGACAATCTAGGTGCTTCATAAAAGAGACATTCGCTAGGCAATCCCTAGGTACCCCCCTGTAGTTTATTGCGCGGGTCTGTAACACAGCTCGTGCGTTGACCTGACAGCTGAGAAGCCGTGTGAACAAAGGGAGCTGATCCGTTTGCACGAGCACCCTGACGAGAACAAAAGACACTTGATTAGTTTCGAACGTGCAGGGTCTCGCTGATCGCACCCCTGGTTTCATAAAGTAGCGAGCATTTAACCGCTTCTCAGGCTAAAACTCTCTGGTCCATTGTCCAATCCATCCGCGATGGCTCTCGCGACGACGTCCTTAGTGACCCGGACTGTCGTTCTTTCAGGTCAGCCGTGCGATCATGTTTCTTTCTGCTCTTACATTGGTGTTCCAACACACCGTAGTCGGTGTTTATTAGTCGGTGCGTATGAATGCACTTGGATTTTCTCCGGACATCGTTCAATGGCGCGTCCATGGAACTGTCAGTTTGTACCATATGTGTGATAGTGCGACAGCTCGTATGGGACAAACTATCGGTTCGTCATCCCATTCGCATATTACATACCTCGCGCGATAGCGGACACGCTATTGTTGGTGTTGCACTGACTATGAGCTGCGACGCGTCACCCAGCGGAGTTTTGCAACACTTACGAAATGCAGATGCGTACTTAGTTCAAAACTTCCAGCTCATTCAAGGCCTCCTCGTGAATGCATCGCAAGACCAGAGGTGGGCTAGATACCTCCAGACCCTCATTGCATCAACCCCTTATCAAGCTTCCCACTCCCTTTTTCATTCCATCCTCCCAACTGCAGAACCTTCCTCCCTGTTTTCAACATCGTCGCGCCTGACTCAGTCAAGCGCTTCAAACGTGTCTCGAAGCACCTGCAGAAAACTCTCCACCATCCATAAACCATCACTGGCCGTTTTCCGTGGATCTGCCTCAGCCGCTCCCCTGACCGCCATCTGCCTTCCCCGCTCTGCGTCTCTTGCTGCTTCCACCACTGCCAAGGCTGCTGCATCGGCCGTTGCCGAGCCTGCGCGGGAGCTTCGGGGTGCCGGGCCAGTTGTAGTGGTAGATAATTATGACAGCTTCACCTACAACCTCTGCCAGGTATTGGTTTCCCGCTGCCAGGTCGCCCTGGTAACGTGGGATTTTCCCTATTGTTTTCCCTACTTCCACCAAGTGGTAGCATCTTCTTCTTCTCACTGGTGGTTGTGGTTATTGCTTGCCTGTGCTGTGCTGTGAGCAGTACCTGGGCGACCTGGGGTGTGAGCACGTGGTGTATCGCAACGATGACATCACCATAGACGATTTGCAAAAGTGAGATCACATGGAGAAACAGACACCAAACGATGCATGCAAAGCAGGCAAACGAGTTCGATTTCGTGCATGCGTTCCAGACCTGAATGTCCTTCAAGCTCAAGGTACCTATTTTGGATCATCTGTTTCATCTGCGTATGTTCACATCCTTTGCTTCTAAGCTTCCCCATTATTCCTTCCCCGCTCCTCTCCTTCATCGCATTTTTCTTTTCCAGAATGGATCCCAGGGGCGTCCTCATCTCTCCAGGCCCTGGTAGGTCACCCATCATAGTCACCCATCATAGTCACCCATCATAGTCACCCATCACAGTCACCCATCATAGTCACCCATCACAGTCACCCATCATAGTCCCTATGGCATTCCTGCTGCTGTTCACTCCAAATCAGAATAGTTGGCTTCATTTTCGTCCTTCTGCTGTTGTGTCATGTTTGACTTAAAGTACAGCCTCAGTCCGGTTTCAGAGAATTTCCCTAAAAGCTTTCAGTAATTGGCTACCCGTTTTTTGGTCAACCTCTCAACACAATCCCTGCATATACTCAGCCACAACACACATATGCACCTCGCATTCTGAACTTATTGAAATCCTTGCACTTCTCTTGACGACTCACAAATCTTTTCTGAACGCAAGCCCCGCTCCGCTTGTCCTCTTCCCTGTGCTGATGCGGATGGCACCATCGCATCCCCCATGGCATGATCATGATGGCATGGTGCTGCGCCAAGAGCTCACTGCTGTGCTGTACTCCCTCCCCTGCTGTTGCATTTACCCCCTCCCCTTCACCCCTGGTAAACCCCCAGGCACGCCAGACGATTCGGGCATATCCCTGGCCCCTGCCATATTCCCCCTCCTCCCCTCCATCTCTCTCCCCCTTTCCCCTCCTCTCCCTCCTGCGTGCCTCAACCCCACCAGGCACGCCAGACGACTCGGGCATTTCCCTTGACGTGGTGCGGCGCCTGGGGCCCACTGTGCCCCTCTTTGGCGTCTGCATGGGGCTGCAGTGCATGGGACAGGCGTATGGGGGTATGTAGAGTCCGCTGCTATGGGCTTGCAGTGCATGGGGCAGGCGTATGGTCGGCTTTGTGGGTTAAAAGCATGGGGCAGGCGGATAGGGCGAAATGCTCAGTCTGTATGGTGCTGCTTGTTGGGTCGGTGGTCTCAGCTCAATCCTAAACCCTAAACCCCGACCCTGTCCAAGCAGCGCGCATCCTTTTCAACCCTCAGTGCTAAACCCGCAACCTCGCTTCTGTGCCACCATCCCGCAGCTTGCAAGCCCCAACTTGGGTTTACCTTCGAATAACGCCTTCAACCTTACTCAAACCAATACCACCGTACACCGTCAACCCCGAATTGTGACCCTGTGGCAGGGCGCATAGTGCGGGCGCCGGGGGGAGTGATGCATGGCAAGACGTCACCTGTGCTGCATTCCATTCCATGGCAGACAGTGACTGCAACCTCAACCCTCAAACCGTGTCAAGCCACCCCCGAACTGTGATCCCATGGCAGGGCGCATAGTGCGGGCGCCGGGGGGCGTGATGCATGGCAAGACGTCACCCGTGCTGCATTCCATGGCTGATAGTGACTCGGGGCTGCTGGCCGGTCTACCCAGGTGGGTGAGCGTGAGTGAGGAGGGGAGACTGGTGATTCCGTGGCAGGGTGCATACAACGGAGCAGGGGGCGTGATGCATGGCAAGACATCACCCGTGCTGCATTCCATGGCTGATAGTGACTCAGGGCTGCTGGCCGGTCTACCCAGGTGGGTGAGTGTGAGGAGGGGAGACTGGTAATTCCGTGGCAGGGTGCATACAACGGAGCAGGGGGTGTGATGCATGGCAAGACGTCACCCGTGCTGCATTCCATGGCAGACAGTGACTTGGGGTTGCTGGCCGGTCTACCCAGGTGGGTGAGTGTGAGGAGGGGGAAGGGCTGCTGGCAGGACTGCGAAGGTGGGCGTGACGGGGAGAGACCAATAGAGGTAGTGCGGTGACTGGCAGAGGTAGTGCGGTGACTGGCAGAGGTAGTGCGGTGACTGGCAGAGGTAGTGCGGTGACTGGCAGAGGTAGTGCGGTGACTGGCAGAGGTAGTGCGGTGACTGGCAGAGGTAGTGCGGTGACTGGCAGAGGTAGTGCGGTGACTGGCAGAGGTAGTGCGGTGACTGGCAGAGGTAGTGCGGTGACTGGAAGAGGTAGTGCGGTGACTGGAAGAGGTATTTTATTGCGCATTCTTCACGTCAACTGCCTAAGTCTAGTCCAGTCCACACTACCCAAAACAACCCGAAAGGGCGAGCTAACCACTGCTGAAGTGGCGCAGAGCATAAACAAAAACCAAACCAAACCACTCTGGACCCAAGAATTGTTTCCCTCCCTTTGCTATCAGCCCCTTCACTGTGTGTCACTACCACAGCCTGGTGATTGATTGGCAAGGACACATACCCTGAGGACGAGCTGGAGGTGACTGCGTATCCCTTTCCCCCTCACCACCCTCTTGATTTGCGCCCCACAATTCCCTCCCTTCCGCCATCAGCCCCTTCACTGCATGTTGGTACCACAGCCTGGTGATCGACAAGGACACGTTACCTGAGAACGAGCTGGAGGTGACTGTCTGTCCTTTTCAACACCTTTTGATCCGATCCCCACCCCACTCCTTTTCCCCGCTGGTCTCCACCATTTCCCATTCTTCTTCCACCAGCCCCTTCACTGCATGTCGGTACCACAGCCTAGTGATTGACAAGGACACATTCCCTGAGGGCGAGCTGGAGGTGACTGCATGGACAGAGGATGGGCTCGTCATGGCTGTGCGGCACAAGAAGTACACCCATGTGGAGGTCAGTGGGGTAGTGATTGGTGGACTAGTGATTGGTCAAAGGGTGGAAGTATGTTGAAGTCAATGCATGGGCTTGTCATGTCTGTGCGGCGCAAGCAGTACACCCATTGCCAGACCCACCTTGTCCCCACATAACTTCCTTTGCTCCCTCCCATCCTTCCCTCTCTCACCTTTTCCTTGTCTCTCCCTTCTCTCCCCCCCTCACGTGTCCCCTTCCTCTCACCCACTCTTCCTCCTCTCCCTCCTCTCCCTCCTCTCCCTCCTCTCCCTCCTCTCCCTCGCCACACACCAGGGAGTGCAGTTCCACCCAGAGAGCATCATTACGAGCAATGGCAAGCAGATAGTGGCCAATTTCCTCAAGACCATGGATCGCTACTGGGCACAGTAGGACATCTATGTATATTTCTTGGGGTGCCTCGAAACTGAGATTTTGAAGACAGTGCAGCATCAGCTTCAGAAATGGTGGACTTGATGCAGTGGGGAAAGCAGAACAAGCACATACCGTACATCTGATGTAAATCCTGCATGCAGCTAACAATAGGATGAGTAACTAAATAGGGAGAAGCTCTTTTTCATGTTTTGCTATTTTCATTTTGATCAGATTTCGTCGCCCCGATATTGTGAGGCTGAACGCGAATCGGCAGGGTGGTTTGTGTGTCAACCGCGCTGTTCTGTGTGCAACCTCTTTCCCCCGTTCTTGCGCAGATGCAGCAACGCCATTGGTTGAGCGCAAGATTTACTCTCCCTCCTCACCCCGCTCCTCCCCCGCCTGTTTCCGCACATGCTTTCGCCAATTTGGATCGTTATTTCCTTCCTGGGCTCGTATCGCGATTCTGGTTCCAGTCATCGAGAATTCTCATGGCTGTTAAAGTACACACGTGATCGAGTTTACACACGGAAGTGACGGACAGGCGACGCTGCTGAGGCGAAAATCAGCGTTCGATGGCTGTCCTGCCGCTCAAGTTCCCCTAATCTGCTGATCATTAGGAACCATTTTCACTCGGGCAGTCGTCTGTCGCTCAGGACCGATGCAGGCGCATGTCGATCAATGGACGAGCGTTGCTTCGTTTCATTCACCGCGATCCATTAACGACATCTTAGCGATCGGTGCAAGCACATCAGTTCCTATTTAGCACTGACCGCCATGGACTGTTTCACGTTCCTCTTCTGCGAGGACGCCGATGAATTCTGAGTCGACTCAACGCACACCAATCACATCAGGTCCCATCTAGCACTGACCGCCATGGGCCTTTTTACGCTCCTCTTCGGCGAGGACGCCGATGGGTTGGGAGCAGCCATTACCCGCTGGACCATCGAGGTTCGTCGCGTCTCCGTCGTTTCTTGAAGTCTGTAGGCGAATTTCCGGATCTTGCCTCGTTATTGTCCCGTTGAGGATTCTCGTTGTTGTCTCGTTATTCGCCTATCCCCTAAAATTATGTCCCCAGATCGGCGTCATGAGCCCTCTTATTATCCTTCGCTGCTCTTTTATCCTCGAGATTGCCGTATCCGCTTCCCTCGCGTGTGGACACCATGCTACAGCCTGTAGCAGCAGCCATCCGATTGCTTGGATTCGCTCTATACTACCTTATGCCTTTTTCCGTCACGCTATGCAGCTTATCTTCAGGGTCACTGTAAAAGGGCTCGGGTCCTGAAGCATATCTGATTCGCACTTGTTTTTCGTCCTAGTGTGTTCACTCTGCTATTACTATCCCTCTATGTGTTCCCAAACTGCCGGTCTCTAGGATTTTGAGAACCGGTATGAGCAGGGCCTACGTGGCAGCAGCGCTGCCAGGGATGACTCTTCGTCCGCGTCCGACGTGGCAGCATCGTCGAATGTGGAGAGCGCCGTTGCGACTTCCCGACTCCCTGAAGGCTCCAGGCAGCAGGCAGCGCCGCAGGGGCCGCCGCTGGTCAGTCAGGTCAGCGCAGCAATTGTTTGGAATTCTCAAGCATCAGTCAGCTCAGGACGTTGGAGTCACATCAAACAAATAGTAATTCCAATACAGCTGGCAACGATGACTTGTTGTGAGTCGCCTCAAAACACAATAGTGATTTCGATATAGCTGGCAACAAGGAGCACCCCTGCTTCTCTCTTCCGCCACCCCCTCACCCTCCTCCCTTCCCTCACGGGGTATGCCTCTGTTTCCTCCAGAATCCATCCGCCTTAAGCGAATCTCGTGCGCGCAAGGCCCTGCCCATGTATCCGACAGTGGAGCTGAGGGAGCTGGCAGAGGCGGTGGGGCAGGACATCTCACCTGCTTCTCTCCCCTCCTCCCCCCCTGCAAGTGCCCGCCTTGTACCTCCCAGACGCATCTGCTATCCCACTCACCCGCCTCTAGAGAATCAGCGGCACGCAAGGCCCTGCCCATGTATCCGACGGTGGAGCTGAGGGAGCTGGCGGAGGCGGTGGGGCGGGACATCTCAGTTGCGGCTTCTTCCTCTCCCCCCATTCATGCCTTGTTTCTCCCAGGCTGCTCTGCAGTCCCACTCAGCGACCTCACGGGAATCTCTCGCGCGCAAGGCCCTGCCCATGTATCCGACGGTGGAGCTGAGGGAGCTGGCAGAGGCGGTGGGGCGGGACATCACACCTTCTCCTCTCCCCTCCAATCCCCCTTGCCTTCCCTACTGTCCACCACATTCCACCGCAGTCTCACTCACCCGACTCACGGGAATCTCTGGCGCGCAAGGCGCTGCCCATGTATCCGACGGTGGAGCTGAGGGAGCTGGCGGAGGCGGTGGGGCGGGACATCATGCGCGGCAATCCCGAGGTGACGTGGAGCAGCGTGAAGGGGCTGGGCGGCGCCAAGCAGCTGCTCAAGGAGGCCGTCGTCATGCCCATCAAGTACCCGCAGTGAGTTGCAATGTGGTGCTGTGCGGTGGTGTGTTGCACGCGTGGGTGGGAGGGCCTGGGCGGCGCGAAGCAGCTGCTCAAGGAGGCCGTTGTGATGCCCATCAAGTACCCTCAGTGAGTTAAGGTGGCTTGTGCTGTGAGTCGATTGGATGGCTGGTGTGAGTTGAGGTGCTGCTGTGCTGGGCCCATCTGTTGTGTTGATCCTTGTAAGCCGATGACTCCACTTTAGGAGGCCGCTGCATGCCCGTCAAATACCCGCAGTGAGTGGCGGTGGATGCAGTGTGCTGTGCTGTGCACCCGTGGTGCTGTGAAACGTCTCTTCAAGTTGCCTCATCGCCTCTGTGAGGCCGGCACAGCCCACCTCAGGAGGTCGTGGTCATACCGACCAACCAATCAAATAAGCGCAGTGAGCTGAGCTGGTTGCTGTGGTGTGTCAATGCATTGACTCCTGTAAGCCGAGCAGGTCTCACACACTCAAGGAAACCTTAGCCTTAGCCTTGGCCTTGGTCTTGGCCTTGGCCTTGGCCACACACACTCAGGCACCCGGAGTGAGTTGAGCTGGGTCTTCTTCTTCCTCTACTTGCCCCTCCCCCTCCCTTCCCCCGTAATTTTTACTGGTCTCCTCACCCCATGGAAGGGCATCCTACTTGCACACCACAGTACCGCACAATATCAAGCCGTACCGCGCACCGCCCTTTCCTCATCAACTCCTCTTTCCCATCCCTGCACCATTAGGTATTTCACGGGTCTGCTCGCCCCATGGAAAGGCATCTTGTTTCTACACAACACCACACTACCACACAGTACCAAAAACAACCGCACTCCACCCTTTCCCCATTGCCTCCCCATGCCCTTCACCATCCCTGCTCCACCAGGTATTTCACGGGTCTGCTCGCCCCGTGGAAAGGCATTCTGCTCTTTGGTCCTCCTGGAACGGGCAAGGTACACCCTACTTGTGTCACACACTCACTGTCAGTCGCCATTGTCACTCACTCACTCCCTCACTCACCCAGTCAGTCATTATGTCGCTCACTCACACAGCTCCCCCACCGCACCCTCCCCTTGACCCTTCAACCCCTCACCTCAACAGACAATGTTACCCTTCAACCCTTCTCCCCTTTACCTCCGCAGCCCACCTGTCTGCTACTGACAGCACCCTGCCCTTGACCCTTCAACCCCTCCCCACACCTCAACAGACGATGCTAGCCAAGGCAGTGGCAACGGAGTGTCGTACCACCTTCTTCAACGTCTCTGCTTCCACCCTTGTCAGCAAGTGGCGCGGTGAGTGGGTCATGAGCGGTGAGATGCGGTGAGGCGTGGTGAGGCGTGGTGAGTGAGTGAGCTTGCAGTATTCTTGTCGCACCGCCTTCTGCAACGTCTCTGCTTCCACGCTTGTCAGCAAGTGGCGTGGTGAGTAAGCCGGCAGGCGTGGTGGGTGAGCCGGCAGGCGTGGTGGGTGAGCCCATTGATTGCACATCCTGTGAACTTGGTAGCTTCTGTTCTCAATCAGACAGAAGGAGATCTGCCGAGCGAGCTTTGAGGCGCGGTGAGCCCACGTTTGACAAGAGGGCTCCCTGTATGCCCCCCTCAACCTCATCACACCCCCCTGCACCCCCCTCCCCTTCCCCTCTGCACCACACTACCAGGCGACTCTGAGAAGCTCGTGCGCATGCTGTTCGACGTGGCGAGAGCACTGGCCCCCTCATCAGCCACCTGGGTAACCAGCTACCCACCCAGTTCCTGTCGCTCCAACACCCCCCCTCTCCACACACCCCCACACACAGGCGACTCTGAGAAGCTCGTGCGCATGCTGTTCGACGTGGCGAGAGCACTCTTCCCCTCATCAGCCACCTGGGTAACCAGCTACCCACCCAGTTCCTGTCGCTCCAACACCCCCCCTCTCCACACACCCCCACACACAGGCGACTCTGAGAAGCTCGTGCGCATGCTGTTCGACGTGGCGCGAGCACTGGCCCCCTCATCAGCCACCTGGGTAACCAGCTACCCACCCAGTTCCTGTCGCTCCAACACCCCCCCTCTCCACACACCCCCACACACAGGCGACTCTGAGAAGCTCGTGCGCATGCTGTTCGACGTGGCGAGAGCACTGGCCCCCTCATCAGCCACCTGGGTAACCAGCTACCCACCCAGTTCCTGTCGCTCCAACACCCCCCCTCTCCACACACCCCCACACACAGGCGACTCTGAGAAGCTCGTGCGCATGCTGTTCGACGTGGCGCGAGCACTGGCCCCCTCATCAGCCACCTGGGTAACCAGCTACCCACCCAGTTCCTGTCGCTCCAACACCCCCCCTCTCCACACACCCTCACACACAGGCGACTCTGAGAAGCTCGTGCGCATGCTGTTCGACGTGGCGAGAGCACTGGCCCCCTCATCAGCCACCTGGGTAACCAGCTACCCACCCAGTTCCTGTCGCTCCAACACCCCCCCTCTCCACACACCCCCACACACAGGCGACTCTGAGAAGCTCGTGCGCATGCTGTTCGACGTGGCGAGAGCCCTGGCGCCCTCCACCATCTTTTTGGATGAAGTCGACGCTCTCATCAGCCACCGGGGGGCCGGCAGCGGAGAGCACGAGGCCAGCAGGCGCCTCAAAACGGAGCTGCTCGTACAGGTATGGGGGGAAGGGTACGGTTAGTACGGGGCAGGAGGGTATAAGGGCAGGAGGGCCCCCTCCACCATCTTTTTGGACGAAGTCGATGCTCTCATCAGCCACCGGGGGGCCGGCAGCGGCGAGCATGAGGCCTCAAGACGACTCAAGACAGAGCTGCTCGTGCAGGTGTGGTGAGGGCGGGGGGGTGCGTAGGGGTGTGGGGGATGGGGAGGGAAACATGGGGTATCATTCTGAGGGTATGATTCTGAGGTTATGAGGGTATGAGGGTATGAGGGTATGAGGGTATGAGCCCCCCTCCACCATCTTCCTGGACGAGGTGGATGCCCTCATCAGCCACCGGGGGGGTGGCACCAGCGAGCACGAGGCCAGCAGGCGCCTCAAGACAGAGCTACTCGTGCAGGTGTGGGGGGAGGGTACGGTTAGTATGGTTTCTAGCGAGGTATGCGGGGCATAAGGGCAGGAGGCCAGGAGGCCAGGAGTGCCCCCTCCACCATCTTCCTGGACGATGGTTGATGGACGATGGCTCATCAGCCACGGGGAAGGGTGGCACTGGCGAGCACGAGGCCAGAAGGCGCCTCAAGACGAAGCTACTCGTGCAGGTGTGGGGGGGGGGGGCAGCTGGATGGGAAGAGTGGTTTGGGCGTTAGTATGTTTTGTCGTAACTCCTTTTGACTCCCTCCGTTGCACCATCTCGAGTGCATGGCCTGCCTTGTCTTTGTTCTCGCTACTGTGTGTTCAACCTGCCAGCACCACTCTGAATCGTGTTGTGTGTGCAGATGGACGGGCGGAGCAGCTCATCAGACCTGGAGTTTGTGCTGGCCGCCACCAACCTGCCATCACTGCTCTCACCTGTCAGCACCACTGTCAACCGTGCTGTCCCGTGCCATTACCTGAGTGCAGATGGACGGGTTGAGCAGCTCATCAGACCTGGTGTTTGTGCTGGCCGCCACCAACCTGCCCTGGGAGCTCGACAGCGCCATGCTGCGCCGCCTCGAGAAGCGGGTGAGTCCATTGGCGTGGGGTATTGTGGCGTGCACATAACAGCACACGGCATGGCACTCCTTGGTGTGTGGCGTTCCGTCACATTGCCGCCACCAACCTGCCGTGGGAGCTCGACAGTGCCATGCTGCGCCGCCTGGAGAAAAGGGTGAGTCCATTGATTCCTCATGCAGTCACGTCACCGGCGCATGGCATGCCCAAACTGCTCCGCCGCCTGGAAATGGAGCATAGCATGCCCAAACTGCTCCGCCGCCTGGAAATGGAGCATAGCATGCCCAAACTGCTCCGCCGCCTGGAAATGGAGCATAGCATGCCCAAACTGCTCCGCCGCCTGGAAATGGAGCATAGCATGCCCAAACTGCTCCGCCGCCTGGAAATGGAGCATAGCATGCCCAAACTGCTCCGCCGCCTGGAAATGGAGCATAGCATGCCCAAACTGCTCCGCCGCCTGGAAATGGAGCATAGCATGCCCAAACTGCTCCGCCGCCTGGAAATGGAGCATAGCATGCCCAAACTGCTCCGCCGCCTGGAAATGGAGCATGGCATGCCCAAACTGCTCCGCCGCCTGGAAATGGAGCATAGCATGCCCAAACTGCTCCGCCGCCTGGAAATGGAGCATAGCATGCCCAAACTGCTCCGCCGCCTGGAAATGGAGCATAGCATGCCCAAACTGCTCCGCCGCCTGGAAATGGAGCATGGCATGCCCAAACTGCTCCGCCGCCTGGAAATGGAGCATAGCATGCCCAAACTGCTCCGCCGCCTGGAAATGGAGCATAGCATGCCCAAACTGCTCCATTTACTCTGCCCCTCCCTACTTCCTGCTCTTTCTCTCCCCCCTGCTACCACCCCTCCAGGTTCTGCTGCCTCTTCCAGTCTCCGACGCCCGCAGAGCCATTCTCTCTTCACCGTTGCCCCTTTTTCTCCACGCTTCCCCTTGTCCTTCCCCCCCCCCCTTCCCCCCCCCCCTTCTCTCTCGAATGGTCCATGCATTACTTAAGGGGTGGTACAACGGAAGAAGCAATCACACAAGCTAAACAAACAATCAAACCAGAAACCTAACAGCCTCCTGACCACTACCTACGCCGGCCCCCCTTCTGTCCGACCCTACTGGTCGGACGGGGCCTCAATCAGCTGGTGCAGCTGTCCCTCACTAAGAGGGATGATGGGACCCCTGAAGCCAAGCTCGTCCGCCGCCAAGGCCTCGTTGGTCTTGGTGCGGAGAGCGTTGGCCTGCGCCCGCTGGAGGCACACGCTCCAGCGCTGGCGGTACTCCGTCAGCAGCTTCGCTGCCTCGTACGAGGTAGGTGCTGCGTTATACCGCAGCTTCGCCGCCAGCTCCGCGCACTGCCGAAGGTAAGCCATCACCCCAGGCGAGGGGTAGCCGTAAGTCTCCACCGCGAGCGCGTGGAACCCCACCCACGCATTCCTGCGGGCGTACTTCTCCTCCTTTCTCGCTGCTGCTGCCCTAGCCGCCCAACCAGGAGCTCGGTTGCAGTTCTCGTCCTGGTAAGACACCGGGTCCGTTACGGTCACGTCGCACATCCAAACCTCTCCGGTCAGGGGATGGCGGATGGTGACATCCGCCTTTATGTTTTCAACCTGAGAGTAGACATACGTCTCCTTGTGAACCGTAAAGCCCGCTTCCGCCCCTATGCATGCTATCTCATCCCGCAGGGCGTGGTGGGTAGCAGTCCTCCCCCTCTCCTTCTCGCAGCGCATGAGGTGGTTGGGGAGGCGATCATCGGGGAAGGTGGTGCGGTAGCGGCAGTCGCAGCGTCTAGGCACGGGGAGGGGGAGGCCTAGGCGGAAGGCAGCTGCTGTTGAGAGCTGGGACGGGCCCATCCGGAGCGAGGGAATGACGGGGATCGCCAGCAGCCAGTCCCCCTTCTCTCTCTCTCTCTCTCTCTCTCTCTCTCTCTCTCTCTCTCTCTCTCTCTCTCTCTCTCTCTCTCTCTCTCTCTCTCGAATGGTCCTTCGTATTAATCAGCAAGGCAGAACACACAGAGGTACTAAGCGTAAGCTAATCTAAACAAACAAACAAGACTCAACAAGCAACAAACAGGTAAGTACTACAACTTCTCCATCGCCTGCCCCTTCCGGTAGGGTCTTCCAGCAGTTGGTACAGCTGCTCCTCCCCTAGGCAGCCAAACGGTCCCTGCAGGCCGAGCTCGTCCGCGGCGAAGGCCTCGTGGGTCTTGTCGCGGAGGGCATTGGCCTGGGCGCGCTGGAGTGTGACGCTCCAGCGCTGCCGGTATTCCGTGAGCAGCCTGGCCACCTCCCTCGATTTTGGCGCTGCGTTGAACCGCCGCTTGCCCGCGAGCTCGGCACAGCTGCGGAGGAAGTCGTGTACTCCCGGGGAGGGGTAGCCGTATGTCTCGACCGCCATGGCGTGGAAGCCTACCCACGCGTTCCGTCGAGCGTACTTGTCCTCCTTCTTCGCGGCTTGCATCCTAGCCCCCCACCCCGGTGCCTTACGTGCGTATTCGTCCTGGTGAGAGACAGGGTCCGTCACGGTGATGTCGCACATGTGGACCTCGCCGGTGTCGGGATGGCGGATGCAAACATCCGCTTTCAGGTTTTCGACCGGTGAGTAAATTGTGGATTCCTTGTGCACCGTGTAGCCCGCCTCCGCCGCAATCCTTGCGCACTCATCACGAAGAGCATGGTGAGTGGCAATTCTCCCGCCGCCTTTCTCGCAACGCATTAGGTGGTTGGGGAGGCGGTGGTCCGGGAAGGTTGTGCGGTGACGGCAGTCGCAACGACGAGGGACAGGTAGGGGGAGGCCTAGCCGGAAGGAATAATGCACGTGCCTTCTCGGCCGCCAGGAATAATGCCGCTTTGGCGACAAGCCGTAGCAGGCACTCGCCCACCGCAATCGGCCGTGTACCCCCATGTGGCTTGGCGAATGCGAGCAGCCGTGATGCTGTGAGAAGTTCTGCCGCTTCAGAGCTAAGTTTACCGGCCAGCGCAGTGTTCGTAAGTGCGTGCAACTGTAGGAAAATGTCTGTGTTTCCTAAGGCAGCGTCCCTCAGGTGTTCAAAGGTGGTGCCTGAGGGGCCAGCGCCCACTCCATTCGGGCACTTGGCGAGGATGCGCCTGAAGTCGCGTGGATGGATTGTAGGGGTTGAGTCAGTGGTGAACTCCGGTACCCAGTCAGGGACGGCTTGGCGCGCATGAGGGTGTCTAGCTGAGAGGGCTTGGAGCACGTCCGTGGATGGGGGGGAGACTGGCGTGGCTGTTAGGGATTGGAGCGATTTCGCCAGGTTTCCTCGTTTGGCCAAACCCTCAGCCCTTGCCAGGATGCCTGTGGTGTCCGGCGCGTGGCGGGGCTGTGGGGGTTGGGATACTGCGTCAGCCGCCTCGTCATACAGGTTCCGCCAGAGGCCCTGGCGGAACTGAATTAACCTGGCGCCAACCTTCGACCAATCTGGGCGTTTGGCTGACGAAGTGCGCAATAGGATGCGCGGGAGGAACATTAACAGCCTCCACCCCGCAGGTGAGTCGCGAAGTGTGCGAGGTGGGTGACGGGCGAGTGGAGGTTGCCTGCTGTCGCGAAGGGGGTTGAGGTCCCATGTTGCGACGTCGGCGAAAAGGTCCTGGCGTTTTGCCAGGTCGCCAGCACTGAACATTGGCTGGCGGGTGGGTAAGTCTGCGCCCTGCTGATTGGTTCGGGAAGGGGTGCCATCTGCAATTTGTGCGGCTCGGTTCCCCCCCCCGACTCGAATCTGTCTCCCAATTCGAACTGCAGATGCGCCTCGGCTATGTGTTGGGTTTTGAGCCAACTCCTCGTGCTGCTCTGCCTCTTCCACCTGAGGAGAGGGACTAGAACTCCCCTCTCTTTCAGGGTTAAAAAGTGGGTCACCCACAGAATTTTCATCACTCGATTCTTCTCCATCTCCAGCTCTCTCCCGCAGGATCCGGTGAGCGGCCCTCGCGAAGCTACTAGCCCCGCGTCGTTGAACTGAGACGCCTCCTCTGCGTCCGCCTCGTCTCCCACCTCTAGCCACGCGGATACCTCGCGGCGTCGTGCCTGCCTCTGCGTCGCGGCGTGCTGGCTGAGGCGCGGAGGTAGAACCACGGCCTCGTCTTTGGCGGCCTGCTGGCGTCCGTGGCTCCGTGCTGCGCGCAGGAGAGTACTGCAGAGAGCGCACGGCTCGATCCGCCCCGTGCGCAGGGGCCTGCTGCTCCTCGTCCTCTTGCTGCAGCGCGCCCCTCCGCGTCTGAGCCTGTCCCCTGCCTGGAGCGCGGGCTGTCTCTTCCTCTGCGACATGTTCGGCAGCCTCATACGCCGGAGTACTCGTGGGTCCCCGCTCAGATTGCCTCAAACCGGTCTGCTGCTCAGCCGCGTCAGGAGCGCGGGCGTTCGCCGCCCCGGCAGCAGCCGCGGCAGCAATCTCCTCGCCGCCGGTCCCCAGAGCGTTGCGAAGATCAGCGGGACGGCGTTGACGATCAGCTGTCCCCTGCCGGCCATCGCTCTCCTCGCCGCCCATCTCCTCGTGGTCGGGCAGGCCAGCGCTCACCCCGAGCGCGATCCCCCGAGCCACGTTCTCCGCGGGGACCTCCGGCGACGCGGGGGAGGGGGTCGCCTGGGCGTCGCTGGGAATCGGGTCGCCGCGAGCAGACCCCCCCGCGTCCGCGCTCGGCAGGTTCCGCGGGCCGGCGGGGCCGGCGCAATGGCGGAGGGCGTGGCGGTAGTGGTCGCCAGCAGGATCCTGCCCTCGATCGCGCCGCGAACACGTTTGTGGAGGTGGTGCGGCAGGCCCAGGCAAGCGGGGGGCCGACTCACGTCCACATTGAGGTGACCAACGGTCCCCCCATCGCAGCGGACCCTGGCCAGGTTGCTCCCCTGCGTGCGCCGACCCTGCGTGATTATCTGCCAGCGCGTGAGCAGAGGGCTCAGTTCCGCACCCCTCGTCAGCTCCCTGGCTTCTCCGCGCCGCGATTATCCGTTGGCCGGACTCCTGGCTGGCCGACGGTGTTTCCGCGCGAAGCACAGACTGCACTTCCCCCCATTTGCGCGTGCACAGATCCCATGCTGACCCTATGCCGGATTCTGAATCTGGCGGAGGCGTGTGAGGTGTTGGCGAACTTGCAGCTGGCGGTGTGTGCGGCCACGCGGAATTTTCCGAGCAGTTTCGGTCCAGGAACCCGAGGATCCTGCGTGACTTTGGCAGAATCGCTCGAGTCGCCGTTGGCACCCGTGTCGGATGCGCCCGCCGGGGTAGCTCCCTTAGCCCGTACTTTCCCCCGCCACGTGGGGGATCTTGTGGGGGCTGCTCAAGGCGGGACTCCCTTGGACACGCTCCAGTCAACGGTGCATCTCCTTCTTGCGGTATCGGCGTGCATGCGCTCGATGCTTGAAGTGGCGGGGGCCGAGCCGTACACGATGTAGGCTTTCGCCTAGCGTAGAACTGCATGCCGTCTTCCCTTGTGTTGAGCGCTGTGTGTTGTTTGTTTCTTTTCCAGAGTTGTTGCTTGCCACCCGAGAGCACGCGGCCGAAGGCCACGCACGCGAGCGCTGGCGGCCGCAGGCCGCCGGCGCGAGCGCCCAAGAAAAACTGGCACCAAACGAACTAATGGCAGAGAAATGACCCCAAGGGCCCTATATATAGCTAGAGGGCAGAGGCAGAGGCTAGAGGCAGAGGCTAAGTCCTCTCTCTCTCTCTAGCTCTCTCCACGCCCAAGAAAAACTGGCACCAAACGAACTAATGGCAGAGAAATGACCCCAAGGGCCCTATATATAGCTAGAGGGCAGAGGCAGAGGCTAGAGGCAGAGGCTAAGTCCTCTCTCTCTCTCTCTCTCTCTCTCTCTCCACGCCCAAGAAAAACTGGCACCAAACGAACTAATGGCAGAGAAATGACCCCAAGGGCCCTATATATAGCTAGAGGGCAGAGGCTAAGTCCTCTCTCTCTCTCTCTCGCTCTCTCCACGCCCAAGAAAAACTGGCACCAAACGAACTAATGGCAGAGAAATGACCCCAAGGGCCCTATATATAGCTAGAGGGCAGAGGCAGAGGCTAGAGGCAGAGGCTAAGTCCTCTCTCTCTCTCTCTCTCGCTCTCTCCACGCCCAAGAAAAACTGGCACCAAACGAACTAATGGCAGAGAAATGACCCCAAGGGCCCTATATATAGCTAGAGGGCAGAGGAAGAGGCTAGAGGCAGAGGCTAAGTCCTCTCTCTCTCTCTCTCTCTCTCTCTCTCTCTCTCTCTCTCTCTCTCTCTCTCTCTCTCTCTCTCTCTCTCTCTCTCTCTCTCTCTCTCTCTCTCTCTCTCTCTCTCTCTCTCTCTCTCTCTCTCTCCTCTCTCTCAGATCCTGGTGCCTCTTCCGGACTCAGATGCCCGCAGAGCCATTCTCTCTGCGCTGCTGCCACGACCTCGCAGGGTTGCACGGACAAGCACTGCACTGCACACACACGCGCATGCAAACACAGACACACAGGCGCACGGTACTGGGAATGAGAGTGGTGCACGGGGGAGTGGTGGTGGTGCAAGGGGGAAGGAAGGTGGTGCAGAGGCGTGTGTGGATGGTGCAGCGGGGAAAGAGGGTGGGGGGGCTTTTGAGTCGACTTGTAAGTCAGCTCAGGCTAAGTGGAGAGGGTCCAATGTGGTGGTGGCAGTGCAAGCTAATGGCTGCGCTGAGATGGCCAATGGCTGTGCAGATAGCAGGTGGTGCGTGGTTGCGCAGAGCAAGGAGATTGAGGAGGAGGGAAGAGGGGAGGGCGATGGGGGGCGTGGCGGAGAGCAGAGAAGAGGCGAGCAGGGAAGAGACGAGCAGAGAAGAGACGAGCAGGGCGTAAGGGAGCATGCGACGCAGAGGGAGGAGGAGCAGAGGAAGGGAGAGGAGAGGCAGGAGGAAGAGAGGAGACGGGAGGAGGAGTGGGAGGAGGAGTGGGAGAAGGAGTGGGAGGAGGAGATCGATCTAGAGGGCGTGGTGGTGGCAACGGAGGGGTATTCAGGTGCTGACATGCGGCTGCTGTGCAAAGAGGCTGCCATGCGCCCCCTGCGCCGCCTCATGGCTCTCATTGATAGCGGTGCGAGGGGGGATATGGGGGAGACGGTGGAGGGAGGGGCAATCGGGGAAAAGGGGAAGAGGCGGGAAATGGGGAAGGAGGAGAGTAAGGGAGGAGTGGGGGAGAAAGGGGAGGAAGTCGATGGGGTAAAGAGAAGTGGGAAGGAGGCGGAGGGGAGGGAGGGGAACGGGGCTGAGCTTGTGCAAGCGCATGTGCATGTGCATGAGAATGAGCATGAGCGTGAGCATGTGCTTGGGCCGATCACGCATGAGGATATGCAGATGGCGCTGCAAGTGACCAAGGCGCTGGGCAGGGTGCATGCTGACAGATACCTTGCTTTTGACAGAGAGTTCGGCAGCAGATGCACATGATGTGCCAGGTTACCTTGTGTTACATTTGACCATTAGAGGTAACCTTTGAGTTGTATGCATGGCCAAGTCAAGGGGCTCCCCCTTGAGCAGGGTGTACGCTGAGAGATACGTTGGCGTTGGCTGGGAGCTTAGAATTTAGAACTGCTTCCCATTGTTGCACGCGACTCATTTGTTAGTTGCTGCATAAGGTGAAGTGGATTCAAGACTGTAGTGGATGCATAATAAGGCTCCAAAGGGAGCCGTTGTATGTTTTTATTTCGTTTATGGTGAGAGTATCAAATTATCGGGACATTCATTCAGCAGAATATGGCGTTTGATTTGACCTGTATTTCCACTGCCATCGCTGAAACCGGATACATTGGTGGTGTTCTCTAGGCACTGGCGAGGGGGGAGCGAGGGGAAATAGGAATCTTCCCCTGTCTGCGTTTTTTGGTCGAGATGTCGGTCAGCCCGTAAAATCGTGCCGAGCCTCCCATTTGCCCTCCGAAGGTAAATGTCAATAGAACGCTCATTTACCCTCAGGGATGTGCACCCCTTGGAAGCTGCACATTTACCCTCCCCACCTTCCTCCTCAGGCAATTTTTGCCTCCCTCGCCCCCCATTCCGGCAACCACTCTTCACGGGGAAGTGGGACAGCCATGCGAGGGAGGAGCTGGGGGAGGGAAAACGACGTTCTGCCCGTGAAATTAAAGGCTGCGTGACTGCACGCCCCACACACACGCGCCTGAAGCAGAAAGAAAAACAAGAGGCGACGAAATCGTCTTAGGGTTGCGAAGCATTTTACATAAAGATAAGTACACAAATTTCTACAGGTTTGAATACTTACATAAAATTATGTGGAAGTTGACATTTATGGCAATGATTCAAAAACAACTTCCGCAAGATTCGATCCTGGTACCTTCAGTTCTAATGCTTTTCCTCTTACAACTGCACTAGCGCTACTGCTCAAATCTGCAACGATAATTTATAGGTTAACTGTTAATACGACGAATCTGACTCTTTGTTAGGGTTTGCTCTTCCTTTCTTTCTCCCTCCCTTCTGCTCGCTGGTTTAGCTCCCCGCTACTCACGCCCCACCTACCGGTTCCTACTAAGGTGAGAACAACTCTACCTTACCGTTTCAAGTGGAATTAAGTTACATGATTACTAGTGAGACTAGCATGTCTTAATCTCGTACCATAGTTGTTTACTCTTGTGTTGGCCGCGTTTTTTAAAACCAGTTGATTAAGCCTAGGTTCTAGGTTCTAGGTATTCGTTTTCTCTTTCTCTTTTCTTCTCGCCAGTGGAGCTTGTTCGTTTGCCTCCCGCTACTTACGCTCCACCTACCACTCTAAGGTCAGAAAGTTTAAGATGTCATTTAGAGTTGTTAGCCCATGGTAAGATGTAAGCTCTTATTGTCGTCATTTACTTCTTTTTCTTGATTAGCCCTCCCTCTCCTACTTTCTCTCGTTCTGCTGACGGGCTACGGGACTTCCGCTAGGTAAGCTCCTAACTTGCAACTTAAACTCGTTTGATACTTGTTAGGTCGACTATAATTCTAACATAGGACGACTTAGATATAAACTAGGTCGGCTTAGATCTTGTTTTTTACACATGCTTTTTTTTTTTTCCAAATCGTTAAAATCGTAATTTAATGAACTCTTTCTCTCTCTATCTCTCGTTCGTTCTCTCTCGTTCTCTCTCTCTTGTTCTCGTTTTCTCTCTCGTTCTCCCTCTCTCTCTCTCTCACTCTCTCTCTCTCTCTCTCTCTCTCTCTCTCTCTCTCTCTCTCTCTCTCTCTCTCTCTCTCTCTCTCTCTCTCTCTCTCTCTCTCTCTCTCTCTCTGTGCCTGTAGTCCTTTTTTTTCTCAAAGTCGCCATCTATATCCCCTCAACTCTTATTCCCCATTTCCCCCTTTCATTTCCCTATTTCCTACTTTTCAGAAGCTTTGCTGTACCATTCAGGAATTGAAGGTCCTTGTTAAAGGAGGAACGATCACATATGTGGCGATTAGGACTAATTGTGTTGTATTGCTTGGTAGTGATTTTTTGCATCTTCTGTGTTTTTTTTTTCCTTCGTAAGTTCTTTTTGCATTGGCTTGTTCCGAACTTCTATGCGTGCGTGTGTCCGTCTGATTGCGTGCGTATGTGTCCGTATGTGTGGCATTCATCTACCATATCATTATCCATCTATTATTTCATTAACAATGCATGTCTGTGGTTTTTAGAAATGAGAATCAGTTCTATCATTTCCCAAAGGTTCATTGAGTTACACTCGAACGGGTACGCTCACTTGAACTGGATTTGGTAGGTTGATCTCGTTTTTAGACTTCACAGATTGTGTTGTTTCATGTGATAGTTGATTATTCAAAAGCTAAGCTATTGACCTCCCCCCCATGCTAGGCAGGGGATGGCGGTAGCTTAGTTTTTGGGTTGTTAACTATCACGCATTTTATCATGTGCATGTGCATCATTCATGACATATCACATGCATTATATAGCATCATTCTATGCATTATGCATTGTATAGCATCATTTATGCATTACGTATGCATCTCTTATCATTACACAACATCATTTAACAGTAATACATAATGGAAACTGTACAGCAAATCATATAGTTTAATGAACTACAAAAAGGACCGTATTCAAAACTGCTCAACATGCATACAGTATGGGAAGGGTATTACTGTAGTTGACATATTTTATTTCCATGATTCTAAAAAATATAAATATGAAAATAAAATTTGGCAAAATCGATCGTAAAGGGTTGCTTCGCAACCCAAAAAAAAAACACGTCCCCTTCAGTGAGGTGTTTGTTCCTGGCGAGGTGTTTTTTTATCAAGAAGGAGCCACCCTGGATTTTGTTTGTACCCCTTTTGCCTGTTCCCGCCAAATACGATACCCCCGTTTTTGGACCAGGAAAATGTACCCACAGGTTCTTCATTTACCGTGGGAGCCTTCCTCACCTCGCGCACGAAATTTCCCGTCTTCGGTTGTAGCGGGAGGTGGAGAAATCGAGCCCCGAAACACCCTCTGAACCATCATCATTTACATTCGCCCCCCCACCTCCCCCCCCGCAGGAGTCACCAGAACACCACCATTATAGAGTCGCGGTCGTTGTTCCGTATCGACAACCTCTAAAGCGAGTAAGTTATTCGAACCTCCCCGGGAAGGAAGCTGACCAGACTGCTTACGCACCGCATTTCTCGCCGCATTTGCCGTACCCATGGCCTCGCCGACTTGTCCCTCCCCTGCTCGCCACATTCACCGCGCTGCGAGCCAATCCTTCTCGTCGCGCTCGTCCTTCCGCGGCGCTTCATCCACGTCGTTGATCCCAGTTCCGCAAACCGCGGCGCCGCGAATCCAGCGGCTGTCGCTGGCCGTCCGATGCGCATCGGACGGCGAGGATGCAGGCGGCGGGGGCGTGAGCAAGTCGCGGCTGGGAAACATCATCCGGCGAAAGCACGCTACGGTGCAGGTGGGTGAGAGTAGGTGCGGTTGAGACTCTCCCATCCAGCCTCCGCAGCCAGGCCCTCTTCCCTCCCCATCCATCATCCCCCTCTCTCCCTCCCCGTCCTCCCCCTGCCCTGCTTCCCCGCCCTTCCCCTGCCCCTGCCCCGCAGGCGCGGCTGCAGCAGTTGGGGCAGGACGAGGTGAATCGCCGGCTGGAGGGCGCAGTGCGCCTGCACCCGCCCGCGCAGCTCACCGACCTGCTGCTGCGCCGCCAGATGACGACTTCCCTCCCCATCCTTCATCCCCCTCTCCCGTCCCGTTCTCCGTCTCCCGCCCCCCTCTCCCCCCATTCCCATGTGTCCCCTCCCCTTCCCCCTCCTCACCCTCCTCCCTCTACCCCGCAGGCGCGGCTGCAGCAGTTGGGGCAGGACGAGGTGACTCGCCCGCGCAGCTCACCGACCTGCTGCTGCGCCGCGCTGAGGGCGGACGATTCTATCCCCTCCCCATCCTTCAGCCTCCGCTTCCCTCCCCTTCCTCCACTCCACCTCCCCTCTCCGCACCCATCTTTTGTCTGCCGCCCTCTCCTCCTCCCACGTGCGCCCTCCTCTTCTCCCCCATCTCTCCTCCCCCTACCCCACAGGCGCGGCTGCAGCAGATGGGGCAGGACGAGGTGAATCGCCGTCTGGAGGGGGCAGTGCGCCTGCACCCGCCCGCGCAGCTCACAGACCTGCTGCTGCGCCGAGCGGAGGGCGCGGGGGGCGCGGAGGGCGAGTGGGGCGCGGAGGGGCCGGGGGGAGCGGGGGGGCGCGCGGCGCTGGTGGTGGAGGTGGCGCGCGCACGGCCGTCAGAGTCCCCTGAGAGCCTTGCCAGGCGCTGCCTGCGATACGTTGCCCTCGGTGTGTGCGGGTATGGGGGGAGGGTAGAGGGGAACGGGGGAGTGCGTGGTGGGAGGGAGGGGGATGGCTGGGCGTATGCGTGGAGCCAGCTGGCGTTGCGCAGCGCCATGCTTGTTGGTGGCACAAGCGAGCGAGCGAGCGAGCGAGCGACTGCTTATTGGAATCGAAATCCGAATCGTTCTCTCTCTCTTATTGAATTTGAGTCTCCTTTCCTCATTTCAATGCCGACATGCGTGTAGCACTCACCCAACCCAGCCACCCCGCCAGCCTCGCATCGTACTCTCTCCGCTCTCTCGTCTCCCCTTCCCGCTGCCCCATCGCCCCTCCAGGAGCGGACACAGTGATGGTGTGCTGTGACGAGGAGGTCTCGCCTGATGGCCTTGCTGACGTCAGAGCTGTATCCAGAGGTGTGCTGTTTCAGGGCCCTGACGATAGATTTTAAAACCCATTCCATGGCCTTTTTTTCTTTTTTGGGTGGGGGGTTGGGGGGGGGGGAAGGGAGGAGGGGGGACCAGGGGTTCAATTTCCACGTTTTTTTTTTCCCTCTTCTTCTCTTGTGTGTAACATTTCAGCGTGACGCTGTTTCTCCGTGCATTTCATTTCTCCATTCTTTTCATTCTCCCATGCGTGTCAATTCTCCATCCTTCTTCAATTTAGCTACCTAGGTGAATTTCACCCCGTCTACCATGTTCGCACTCCCTATGTCTGTCTACTCGCCTCCACTCCATCCCTCCTCCATCCTCACCAGCCCTCCCGGGAGTGCCGGTCATTGTAAAAGACTGGATGCTACATCCCATTCAGGTAGTCCCGCTACAGCTATATAACTGACTGCTAGTCATCCACTCCACAGTGCTACCCACTTTCATTGTGTTGGGGAACACAATGTGAACGCTCTGACTCCGTGTATTTGTTTGATGGTGGGGATGTGCGTCTGAGGATGTGTGTGTGTGGATGTGTGTGTGTGGATGTGTGTGTGGGGATGTGTGTGTGGAGATGTGTGTGTGGGGATGTTGCATGGATGAGGGGACGAGCTGTGATAGTTTGAGGGAGTGTGAGTGTGAGGGGGTCTGCATGTGTGCGTGAGAAAGGAAATATGGGGGTGTCTGTGTGTGCGTGAGTGAGTGAGTGAGTGCAGGTGGCAGAAGCAGCGGAAGCAGGGGCGGCAGCCTTTCATATAGTGCACGGGGTTCTCAATAAAGGTGACCTTTCCACACCCTCCTCCGCACCTCCCCACAGCCCAACAGAAGATCCTCTAAGATCCGAGAATTCTCTAAGATCTTTGAAGATCCTCTAAGATCCGAGAATTCTCTAAGATCTTTGAAGATCCTCTAAGATCCTCCAAGATCCTCTAAGATCCTCCAAGATCCTCTAAGATCCTTTAAGATCCTCTAAGATACTTTGAGATAATCCGTGGCAATGCTGCACTACGCAACTAGATGGCCGTCTTTGGCTTGCATGCTTTGCACTCTGCTGGCCTCAATCCTGGCTGCTGCTTTGGCCTCAATCCGACATGCAAAAGCATGCTGCTCAAACCACCCAGCCGATGCAGTCACAACCCGAGATGATCCCCCTGGCTCTGATGCTTTGCCACCCCAATGGAACCAGCTGCTGCTATCTGATCGCCTTGTGTGTTTGTACGTTCGTTTTTGCGTGTTTGCGTGTCTGCATGTGTGTACGAGTGTTTGTGCATGCGTACTTTGTGAATGAATGCATGTGTGTGTGCATGTGTGTTTGTGGTTTCACACACATGTATGCAATGTACGCGTGTGCACATGTGTGCATGTATGTGTGTGCAGCCACTGCACCAATGCTCGCCTTTGCCTTTGGACTGGGAGTTGACGTGGCAGTAGAGGTGAGTCAACGCAAGTCAATCAGGTGAGTCAACGCAAGTCCACCAGGTGAGTCAACGCACACAACCTTACAGAGTTAGAGCCGTGAATGAACCATCGTCGATGCACAACAACACCATTAACGTCATCAGCATCATCAGCATCATCCTGTGCTGGATAGATAGAACCAGCCATCACCCCAACCGTCACCCCCATGGTTTCCCTTCCACCCCTCATACACTTCCAATCCATCCCCATCACCATCAACATCATCAGGTGGTGAATCTGGAGGAGCTGAAGCGACTAGAGCCGCTCGCCATTCCCCTCTATGGCCTCAACCTCTCCGTTGGGCTGGCTGTGAGTTGATAGACGGCTGGCAGTGAGTTGATAGACGGCTGGCAGTGAGTTGACAGACGGCTGGCAGTGAGTTGATGGACGGCTGGCAGTTGCCCATCCCCTCTCTCCCATGTCTGTCCCCTGCTCCCCCTACAGGTGTCGGCACCAGGGTTCAGGCAGAGCGTTGCCAAGTCGCTGCTCTCCTCCATGCCCTTTGGTGCTGCTGCTCTCGTGGTGAGTCGGTTACCACGTGCACAATTTCACCTTTTTTGTTTGGTGCCAGGAAAGTGCCTATTGAGCAGTACATTGCACATCAATGCTTCTGTAACAGGCTGCATTGTAGCATGCTGCATTTACAAGATCAAGAGTCCATTCAAGGGGTAAACTGATCATTCTCAAGAAATTTTCTTCATTTTCTTGGCTCCATGCATTCGTATTCATCTACAATCTTCCGCGGATGCACTAAAATCGAAATGTGCCTGCTGCTGTGCCGGTTACCTGGTTACCACAGGGCGCCTCATCAGTGGAGGACGTGCGGATGATGAAGGCAGCAGGTGCGACGGCAATCGTGCTCAAAAGGGAGGTGTTTAAAGGGATGGAGGGCAGTACCACGGGGGTGGGAGAGAGGGAGGAGGAGAAGGCGTTGCAAGACCTGTTTGAGACACTCAACTACATCTTGACTGGCGATGACTGATGTTGATAGGGGTTGACTGGCGTTGACTGGCGATGACTGATGTTGATAGGGGTTGACTGGCGTTGACTGGCGCTGACGGTATTGACTGGCATTGACAGATGTTGACCGGCTTCCAATGCGTCAGCGGATGTTTTACTGGAGTAGGTTATATGTATTTCACGTGCAGTGGAAGAGGTGAGGGTGCTCTTGGGAGGGTAGTGAAGGGTTTCTGAATGCAACATCTCTGTTGATTTCCCTGATGTGCTGTTTCCTCAGCTCCGCGTTTGAAAATGCCTTGGCGATTTGCCGGTTGAGACAGCCTCCCTTGTCGTCCTGCTGCTGCCATTGCTCCTGCTGTTGCTGCTGCTTGAATTGTTGCTGCTTCTGTTGCTGAACCTGAATGGGCTGTAAGCCACAGGAATCCACGGCTGCGTCTTCATATTCACAGCATACCAGCACCTCAGATGTGATCAGACAACGTGCTGATGCCATGCCAATCAAGCATGGCCTTCTCATGCAAACAGAAAGCTTCCACTCTCAGTCAATGTGGGCATGGGTTCGAGCACGGATTGGGTTCCACGTGTAATATTCTCCGATCACCGCCTTTGACGGAGATATTTTTTACTCGGTCATACACGTGGCGATACCTGTGGTTGGCATGTGCTGCTAACCATGTGGATGCCAACGACAGGATATCGGTCTCTAGTGATCTTACTCAGGGGTGTGAACGGCGACTGACCTCGAAATGGCACGAAGATGCCAGATTTCGAAAGCGAGCAAGAAATTCACCTTAAAATATCGTACTGCTGCTGTAACGTGACTTCTTTCTGTTTTAAGAAAGCGCCCTACGAAGCAGGTACCCCTGGAGCGGACATCTATCAACGCCATCACGTGGTACTCCAGCAGGCCTACCAGAAGAAAGTCGGTCTTTATTTGGCTATTACAGTACTGGCATGTCAGAGCATATCCGCATCCCCAAACTTAGTGCATTAAATCAGCATTTGTGTCCTACTATCCACTAGGGTTCTACCTCGTACCACTTCCCGCGTTTTAGTCACAGGCAGGATCGCAGAATCACATCTCCCCATCGCGAATCAGAACCTCTGCCGCGGTATAATTTCTAATAAATCTCAATCTTATTCGAGCAGTAATGGCGATTACACCTAGCCACCGCTATTTTCAACTTCCCACCTTGGCACTGTTCCCGATTTTCATATAAATCCCGCCCAGCTTTCGGGGTTTTCTGTTAGAAACCTCGGTATGGGGGACTACGAATGACGTCAAATGCTGGACGCTGGAGATTTTAATCGGGCGAGTGTAAGACAATTTCCGCTCGTGTGGAGTCTGCTTCCTGTTGCGCATCCCATTGCGCAGCTTTCAGGAGTCAGGAACTAACTCTGCGTAGAGCGTATGACGTCCGACACAACCCTTGGTAAAAAATGTTTGAGGGGTGCATACCCCTTTGCGCACGTGGGGGTTGAAAGTAGACCGAAAGAAAATAGCGGTGGTTAGGTGTACCACCAAGAATGCTCCCGCGATTCCTCCTTCCCTTCCCGCGCCAGCGAGGAGTCGACATCCCTCGACAAAACTGCATAGGATGTCGACAGATCCTGACGGTCGGAACCCTCGATCCGAGGGTTGACATTTACCGACAGTTTGTCGGGGGGTGTTGGTGTTCACGCTCTAAGGTCACAGCATGGAGCAGCATTTTCGAGAACTCACGCAGTCATCCCCAACACACTCAATCTGTTTCCTACTACCATCAGCGCTACACTACTAACTGGTTGGAAAAACAGTTCGCCGCTCAAGAAACCGTCCGAAGCGTGAGTCGATATTCTGCTCGTGCACTGCCGCGTTGGGTCACGTCTGTTGACAGGATTTTTCAGGAACACCCTGTTTCTTTTCGGAAAAGGCCTGTTCTTTGCTGTGTTGCGGAAAGCATGGCGCCGCGCAGCCCGTGGACGAAGCAGCTGCTGCGAGAGCACCACGCGGCGGTCGTTACAGCGCGGAGGCTGGAGGTCTTTAAGCAGAACGCGGAGACTGGAAGAGTCTCATTCGAGAGGACGCAGCAGGCACGTGGGAAGGTGGTGCGGGAAGGCAAGCGAGTGGGGGAGCACAAGGTGGCAGTGGCGGGGAAGCGGAAGCGCGACGGTGCTTCTGCCGATGGCGACTGCCATGGCGGTCCCACCACGTCCAAGGATGCCGCAGAGACAGGACGCTTTAGTGGCAGTGGCAAGTCAAGGCGTCTCACAGCAGCTGGCCGTCCTTCAGAGATCACCGCTTCACCCAGTCAGTCCGCTACGAGCCGGAGTTGCCCCGAGGGACGTGAGGCCCTGCTGGAGCCTCAGCTTCGCTGTCTCAGCAGCCGTGGCACCGCCCGTGCAAGTAGCACCTCTCCCCGGCCCAGCTGGGCGGCATACTTCCACGCCAAGCTCTCTCAAGGGCTGCCCCTGCCCCCGCCACTGCTTCACTCGCAAGATCTGTCCCTCCCTTTGCCTCTGGTGTTCTCAAGGCCGTTTGAGTCGCCTGATTCGGTCAGTTACAGTGGCGAATGTGGAGCGGTGGGTGGGAGGCAGTTGGCAGAGGCGTGTGCTGGAGCACCGTCAGCGTCGGTCTCACCGTATGCGCGCCTGGCTGCTGAGTATGTCGTCCCTGACTTGAACCTGCCGGCTGCTGCTGATGATGCCAGTGATCACGCCAGCAGCGGCGCTGGTGATGGTGATGATCGTGGTGGTGTTGGTGGTGGTGATGCTGGTGGTGCTGACCTAACAGCATTCACTGATTGTGGACGTGTTCAGTCCGCATGTGAAAGCGATGGGCTGGATGGTCGCATCTGCAACTTGTCATCAGCGTATGGGTTGGTCGCATTGCAGGCGCGTTCGTGTGAATCCAGGGGCGCTGACTTGAGCAGCAACAGCAGCAAGTCGACTGGTTCACAGTACATTCAGATGCAGCAGCAGGATCAAAAGGAGCTAAGGAAACACCTTATCAAGGAGATTTTGATTCACAAGACAAGGGCTGCTTCTCTTTTTTTTTCTGTAACAGAATGAATAAAAGTCACTGTAGTGTTGCAAAAACTTTTGAGTCGGACTCTGAAGTCACTGGAGTGTTGAGAAAACTTTTGAGTCGGACTCTAAAGTCACTGGAGTGTCGAGAAAGGGGTCCATTCATACAAACACAACTCTCTTCCAGGTGAAGGGTACGCCTTACACAGAAAATGAACCAGAAATCTGGCAAAACCTGAAAATGACATCCTCACGAAAATAATCTGTTCAATGCCTTGTGAAGCAAGATTTCCTTAATGAGCCGTATCCTATGCTCCACGTCTAAGAAACCCATCAGACTTCTCTCTCTACACAGCCTTAACTGTTGCGTAAGATACTCTTTGTTTCCATCCTGCTGCAGCCATTGCTGCTGCTGCTGCTGTTGCTGCATCAGAATGGACTGTAAGCTATGCGAACCACCAGCATCACCACCAGCGTCGCAAGCAGCAGCAGCGGCACCACTGTCACCAGCATCAGCGCCAGCAGCCGGCACATTCAGGTCAGGGACAACGAACGCAGCAGCAGCACCCCGACTCATGTGCGGCAACGCCGCCGATGCTTCTGGCATGACGGTTGCTCCAACTGATGCTTCCACCCTTATGCTCCGGCCCGCTCCGCGTTCTCCGGCAAGATTCATCGCCTCATTCGACTCAGGTAGCTTTGAGTCGAGCACAGGCAGAGGTGAGCGTGGCAGGGGTAGACCCTCCGGGGGAAGCAGGGACGGGGTTTGGGACACCCCTTGCGAGTGAAGCAGCGGCGGGGGCAGGGGCAGCCCTTGCGAGAGCTTGGCGTGAAAGTAAGCCGCCCAGCTGGGCCGGGGAGAGGAGCTGCTTGCACAGGCGGCGCCGCGGCTGCTGCGGCCGTGAAGCAGACGCTCTGGCAGGGCAGCACGTTCCTTCGGGCACTTAGCAGCTGGCTGACGTGTCAAGAGGTTGCTGCTGCCGCCTTTCTCGGTTCCATCTGCGGCCCTCCCTTCTCTCCCTGTGTAGCAGCTTTTACCGCCCTGCTGAGCAGGGGATTCTGCAAGACTGGAAGCAGTGCGCCTTGATTTGCCTCGAAAAAGTCCCATCATCGTGGCATCATCCGTTCCAACGCCATGAGGAGCAGCATGATGAGCGGCATGAGGAGCATGATGGACAGCCGCTCCTGGATCCCTCTTCCTCTTCCGCTCCTGTGGCTCAGTCTCTCCCTCAGCCAGCTTTCTCGTGCGTGGATCCGGGGTCCAATCAGCGTCGGCGGGTTCTTTTCCAACCCCCCACGCGTGCTTTCGGACGAGTTGCTTCGTCCAAAGGCTGTGCGGGCCCATGCTTGCAACCATGGCAGCCAAGAGCCTGCTTGCGCCGCAGTCCCTGCCGCACACTCCATCACGCTGGCATTTCAACCGTGCTGAGTCATCATGATGCCGCCCAGAGTTTTGATGAATCATTCTGGTGCTGCTCCTGCCAGTGGCATTGACAATGATGTTAGTACGGGGTTGTAGCGATGACATGGAATCTTGAATTTTCCACTTATGCAAAACAGAGGTCCTTGCACCTGAGGTAATCCGAGGTATGGAATGGGATGGATAGGTGCTGGGGCTGACCTGAACTGACGTGAGCTGTCGTGGCCTTGCTACTAGCAAGGCTGAATTCTTGAACGCGAAGTGCTACTACAGGCACAGATGCAGATGTTCAGGCGGAATTCTTGAATGCAGATCCGAGAGGACTTTCAGATAGACTTCGAAGCCTTTGTGGTTTTGGTATGAGGCATTTCAAATGGGAGAGAACTCAGCAGATTTGTACCACTACAATTCACCATAGCATTGCTGCCGATGCGCCTCACAGTACGCTTCGTTAAGTCAGGAAAGGAAGAGAGGAGCTCCGGATTCGCTGGGGATTCCCCCAAGACGGCTGGAACGAGTTGAGGTGGTGCGCGAGTCGCATTCGGTGCGAACCGCATTCGGTGCGAATCGCGAGTATGAAAAAGTTTCCGCATGCTGCTTGATCTTACAAAAACGTTCAACATCGCGATGCGGTAAGCCTTCCGTGAGAGCTACAGTAACGCTGGCAGGCAGGCATCAGGCACCCATCATGCAGGAACAGCACTCGTCGTCACGTCTACACGAGTGGCACCGTGACGTCACGTCACGCCGGAGACGTCACCGTGACCACTCCCCCAAACCCCGGGCCGCCCAGAAAGTGCTGCGAGTGCCCCAAATTAGGTTGCTCCGAGGACCTCGGACTGGCGGCGACCGGTCCATTTAGGACCTGGCTGATTCTTGCTGGCTTGCCACGTGCAGACGCCTCGTCGTTTGTAACGGATCTACTAAGAAAAAGGGCATTTACCCATATAAAGATAAGTTCTAACACAAACAGAGAGTAACAGCTCCTGGAAATCACTAAGTCTGGAGAGTGCTAGGAGATGCAGTAACAAACTGTGGAAGGTGAGTTGAGGAGAAGACAATCCTATTTCCCAATTGATTTGTTGGGAGTAGGAAATGAGGAATGAGCCAAGAGGCTTCAGACCCCTTCCCTAGACCCCCTTGGGGTGCAGCCACCTTCCCCATGGCAAGGAGGGGTGCACTCCCTTGGGTCTTGCCCATGTGGCAACAAACAAGATTTTCAACCAATTACATTTTAGATAGCAAGGATAAGAATTGCATAGCAATCACAAACCTGTATTTGTTTCTCATTGGTTGTGTTTGAAGTGAGCGGCGGAAACATTGTCGACTCACTCTTGGGGCTGTGATCTGATTGGTTGAATTAGTGATGAGGTGAACTTACGTGGGTTATGTTTGAACAAGCTCAAACCAATTGCGTAAGTTTGACTCAGCAACAATTTCGATTGGTTGGTTTCCCAATCAATCCTGAATTGCCCGTAAGTCTCGCTTTCCCAACCAACCAGATTTCCCCACATTTCTCCCTCAGCTGGTTCGACGTATCGAGACCAGCTGGGGTTGGGTACGGATGTTACACTCCTCCCCCTCCAGCTGGCAACGTCCTCGTTGCCGTGGGGTGCTTCTTAGGACGAGTGCTACGAGCACGACGAACCACATTACGACCAGGGTCAACACCATCCGCTGGTTGTGGGAGTGCTCGCTGAGCCAGGTCTTCCATGTAAGACTGAACCGCAGTATCAGTCAAATGTTCTTCCGGCTCCCATGAGTTGTGTTCAGGCCCATAGCCTTTCCACTTAATGAGGAACTCTCGTACAGTCTTGCGGCCGCGTTGTCGATCACGATGCAAAAGCACTCGTTCGACTTCATAGTACAGTTCCTCCCCCAGGACGATTGTTGGTGGTGGTAAGTACTTGCCGTCTGCAACGTACTTGCTTAACAGAGACACATGGAAGACATTGTGAATCTGCAGGGTATCAGGTAGCTTGAGCTTGTAAGCTACCGCACCAACTCGTTGAGTCACCTCAAAGGGCCCAATCCATCGAGGGAACAACTTTCTCGCACCAGGGATCTTAAGCCGAATATTCTTCGTGCTTAACAAAACTTTGTCTCCAACGGAGAACGAGATTTCCCGGCGTTTCATATCGGCATAGGATTTTTGCCTTTGTTGGGCCAATTGCAACCAACGACGTGCCGACTTTAGGGCCTCTCGCTGCTTGCCCACAAAATCCTTTGCGGCAGGTAATTTCAACCCGCCGATCCCATGCGTAGCAGGTGTTGTGGGATGCCGACCACAGTTCAGGATAAATGGTTTTTCATGTGTGCTATCATGCACTGAGTTGTTAACCGCAAACTCGACCATGGGTAACAACTCGTCCCAGTTGTCCTGTGTTGGGCTTATGAAAGAACGAAGCATCTGCTCGAGAGTGCGATTAGTCCGTTCCGTTTGCCCATCTGTTTGGGGATGGAACGCTGACGACATCTTAAGCTTCGTTCCTAGTGTCTCAGTTACTTCACGCCAGAATCGGCTCGTGAAGCGCGGGTCGCGATCAGACACTAACACACGTGGCAATCCGTGTAGGCGGAACACATGTGTCACGAACAACCGAGCCGTATCCTCTGCTGATACGTCCGTTGTCGTGGGTACAAAGTGCACCATTTTTGTAAGGGGGTCTACAAAGACAAGTATCGCCGTATACCCATCACGGGTTCTTGGGAGGTCGGTGATGAAATCCAGTGAAACGCTTTCCCAAGGTTCACTCGGAATTTCAAGTGGTTGAAGCAAACCACCAGGCTTCTGTGTGTCCGGTTTGTTACGTGCGCACGTGTCACAACGTGCCACAAACTGTTGGACATCACTACCGACCCCTGGCCACCAGTATACATCGCGTAAGGCCCACCGGGTCTTATTCATGCCCAAGTGTCCCCCATATTTAGTGGCGTGCACCTCTTCCAAGATATCGTTCCGCAGATTGCCGACATGAGGTACCGCAATCTCTTTTGTTCGCCACCAAAGATCGTGTTCCCAAGTCAAATGCTTAGTGTTTTGTGGGTTCTGGAACCAGGAATCGATATGATATCCTGTGCGAATTCGTTTCAGAAAACCACTAAACGCGATCTCGCTCACTTTCGCCGCAGCTAGTATGCCAAAACAGGCAGCAAAAACAGCCGCATGTTCGGTATCGTCAAGCCCAGTTGCTGCCCCTATCGGCTGTCTGCTGAGGGGGTCAGCCAGGTTCGTGGAACCTGCACGATAACGAATGTCGAAACTGAACCCACTGAGGAGTTCAGCCCAACGGGCCTGACGGCGAGTGAGGGTAGCTTGGGTAGAAAAATATGTGTTCGGACAATGGTCAGTGGTGACCACGAACTCTACCCCTTCCAAATAACATCGCCATGTTCTTAGCGCATGCACGACAGCCAACAATTCCTGTTCGGTAGTCGTGTAGCGTTGCTCTGCCGGGGAGAGTTTTCTACTCTCGAATGCCACAGGGCGTCCATCTTGCAGGAGTACTGCTCCAAGTCCCACCGTTGAGGCGTCTGTAACCACCTCATATGGTTTCTGTGGGTTTGGCAACACCAAAACTGGTGCGTTAGTTAATTTATATTTAACCTCCTCAAAGGCCTTTTG